CCAAGTGTTGCTATGGGCTGTGCCTTACAACACAAAGGCCAACAAGCGAAAGTTGTATTTTTGTAACAGTGGAACATGCTTTTCAAGCGTTGATCTCTTTTGTGGACGAGGTGGTGGCGGAGAAGAGGACTGAAGTAGAGAGTAACCCCACAAAGGATTGGAAAAGTCCTGCAAGATGTTTAGCTACGACTGACTTGATGTAATTGAAATGGAAATTTGGTTGATGTTCTCTCGACCTCACACAAAAGAAGAAATTTTTACTTGCTATTCTGTTTTCCACAAGTGCCTTCCGACTCTCTCTCTCTCTCTCTTAAAAGAAATCATGAATTTTGACTTGTGCTGCGGCTGGCTGTTTTCTTTCACTTTATCCGTAACCCATAAACTTTTTTGGTGTAAAATTCGTCTTCCTCTTTAGAGGATTTGCTGTATTTGTCTAATGCCAATTTGTGTTTTCTTTTGACTAGTGATTGTATTTTTCTACCATTAATGCTCAAGTTGGGAAAACAACTTGGAGGAAATGACAATGAATGCATTGTTAGGAAATAGTTCACATCATGTGGTTATCTCTCTAGTATGCGTGAGAAATAAAATTTGAGATCGAGGCATTTTTATAAACTTATGTTCTCTTTCATTTTGTTTTTTCTTTAATAAATCCATTTTGAATTATCTTTGCATTTTTAAATTACATCTCTTTTAGGAGATGAATCCTTGCTATGCTCTTTATCTTTATGCTATGCTCTTTAAATTAATTTATTGAATAAAATACTATGGAAGAGAAACATATTAAAGGTAAAGACCAGTTATGGTCATGCGATTGCATTGTGAAAGAAACATTGTGGAATCGATCAGAAAAGGTTGATCATCTAGCATCTAGCATCTGCAAGGTTCTGGAATCATCAAAATGATAAGAAATGTGGCCCATTCTTCGTAAAGTTACAAGCACTATACACAGAAAGATGTATATGGGACTACCCTATATCTCTCACAGACCATGAGAGAAACAAATTTACCAAATATATGAATTAGTAGGCGGTTTCCCGGCAAATTTTTTATCATCATGTATTAGTCAAAACATATATTCTTTCACATGATTGGTAATGAGAGCTTCCATTTCATTTTTTGAAATTGGGGTGTTTCCAATACTGGTCTTTACCTTTAAGCTATGAAAGAGAAGTATAAAATATGTCAGTCACAGTGGCATTGCCACATTATGAAGAAGACCTCACAAAAACTCAAAAACAATTAAAACAAAAACTCTCTTTGGAGTAGGGGAAAGTTTAAGTGAGAGAGTAGAAAAGAGAAACTAAGTATACAAGATATTTCCTGTCCGAATTCTATTTCTGTGATTTCTCTTATCAATTTGTTTCAATGGCCTAACATCAAGTGTGTATTGGTGACTGGAAACTTTGATGATGCCATTTTCTCTGTTACCCCTCCTTTTCACATTTATTCTCACATTTATTTGGAGTATCAGGAAAGAAGAGTCCCAATGCAAAAAGGTAGTGTGTCACATTTCAAGGAACGCCTTTCTCACACTAGAGCTCTGAGTTTGTTGTCCAGGGAAATTTAATCAGATATTTTTAATTACCAAGGAAGTGATGGGGAAGAATATGGCCTAATGAATATATATAGAAATACTATATTTGTGATCCTTGATACTAATAAACCAATTACTGTTGTGGTTACCTACTTCAAATATTTGTTTTTATTACATATGATTTAAAATGACTCATTTTCAAGGAATATTTTCTTACTGAATAAACTAAAATAACAGGATAGGAAGACTTGATGTAGTTGATGACATGGAAAAGATAATATTTGTGTTTGTATTTTTCTTTAATGTTGTATATTAGTCTTTGCTTCTTCGGTCGATCCTCGGGTCAGTTTAGTTGTAAGAAAATTAATGACAAATACAGGAAAGAGATGTTTGGATATTAAAATGATACTGAAACTTAATAACTTGTTGACAGCTTTTATGAATCATTAATTAATACGAGATCATGATGACTATCTGTGTAGGTTTTGTATTTGTCTTCTTGATTCAAAATAATTTGAATCTGCAGGCTTTGCAAAACGAAAGTATCGACATGTACATGTCCAGATTTATTTGTATGAGTTTTTTGGGGGTATTTTTTAAAGTAAATTGTACATTAAAGTTTAGATTAGAACCATATTATACATTATACTTCAGTTTTCCAAATATATTCTTTTGCATCAAATCTGATGAGATCTCTTAAGTTTTTCTTTGAAAACCAAGTTTAAAATAAAGTACAACTACTAATGGGCACCTGCGTGTGCACTCATGGATGGCTGTGCTAATTGCACATTAAGTAGTATGATCTCGTATCGGTTATAATAAACCACTCGCGTCCCATTTCAGAGCTAAACCATTGAACCTATAGTTCTCTCTCAAATTAGTCGTAATTACCAGAGATTCAGCTTACATGTAAAGGGAAAATCCCTGCACCTAGCACGGCTTGTCATTTGATGACAGTCGTTCATTATTTCATTTGCCGAGGACTAGATAGGAAAGATAAATCGTCGATGGGCAGTTACTGGAAATGAGGGCGGATAGACATGGATTGGGGGAAGGGGGGGGGGGGGCTTGTGAAAGGACCCTAGGGTATAGGGCTGTATCTCTGGATGCACATTGAAAGGAGCTGTCATGACCAATCAAAGTTTCTTGATATATGGACAACATGATTTTACACATATTGATGGGTTACACTGAGTGTGAGGTGCTAGTAGTTATTGTGGTGATTTCATTTTTGTTAACTAGTTCTGTCCAATCCTAATGATATATACATATATTTATATATAACGATTTAACAGACTGATTATCTATTACCATCTCCAAACACCATTTGCCCTGCTACCAATGTATTTCAACTTGAGGTTTGACAATGTGTTCCATGTTGTTCTGTGGGAGTAATCTATTAACTCTGCATTTCCTCTGTGAAATGAAAGTCAGTTTGATGAGGGGAAACACTCAAACAATGAGGTCCAAAGTGTATAGAAACAAAGAGAAAGATCCTCTCCTAGATTATTTGGGTTCAGTAGAAGCCCCCCCCCCCCCCGATTTGGTCTCTTTTGTTTCCTTTTCTAAGTGAGGTTAAAAAGGGCAAAGTTTACACACTTGATCAATCAATCAATTTCATACTTTCATTATAAAAAACAAATTACAACCAAAGCCATAACCAGGTTGTGAGTTTTAAACACTTGTGTACATAAGACTGTGCCCCAGTTACCGAATGTCATTGACATTGGGGGCCCCCGATACAGCCATTTCTCAAATTCCCCCTCTCCCTAGCCCTTCTCCCTGGAATATTACCCCCAAACCCCTGGGTGTAAGGGGAAATCATAAACTGGTCCATACATTTACTCAGCTCTTCTTGCAAGTAGCATCCAGGAGGAGAAAGAGCAAATAGGTCAATCTTCTTTTTCCCCTCTCTCCGGCTTCGTCTCCTTCTCTTTCTTCCCATTTCTCTTTCTGTCATAAATACACGTTTCATTCGTCATGGGTCGTAATCGCTGTGCAAATGAACAGATCCTTTCTTTCATCGTTTTTAGCTTTCGGTGTCAGGTGCCCCGACTGGCTTTTTTTTTACCCCCGAGTCTCCATGGGCCTCGCGAGAAATGTTCGATTCGTAAGAAAAAAGAAAGATTTGGAAGCAGAATCGACAAGTTTGGCATACGTAAACCGAGCGTGTGCAAGTTTGTCTAACCCAGTCTGGTATAATGCGGTATGTTTGCTCAATCTAGATGTATCAGTGACTCTGAGAGCTACGTCCTCCTACTATAGCAACTACGCTAGGTTCACTGACACCAAATTCTCATGTCTTTCACTCATCTCTCCCCCTCTCTTCCTCTCTCCCTTCCCCCCTCTCCCTCTCTCCCTCTCTTTCGTTTTCCCTCTTTCCTTTCCCCCTAAGATTTTCTCTTTCTTTGCCTACCTGTCTGTCTGTATGGTATCTCTCTTGTCATTTTTTAAAACAATTCTCTATCCTTTTACCCCCTAGAAACTCTCTCCACCCATCCATTTTCAAGTAACTCTCTCTACCTTTTCCAATTTTCTTTGGGTTATGACATGTCTCTTAATTTCTTTCAAACTCGCTTGTGATATAAAAAAAAAAAAGCAATATCCATAGGTCCATCTACTTCTTCCTTTTTTTTCTCTTTCTGTGTGTATGTACTTAATCATTATTATTGTTATTATCATAATTTTGGTGAGGGGGGGGGGGGTATCATAATTTTGTATTATTCAATTGATTCTCATAGAGCTCAATTCCCTTCTCATTTGCTCTCTTTCTCTCACTCTCTCTCTCTTTGCATTTCTCTGTCTCTTTATTCGTCTCTCCTACATGTACACCCTATTCTTTGTTCAAGTACCGATACCCCGCCCTTGTAATTTGAGGTGTTTTATTGAATTAGATATTCTGAATGGAGGCTAACTGCTACTATAGTCACAAAAGTGTCATTTGGGGAAACGGTAAACTACCATTTTCAGAGAGATTCCGAATATCTGACTTTTTCTTTCTTTCTTTCTCCCTTTGGTTCTTGTCATTGTGAGCTAAACTGGAACAAGATTCCCCACAGAGAGCAAAGTCGTGGGTTCTCTTTTTAGCTTTAGGGGCAATGTACTTTTCATGGGTAGTAAATTTGATTGGCATTTGCAGAATAAAGAATCAGTGACTCTTGTTGAATTTGGTGTTATTTTTGGTAATTACAGCTCTTTACCTTGTCAGTAATGAAGTACAAAGGTGAGGTCAAAGTTCACTTCAAGTTCTAACAGTAAACTGCCATCATTGATATTTCTTTGAAATGCATTCTTTTAACTGTCTAGTACTACTTCTGACTAGAACCATATACCGGTACTATAGTTCCTGTATTAAGCATATTGGAATGAAAAAAATGTCAATTATCTAATTGTCAAATCATGATATTCACAAGAAACTCTTCAGTAATTTTCTTTTTCAGAGATTGATGTCAACTCTGGATAATGATGATGCTACAACATGTCTAATATATCTTTCATATTCTATTCCCTGTTTCTCAGCAGTCGACCAGGTAGACCTCCGAAACGAAACATTCCTCTCTCACTCACACCAACCATCCATGGACTCTCACGTATGGGACCCACCCTCGACCTCCTCAAAAGGCCCAAACTGGAAAATGGTAAGTTGTCACATAATTATAAGCAAAATCTTGTGTTGCACAATATATGCTAAATTGCTAATACATGTACGGAACAAGATACTTAAAAGATATGGCCAAGAAATTTTTCACATTTACTTTTGATAAATCTTCACATCTTCACAGGATAGCATTAAAGTATGGAAATCAATACAAAAAAGTCGTTAAAAACAGGCAAATATCAGCAATGTCATTGTCAAATTGTGAATTAAACACCTTCATGCAGAAGGGGGGGGGGCATTGATAAGCGAGAAGGTGCAATGAATCTTAGACGTGGTGTGAAAGAAGGGCTTAGTCATTTTCCTGATCCCGAGCATGTGACGTTTCTAATTTGTCATTGTCACTTCTCATTCTTTTTAATCTCCTCCATCAGAAAACATGGATTGAAAACAATTTCATCACCTTCCTCATCTTATCTTCAACATCTCAAAAATTGAAATTTGTCTTGCCGGGCTCGTGAGTGGTCCTAAAAGCCGTCATATGATTCCTGCTCTCAAAAGTATTTGTAATCGGGTGAATGTATAGGGGGACTAAGAAAAACTAAAGAGAGAGGGGTTTATATGACCTTTCTGAATAGTTTCACTTCAGACAAGTCATTCAAAGAGATGTCAATCATTGTTAGAAATGTCTTTTTAAATGCAAGTTAATATCAGAGGAAAAGAGTGCAGACTGGTTATATGCTTGCACCCCATCTCTGTCAGTATACATCTGTATATCATCAGACCCCCTCCCTGGAAGAAAGGGTCACATGCACCTGTGGCCAGCCACTCACGATACCCCATCTCCCCCCTTCCTCCACAAACACAATTTTACACGGACCATGGACAGACGGCTTCCGCGCTGCTTTCTGCCGATTCACATTCAAGGAGACCCGCGTCGCAAAACGGAGGGTTCTGTTCCACCTCTCTCTCTCTTTATAAAGTCTAAACTGTCCTTTAGATGTAATTTGTCGTGCATTCTTGACAACCGAAGCTTTCCTTATTCATCCCGCCTCGTCTGTTAACGAGATGAAAACTTCCTGTATCAGGTGCGCTTTTCCTCCTGGCATGGTTGAGAATCAGACACTCTCGTGCTGAGCTGCTCTATCCTCCCCTCCTTCAGTCTGTCATCCTCTCTCTTCATTTAAGTATCTTCCCTCCCTTTTCTATCTGACTTTTATTTCTGAACATCTCAATATCCATCTTTCCCTGCTAACTTTTTATTTTATATTTTTCTCAAACTTGTAGTATCTGTTTTTTGTACCTAGGCACTCTCTCTCCTTCATGTCTTATTCTTCTATTTCTTTTCAAAGTGGAAGTCTTCTTTTTTTTCCTTTTTTTTCCAGCAAACTACTTGTACTTTGATTTTTCACCTTTTAAATGACAATATTTTGTTAGTGATCTTTCTTGTCATGACATTCCCCCCTTCTCTCTCTCTCTCTCTCTCTCTCTCTCTCGCTCTCTCTCTCTCTCTTCCCTAGCGTGCACTCCCCCCCCCCCTCCACTTTCCCCGGTATTCTGTCACTCTCTATCTCTTCCCTCCTAATTCCCTGTGTGATGCCAAATTTAAAGTGGGAAAACAAAAATATGAGTTGGGGGTGAAAGAAAATAAAAGACTGATATGCTTCAATTCCCAGTGCGCATCTCAATCAAGCTGTAACCATAGTTACGCTACAAAATTGGCTTGTTTTCACTCAACAGTGTCATCGACTTTTAGAAGTCTCCTAGTTGCTTCTGTCGCTTGCTTCTCTGAATAGAGAAACAAATAAGTTAGTCTGTTGTCATTTGGCGGATAAAAAAAACCATGTGATATTATTTCACGGCGATAGGGTTGCTGTGCCTATAACATTTTAGCCCTTGGCTATGAAAGTTGAAAGTTATCATGGAAGGGGCTGGAATATACCAGATAAAATAAGAGCTGAACCATCATTTTCCGTTTAAATTATGCTTGGCTGCTTTATTAGGTTGCGGTAATGTAATTACTAGAAAGGTGGGTCGTTCTGCTGTGTCACAGTGATTCCGTAACAAATTTAGATAAACCCTCTCGGAAAATATTTGTAGAACGTCTCTCCTGGAAGTCGGCAAGTACGTCATGCTAGAAGGTGAGGGTTAAGTTCATCATATTTGTGTTAACTATCTTGGAAGATAATACAAACATCTTTCTGGACCCTAGGGTTTAAAAAAAAGGCTTCCAAGTACCTGCTGTCTCTGCAACATTTATCTTTGATCAAAATCATTGTAACCCTGGCAACCTGTCAAGCAACAAGTAATTTTCGAACATAGCAGTGAAATTCATCACAGATTTTAGATCTTACTTTTTGGAGCATCATTACTTGAGCTCATATTGAATTGATTTGTAAGTACCTTCTTGGTTTAGTTATGCTTATTGCCTTTTAAAAATGTTTTAATGGCAAATGAAAACTTGATGGAACAGTTATTCTGAAAACAATTATCACGTATAAATAAATTCAAAATTGTAGTTTCACAGTTTATTGCTTGTGATAATACTATCTATCCTTTAGAAATACGTTTCTTTTTCTGGTCGGGTTATTTCCGTGAAGGCTGTACAGAATATACTAGTAATGAAAGTACTAAATTATGAATTAACAGACTCATGAAATTTAATTAGGTCCTTTTAATTATTTAATATGCATTGCTCTGTCCTTCGTGTATATAATCAGAAGAAAAAAAAAGTGAAGAGAATTATCCTTTCTATTAAACATTTGAGAAATAATAATACTTGGTCATTAGTCATGAGATGAAATTGGTTCAGAATGATTTTTATCAGGGAAATTTTTGATCGAATGTCATAACCATTCATCGTCAGTACTGGAATCTACTTCACCAGAGCAAGGGGGTAATCAATGAAATTCAAAGATAAACAAACATACATCCTTGTTTCAATTCCTTAGCCTTTCCTAACTTCCACTCTGTGCAATGTATCAATAAAGAGTTTAACCAAGAGACCGAGAGAGATCAAGATCAAGAAAGACTGCATGAGTGAAAGAAACAGAAAAGAAGGGGAAAAGACATAAATCATAACAAAACCTGCCCGGGATTGAAATCTCGAGTGTCCCCAAAGATTGCCGATCCATTTTGATTCGTGATGTACATTGCAAAGTTGAAAAACCCGATGAGATTACAAACTCTGGAAGTATGTGTCATGTTAACTTCCGAACCCAGATTAGCTTGGTCCTCCTCACCTTCAACTTACCCAAATTAGATTTGTTTCTTATTCACATTCCTTTCTATAACATTGTGTGCACCCCACTCTCTCTCTCTCTCTCTCTCTCATTTTACTCTTGTTAAAATGTTATATTTAAAACATTTAAACCATATGCTACTAAATCATTTCAAAGTTACAGACAAGTAGATGATAACAAACCAGAACTGCTTCATGAATTTTCGAGCTATTTTATAGGCTTGTTTTGCAATTGCACATATAGTTGAGCTGAAGTAAGGCAGGCAAAATGCAAGTTAACATTCACAATGACATTACGATTATTCATTTGAAGGTGAATATATTGTTCCCACGCTTTGAAGAGTACTTATCCACAATACCAAAAGAACGACATCAAAGAAGTGAAAGAAACATAAACAAAGAAAAAATAATTACTCTGAATCTCCTAGTTAGTATTACAAACTCTGCTCGTTTCCCTCTCTTGTTTTGATGCCTATCCCTTTTAAAAGCAAGTTGCGTTTTGTTAATATATAATCCTCTCATTATTTCTTTTCCTTTATTTGTTCTCTCTTAATAGTTTCCTTTTCTTAATTCCTTTTTATTTCTCCATCAGCACCACCTAAGTATATTCCTAGTTCTGTCTCTTCTATGAAGTCATGAAACTCTTTTACCACTTTCAAGTTTCAGGGAACAAAAAGAAAGGAAGAAAGAAAACTTGCATGCCCCATCTGAATTCAAAATTAGTGAAAAATCTGTTATTATTCATCCGTCCCTGAGGGCCCCCGCTATTGTAAATCTTTTTGGTACCTCCGGAAAAATTACAGTTTTGACACTCCTAGAAACAAATATAACCCAGGTGTAAGTTCAAGCTCTGGTAGGGGCTTAATGCATGGATGGAATCGATACAGTCAGGGTGTTAAAATGTTTGAGAGAGAGAGAAAAAAAGAGAAATCAGTGTCATTTCTAATCAGATTTGATGACCAGACTTTTGAAGGGAGGTCATTGACTTCTGGTCGCACTAACTCTTAAGAGAAGTAGAAAAGAAAGAAAAAAATCCTTAGATTTGTTTGCAGCTTTGGGGGAGATCATGTGCTACTCTCCAGTTTCGGAATTGTTCATTTCGAGGATAACTTTGGTGAAAAGAGAGCCCTTTGTCAGAGAGAAATGTCAATAACTTTTTAGTTTTTTTCCCTCCTTTGTTTGTAGTCGTTCTCCTGTAGTCTGAATACATGATCAAAAGCTGTTTCAAAGTTGGAAGTTTTGTGTTGTAAAAGAAAACAAACGTATATTTGTTTTGAAAAGGAAGGATAGAATTTCATAACGACCCAAACTTAAGTCAATTAAAAAGGTAATGAAGTTTCAAGTTTAATTGTTTCAAATTTACATCAAAAGCAAAATGGTTTGTACAAGCTTAAGAATAACAACATGGTGGTTGTAGTGAATACTATGACGTATCATATGATATTGCAGATATTAGAGGAGCATTTATCATTCATGCTAAGCTCTAAATTGCCTTTGAAATCTGATAATTTATACTTGGGTAAATAAAAAATCTTTTTTCGAGAACTGTTGGCAAAGGAAGGACCTATACATAACTGTAGTAAGAAGAAGAGGTACGATTGATACATGAACGTGAACATCCGTCTGCACAAATTGATTACATAAAAGCCACTTATGCATTTCTTATAGCAGACGAATATCAGTCGTAACATCAATTTGTGCTAATTACTTTGGCTTGCCTATCCTTCATGATTGGTTGGGTGCATGATGAAAAGGCAAATTCTGTTTTCATCCATTTGTGACTAAATTACACAATTCATTAGATGATTAGATGCAACATAGAGCTGTGTAAATTGCTTCTACCATTTGCCAATGTGGATGTGTTTGGACATGCCTGCCTGCATGCATAGCTCTGGCCTTCATGAATTGATTATGACATCACTCCCTTTCATTGCCGCTCTCCCTCACGGAGCATTATTTTAGATCAAATGAAGGAGATAATGACATTGTCTCTAAAAAGAGAAGACTCACATTTCTTTGTTTGATATTTAAAGTTCAATTTGATTCAATATGGGTTTATTTGGATGTAGAGGTGTAAAGTGGGTGCTAATTTGCCCCTCTTCCTGTTATGATGGTTCATTGCAGAAAAATACATATTTTCATTTTTTTCCTTTCTCATGAAATTATGACCATCTTGTTATTGTCAGTTTTGATGAAAAAGGATTCAAATAAAGATAATTTTTTACTGGTAAGAAATAAGTCCAAGCAGGGAAAAAACTACATGGGGGCTCGGGGAAAATTTGCCTCTGTAAAAGCCCAAAAAAAATTGCATAGAGTTCAATGCAAAACAAATTAAAGAGTGTTATTTTCATGCAAATAAGCTTGAAAATAGCCCCCCAATTTTTTTTCCCTGACTCAAAAGGAATGATGTTTTTGTTCTCCTGTGGCAGGTCACCACCGTCTGCCGTTCAATGGATACGAGCACTTGGCTGCAGCCTCCCCGTACCTCCTGGCCACCCACCCAGCATTCCTCCCATCCTCCCTCTCCATGCCGACCAACCATCTCACCGCATCACCCGCTAAGGCTGCCGAGATGCACCACCTTCACCATGCCGACCTGGGCGCCGCCCACCTTCACAACCTGCACAAGCTCTCCGTAGGCATCCCCAGATCGGTAAGAAAAAGAAGATGATGTTAATGGTGGTGGTGGTGATGATGGTGATGATGATGATGGTAACAAGGATGGTGATGATGATGGTGGTGGTGATGAAAAGGAGGATAATGATGATGATGGTGTTGGTGATTAAGAGGATAGTAATGTTGATGATGGTGATGGTGATGATAATGATGATTATTATAATGATAACGAGCGGTGAGGATGGTAGTCATGCCATAAAATGGTAAGGAGTAATTAATTTGTAAAGCCCAGTTAAATCGAGAGAATGTGACAGAGATTTAAAAAAACAAATTCTTATTTGTGATTTTCAGTATTTTCATGCATTGGCTAAAACCAAAGACACAAGTGCTACTGATTTTAAGTATAATTATATAATTATTAGAGAAAAGAGGCAAGGGTTAAGAAGAGGGTAAAAGATGAGAAAGAAGATATCTCAAGATGGTTTGGAGTAGCAGGTCGAAAATATGATTGAAATCATCAGGAGCAATTCACCCAACTCTTGTTTATGCATTAGAAAATGAATTTATGATGGGGTGTACTTTGTGCGAAGTGTGCCCGTGAAGGATCATGTCATCTGGACGACGAGCAATGAGACCCTATGCCACGTCGTCAAATAATTAATAGCACCGGGCGAAAAACCTCATGCAGAGTACTGACGATGAAACATGCAGAGAGACGTACATGAAATAATGAGAGCCCAACTGCCACTGCGAAAGCCTTAGTACATCGCACCCTGGGCCCTGACGCAAGGAAGCGCTCATAACCATGAACCTCGTCAATATTCATGAGGGCCATTAGATCGCGGACTAATAGGGGGCTCTCTTCAAATATTCATTCCCCTCCTAATCACCATAATTATTTCACAATCAGGCTGTCACAGTCGCAGAAGGATTGGAAGTAGAGGGGGGAAAGGAGAGAGAGAAAGAGAGAGAGAGAGAGAGGGAGAGAGAGAGAGAGAGGGGGGGGGGGGAGAGGTGTAGAGTTGAGAAAATGCACAAATGCAGATGAAAAGGGAGAGAGAGAGAGAGCGCATGAACGAGAGTGAGAGAGCGAGAGAGCAAGAGCGTGAGGGAGAGAGCAAGAGCTCATCAGGAAGAGAAACAAAAGGAACGAGACTTTAAAGTTCAGAAGTCTCGATACACCCTCGGCTCATTAATTCTTGTGTCTGTTAGAATAGCGATGTCGGGGAGATCCGTAATTCATGTTATCATGGAGGGGATGCACTTTCGATTCCGCTTCCCGCGTACCCATGCTTCCGACAACGTGACCAAAATCATTAAAATCAGCCGTGAGCCACGAATTACCATTTACACTAAAAAGGATCAGTGAAATACAAGTTTCGATTAGTTTTCCCTATCTTTATCTCTTCCTTTCCAACTCCCATGGGTATGCTATTATGTAGTAATGAGCAGTCATTACAGCTACATTGGAGATTGATTCTGCATTAAAAACTATTACTGTGCAAACATTTTCTCCGTAATGAATTTGGATGAAAGTAAAGCGATTCGGGATGTTGCTCAGTACAGCGTTCTACTGCAACATTTTCGCCATTATCATTTAACTTGGAATGGGAAGAATTAAGGCAAATGAAGGCCGTTTTTACGTTATGTGATGAGACATTAGGTCTGTTGATGCATTATTAACATTTCTTGATTGTCATCTTAGTTGTATCATTAAAAATAATTTTGTGATAAATACGAAAAGAAAAGAGTTTCTCTGTCAGATATCATAGGTCATGAACTATTATGATCTGTCTTCAGTGTCTTATAGAAGTCGTAGTCCTTCCGGAAGTATTGATTCTTTGTTAAGCATTCTATTGTTAAGGAGAAATACGTTTCAAAGAATGTAGAATTATTTGCATTTTGACAAATGACTCAGATATATATTCAATGTATGACCAATTGACCATCCAGTTTAAGTAAACAAGAAAGATAGCAATCAGTAAATATCAGATTAAGAATTTGAACTCAATATCACGAGTGATTATCTCATTAAGTTTGATGCCATTGAGTAATTCAAATTATGGCATGGATTTGTAATGCCATGAGGCAGAAGTCTCAACAAAAGCTATTTGGATGAGGAATTTCAACTCCATTTGCAGATCATGCAATGGTGAATTGTTGATTAGATGAAAGCCGGGGTGACGCTTAATTGCTATGTGCACGGTATCCAAGTTTAATGTAATTGAGAGTTTAATTATTCAAAAGTGAGAAAAGTGTGAGGTTGAGTGAGTTGTAATTTAGATGATAGATTTGGCACTTCCAATAGATGGTTGCATGAAAAGTCGCTGATACGATACGACTTATGCTCTGGCGACATTGGCCCCGACAATATCTTGTCGAAGATAGGGTTAGGAATTGGGTTACAATTGGGTTTTAGGTTGGGGTTATGGCTAGTTAGTTATTGGAAATAGAAGAGAGAGAGACAGAGAAAGAATTCCCATATAGCCATTCAAAACCTACGAAATAGAGAAGGAACAAAATAGATTGTAATAATGATGTAATGCACGTTTTTACTGCCATTCATCAAATGACCTATTCATAAAGGCATGAATTTAAATGAAAGGATGATAACATGGCTGAAAGATATCCAGATCATTCACATTTTTATTCAGAATTTATTTCCAATCCATTACTAGAAAAAAGGTGCATTTCTAGAGGATACCTTCAATTCACGATGCCACTTTTCACCTGCATCATGGTAAAATTCTATCTCTCTCTTTCTCTCTCTCACAGCATGCCATCTATCTTCCTTTCTTCATTGAACCATCTTTTCTTTTCGTTCCCTTCGTCTTTTTCCTACCTGCCATCTTTATGATACACCTGGCTGTAATAGGACTGCTTGTCTAGACAGATTACATAGTTCAAGGTTATCCAACCTCAAACAAAATTAGCCAAACATGTTCCTAAAAGTCTCTAATCTACAAATTTTCTCCGCTCCTGTCATTTCTCTTTCCAATTTTTTTCTTTATACTTCAATTTTTTTTTAATATTGCAGTTTGTGAAATGCTACATTGTATAAAAGTAATTATAATCCTTCCCCGATCAGCTTAAATCTACATGATAATTACAGGCAGTGAATTCCAACTAATTAATTCAGCAGTAGCAGTTGTTAATTTGTCAAAAGTGCGATTTAAAAAAAAAGCATCAAATCCCCACTGATACATAATTTTAGTAATTGATTACTTTTGAAAACTTAAAGAAAATGACTAAAACATGAAAAGATAACAAAAACATATGTGGTACACATCTGTTCCTTACACAATAGATCGTTAAATAATAATGATCTTATGTCACACAATACATACAAAATGTTCCACTTTGTTAACGCTTTTCTGCTTTTATCTTGCACTCTCTTCAAATTGTTCTAAGAATTTAGGAGATTGAAGAAAGATTGCCTGGCATGAAGTATGAATCATTCAAGTTGAAATGCGAATTAATATTTAAGGAAAACGTCTTTTGTTACCGCAAATTTCCCACCTCAAACATAAAAACCCTAGGGTTTGGTATGTCATCATGACTTCTTCACTTCATCATACCAGCGTTGTTAAACACATCCAGTCGCCGCAGGATCGATGGAACTTTTATTTCCGCCGAAGTAGACGAGAACAACAAATAATAGATGAGGGCTGCGTTGCTCGTAAAATTTGATGATGCTTTAGAAAAGTGTGCTGTGTGTCACTACGTTGAATGCCTGAGCTAGAAGGGGGGAAACCATTGACAATCGAGCTTTCTTTTCAAAATGGCAACGGGAAAGAGAGAGAGAAGTTTTCGGGGCATATTTGAGAAAATATTTATGATGCTGTGTTTTGAGCGGAAAGATGGATGTATATGGTTGTACAATTACAGATCGTTTTTGAAGAGTCTATTTTGTTTTTGTGGCAACACGAGACAGATGATATTCCGATTTTTGTTGTCATTGATGAATTTTATTGGTTTACAAAACGCTAAAAGCGATAATGATAAAGTGGGCCTGGCAGGCATAATTATCTCTTACAAATGGTTTTAAAAAAAAATCTGCTTCCATTAGCCTACATAAAGCCCTCTTTTTGTAACAAATATATTTTAAAGTGCATGAACAGTAATCTGTGTTGCTTATAAGTTGCTCAAATTTGCAACATCGCAGTGAATGTACATGACACTTAAAAGTATTGTTATATGCCATTTAGTCTTTTATTTGTCTATTCAGAACTAGAAGGGCATTATTAAACTATGTGTTAAATTATGAGAGTTATTGCCCTTTTTCAAATAAACAATATCTTGGGAAATGTTGAATATTACACAATTATAATAGAATCATATTGCTTTTTCAATAAGTTATATTTTAGTTTTTAAGTAATTATTAAAATCTCTATAACATATCCATGTAAACAAGATTTCCGCCTAGAAAACATGATATAATTGATAATTTGATCTCACAGAATTTCATTGGACTACAAGTGCGCAGTGGACAATACAGAATGAAGGTTAGGAAATGTCTAGCCAAAATGTTAATCATATAAATAGATTCATTTATCATGCATTGAAAGGATGCTATAGATTCACTAGCTTGCTTTACTAACATTACGATCATTACCCAAATGTGCCAATGATCGTTAAAAAAAAATTAAAAATTCCTATTTAGGTCAGCAAGGTAATTCATGCTGCAGAGATAAAATTTCAGATAGGTGTTCTGAGTCCTGGTTTATTAAATATCCAAAAACCAAGTAAATTATGTTTTAGTCCTCTTTAAGGCAGTTTATCAATCTTAAGAATTTAAGAATGCTTAGAGGCAGTGTGGACACATGGGCACCCACAATCAGGGTCCAGACCCCTTTAAAGCTAATCTTGAGCTCTGGTATGGGCATCTTTAATATGTCGAGAGAACATGGCTATAATTCATTCTGGATTGTTTGTCCTGCAGCAGTAGTTTGATTGTTTGCACCAGTAGAATAATAACAACCTCACAAAACTTGCTCGAAATCATCTTCAATAAAAACCACAAATCTCATTTGCACATAGCGACCTGTGTTAAGCACATGGTGTCCGGCCTATACGTACCTTGATTTCCTTGATCTTTCTATGCTCGTTACTTAGCCCCTATACATTTTCTACCAAAATCGTTCAGCATATGTCATTATTTGTAAACAGTCAGTGTAACTTTTGTTGGATTCTGTGTGAATTTATTTTCTATCATTACAAGAACTCAAACTTATCTTTCAATTCAAAATGTTTGCATGAGCCTCATGTACATTGATTCTATTTTTTGCTACTTATTTCAGTCGAGCCAGCCCAGCTCTCACAGCCACGCATCGGTCGACATCGACGACCACGAGGAAGACCTGGAGAACGGGGACATGTCCCCGCGCTCCTCGGACGGCCCCAGCCCCAGGATGGGCGGCTCGCAGGGAGGCCTCTCCCCCAAGAGCGACTCGTCGTCGGCCATGCACGAAGACGAGGACGAGAAGGAGAGCGACCGTATTCACCAGGAGGCGATGGCGGCCATGGAACACAGCCTAGGTACACGAGATTTGATCAGACAGCACCTTCAAATGATGAGCAAGTATCCCCAACCTCCCCCCCCCCAAACCCCCGATACGTCACACAAAAATCCACATTAATTGCCTTTGTAAGCGTTGCTTGGCAAGAACAAAAGATAAACCCATTTACAGCAAGCAATGGACTTAACCAATTCGTGAAAAAAAAAATAGCTAGGTTCTTTCCGGGAAGGAGGGTTGGTGAGAACAAAAGGGACAATGCCTTTAAATAGAAAACTAAATCAATCATTAATTGAACTTAAAGATTCTCACACGCGTTGATTACACTCCTGCAGTATTAAGATTCATGTCACCTTATGACTCGAACATAGTTGTTATTAGTGAAAATAAATCAAAACAGACGTGTAAGAGAATGATAAAATATAAACATGTAGTTCCTACACGGATATTAACATTGATGGACAATTGAAACTTTAATGCGTGGAGTTCAAGTATCCTGGCGCGTATTTTTGTAAGATATATGCTTTGGCTGAATATCAATATATTAATTCCCTTTTGACAAAGCCCATTTTTCTTTGGATTTTGTGTGATGTGTGGCAACTGTTGTATGTTAACAAGGCCGGATATTCGGTTAGATTCTCTAGGATCTCTGAACACTCTTGTCAAAAATAAACAGAAATAAATGAACAGAAAAGAAAAAATCTTTTTATTGTAATATTTTTTCATTTTCAATTTTGAAAATTTCTGAATTTTAGGGGAAAAATGGGACTTTGATGTGAAAAAAGAGAAATTATTTAAGTGTTAAAGGTATCACATCTACATGTACATTAAGTTTACAACTAAAATATTCATACCCCTTGTAAATTTGATGTTTTTTTTGTGTTTTGGTAACTCAAGAAAGAAAGATAAACTGATTGAATTAGGGCCTTTTTTAAATCAAGAGACATTAATCTGGACAAATCAATTCTTCACATACACTTCAAAAATTACAAAACTTGGTAAGGGTATGAATCGTTTAGTTTTTAACTGTATGTACGTGGACATTTCCAATAGATACTCGTTTTGCTATCTGCTAGTTTGTATTATATCATAATGACAGTCATTAAAAATGACTTGACTCATTTTGTACCATAAAAAAAAATTAAATATGCCTGAGCTTAGTATTAAACAACTAACAAATATGCTTTGAAATCAGATAAAAGAAGCATTTACAGCCTCCAGGCAGTATGAGTGGAGTTTGCAGTGTTAAGATTCGCTTTGCTTTGCTAATTTTAAGTTTTTTGTCTTAAGATTACTCTTTTAGTAATATTATTTTCTTCTTTTTTTAAATTCTTTTGAACAGCGAACGCGAGAGAAGAGAACAAGCCCTCTGGCATGAGTAAGCTTCATTTCATATTCTTAAAAAATAACATCTATCTGAATCTGTAATATATAAGAACACTAATATTATTAGCTGTGTGTTAGAAAAAGGGCTTGAACTCTGAATAATAGTGTATTAACATCAATAAATGCCAGGTCTTTGTGCGTGCAAATCTGTTTATTTTTTTCTCTATTTGGCTATAATTCTATCCATCTATCATGTTATTGTTGGTATAAAAGCGTCCGTCTCTTATATCAATTTGGGGTGCGATAGTTCAATCAAACCGCATGTAATCCTATCATATTTATGTTATATGTGATTATAATAATCATAGTTCGAAAGCAGTGATGACAATGGCAAAATACCAGACCTTGTCCAGTTATATTATTGTACAGATTTGGCAGTGTTTGAAATTCTCACTCCTCGATATGTAAACAATATTTCAAGATTTGTATTTAGAATGCAAAGGCTGGAGTGTCACATAAAGGTATTGATTTTACCCAGAGTGCTTCCTTGAGAAAGAGAATGAAAACATAAAAGGAATGTTTGTGGAGAAATGAACCCTTCCTCCTTTGTAATCAAAACCATATGATTATTTGCATAAAATTTGAATAATATTTGCATAAAATTTGCATATTTGTAAATGCAAACTTTGTGTAATTGGTTCATAAAAGAGTTTATGTGATGAATTTCTATATTCCGTCTGTACAATAAAACTGGAAATGCTTCAAAATGTGAATCGATAGCTATATTACTTTACAATATGTGAGTCAATGACTTCCACATACTGTGTCACAGCTCAAAAGGAAAACTTTATTGACCATTTAAAAAAAAAAAAAATATTGAGCCTTTCTTGATGAAAACTGCTGACTACTTTTCCTTCAGTCACGGCTTTAATGAGCAATTAGTTAATTAATCACTGAGAACTAGTTAGTAGGACTCACCTCTATTTTTGAAATGTTTATGTCTCGATGCCTTTTTGGCTCTACATGGATAATTCTTTCTTCATTCAAGTATGACTATGGAAGTTCTGAAAATGTAGGTACTGTGTTATGTGTTTTAAAAGGGACTGACCAATGGCAGATTGTTATTTTTTTAATAACTTTATTTTGAAATAATTTGGACTATTTGCAGACGGTGCTCTCTCTGAGGGAGCCCATTCAAGAGGGGAGGAGTATGAACAGCTCCATGGCAACAGCACCAGCCAATCAGGGATGCCCCTGCCTGGAATGACAGCTACTGATATACTCTCACACCAAGTGGTAAGTTGCCATTATCTAAAAAAAAACTTTCTGATATCTGGAATGAACTGATGATTGAGGGAGTGGAATGAATTAGTAGTAATATATTGTAATATAGTATATACATTGATAAGTAATTTTATTGTGAATTTGTTTGATGGGGTTGATGAAAAAGATGACAAATGTGAGTTAGATGCGTATAGTCTCGGTCAGTTTTCTATAGTAGTAGTAGTAGTTGAAGACTTTATTGGATAACTTGTTTTATAGCATAAGGCTAATCTGCCACAAGGTCTATTGCATAAAACAGGAAACATTAATTTTTGTTTTCATTCACATTTTCTAAATTTTTTTTTTTCTCCCCTTTCTGCGCCTTGTTTTTTTTACCTATATACAATTTCTTTTTTTTAACTTTCTCTGTCTCTGTCTGTCTCTCTCTCTCTCTCTATCTCTTGATCTCTCTGTCTCTCATTCTTTCTCTCCTCTCTCCTCTCTGACTCTGTCTGTCTCTCTCTCTTCCTCCCTCTCTCTCTCTCTCTTACTCTTTCTCTCTACCTCTGTTGTCTTCCCGTCTTCCTTCAACCGATGCAGGGTCCATCCTCCATGGAGACTCTCCTGACCAACATCCAAGGCTTACTGAAGGTAGCGTCCGACAACGCTCGCCAGAGAGACAAACAGATCAACCTAGAGAAAGGTAATACACAATCACTTTCTACCTGGGGGGGTGTTTCACAAAGCCTTTTTTCAATGACAAATGACAAAAATCAGTGACAAATCTGCTGATGACCAATCAGAAGCAAGGATTTCAGTAGCTTATAACAAAAACTGTCATTTGTCACTGATGACAAGTTTTGTGAAACGCCCTCCTGATCCTTTTATATCCATTCTGTGCAATGTGTACCTTCTGGCATATCCCGTTTCCGTTCTGAACTCTGTATGTCCACCTGTAGGACAGAGAAACATATAGTGACTGGAGATAGTTATGGGGGCAGGGATATTGAGAGAGAAGTAATATAAGAAAATGAATTGATATACAGATGGAAGATGTCGAGGAAAGAGATGAATGGAGAAGGAGAGAGGAGGAGGAAGCAATGGATTGAGAAAGAAATGGAGAGAGAAAGAGAAAGAAAGAAAGTGAAAGAAGAAGAGTAAGAGTTAGTGAGATCAAAAGAAAGAAAGAAAGAAAGAAAAGAGAGAGGGAAAAATTGGGATTTTAAATGTATACCTACTGCTAAAATGCTAATTAATAAGATACATGCAAGCTGAAAGCTGTCTCTCATTAGACGATTGATAATGTTATCAGAAGATGTTCTGTATATATATGAAAGGGAGAAAGATGGGGAGGGCTGAAAGTTCCCCAAACTCATATCCAGACCTAAAATGCGCAGGAGACGTCTAAACAGTTGCCTTCGATCTTGCAATTGAGACGTCAATAAGCAAGTGGGTCCCGCTGACAGTTCAGCGCAGCTACCCAGAAACTTTTCATCGCCGTCGAAGGTCAGGGGCGGTGCGGAAAAGATGCGTATCCGAGGGAGAGATGCGAGATGACGAGTGTGAAACAAGAGCTTTTTTTCGTTCCTTCTCTCTTGACTGTTTCACTCTGCTGACTACAAATTGAAATAATATTGAAACTTTGAATCAAGGTTACCAGCTCGATGACATGTGCCGTCATGTTGAGGCTGCGCAAGGGGAAAGAATTTGAATTTCTCACTTTCCCTTTTTTTTTTTTATGTTCCACAAGTTCAGTTACACTGTAAGTGATACTTAGTGTGTTCGGGTCAAAACATCTCTTGAGTATGTATCAATGTGAGGATTTGTAAGCCTGCATTTATTATGTTTTTATATCGCGTGCTGAAAACAAGGACGGCTCTCAGTGGAGGATATGCAAATTTGAAGTGAAATATGAAATCCGAAATAGAAATTTTGAAATATCAGGCATAGGTCAGACGTAATAGAGAGTTTTGTCTTGTTTGTCTAAACTACTGTAAAGTAGTTGTTTCATTTTTGTAATAATTTTCATTGACCATAAATTATTCCATTTCACAAATCCTAAAGTAAATTAGTTCATTCTAATGGGGACATGATAATAATTATGAAGTAATGAGCTTATTAAGGAGTGATCATATCAAATATATTTATAATAAACTGATACAAGGAGTTTAAGAGATTTAAACTTGACTCTCCATTTATGTCAAACTAAGTCTCGCATATTAATGATTAATGGTAGATCATCTTGATTCTTGAACAGGGTCGTGATTTATATTTACAGAGAGTAATAACTGTCATACAAACAAAGGAATTTATCACGTATATGTTTTTGAATTTTGATTAATGACAAATTACTAGAATTATCTATACAAATCACTCCACCGTTCTGCTCGATGCTGTAAGAAATCAAGATCGGGTTTTAAAGTTCAGTTGTGTGCTCATGCTACTGGTTATGGACCAAAAGTCTGTTCTTTTTGCAAGTAGACCGTTTCAAAATTCTACGACACGAATACCTTTTCTCCACTTCTGAATAAAAAAGGGCTATTTTCTTAGGGTGTGAACACACTTTTCCAAAGTTAGCAAGATATAGCAATCATAAAACATACTACAGGGTCTGAACATTGGGGGATGTAGACTAATCTACACCAGCCTTGTACTCCATTACATATCCCATGTTCAGGTGGTCTAGGCTTAGCTCAAGAAGAAAATGTGGTCCGTTTAGAGTTTGTAATTGCCAATTCCCTTGCTCTTTCATATTAGAGAGTTGTATTACTTTGTACAAATTAGACTTTGAGGCTAGAGGTCAGACTATCTCCTCTCTTACAGTCATATTTCTATAAGCCACTCCTCATTCTGTTCGAAGTGGAGCAATTAGACTGCGCTTAATGCCCAATGAAAACAAGGTCAATAAATCAAACAATTGTTTCTGGTTACAAGTGCTTTTTCCTAAGGAAACTCCATGTCATTTATTTGAGCACTGATCGCCGTATCTCATACTCGTCTTTCCCACCATACAGCTGCGTGGGTTTGAGGGCCGGCAAAGTGAAAGTTTACAAATTGCAATTGTTTTCTCAACTGTTGGGGTTTTTAATTGCGCTCCATTTATCCGCTAACGATTGTATACTGCGACTTCCTATTCCATTGAATAATAGTCCTGTGATAATAGATGACAATTGGCTACATCAATCAAAGACTTCGAATTTGATTTTAATGATGACACTCAAAAAGAAACATAGATGAGTTGGCATCTTTTCAATAGCCTCATATATCATTAATTGTCCCATTTACTTTATGTAATGTGCAAGTAAGATTGAAATGAAAATGATTCATTGTCTCTCTGGCAAACTTTTCCATTAATTAATATTGTTTGTTTTAAGTTCATTTCATAATGGTAATACTTTCCTGCTTTCGATTCAATAAATTCAATGGATGTGTTATAAGCATATAATTGTCAGCAAGGCACAGTGATATACTATATTTGCTTTATTAGGTGCTTCAATTGCTTCCAATAACTTTTTATTTCCTTTAAATCATAGTTTATACCCCACTTGTGACATCTATACCTTTTTTAAACATAAAAAGATCATATTTGGAGAGTAAGACACATGAACTATATATATATTTCAAGTATCCTGTACCAATACAGGAAGTTAATTTTCATTAGACTTCTAACTTATTTCTTTCAAGTCACCAATCAAACCAAGAAATGGGAGTAGATACTAAGTAAATATGATACAATATTTCCACATATGATTACTTACCGGTAGGTTATACTTGGTAAAAATTATTAAAAAGAAAGAAGTTATCTGTATTGCCAACTGGCTTTGTATGTATGAGATATGATACAAATAGATTGTGAATTAACAGATGCCTGTTAATACTAGTCCATGTGTTATGTTATACTTTGTTACTGTCACACTGTAATACCTATATGCACCTTCATTAATCAGTGAGCATTATTCTTTGGTTTGTCTTTAACAGCTGAACTGAAGCTTGAACTGTTGCGTGAGCGGGAACTCCGAGAATCAATGGAGAAGCAACTGGTGGCTGAACAGAGGAGATTTGGTAAGTCTTACAAGGGACAGTGTTTGTTCATAGGGTTGAACTGCTGCCTTCGAGATTTGCTTCATGTCCCTGTCACATAGGTAGAATTTGTATTCCTGGTAGGAAATCTTTTGGGACATATTAATTTGAGCCTGTACCTGTGGACAGTTTCTACAGTGTATCTCGGTCCGTACAACCACAGAATATGGGGGGAAATGTGAAAAAGCATTCCTCCTTTAGTCTTAAAAGCCTGATGATGCCATTCCGTTCATCCTTCATATACTATACACTGACTGACCGTTTAAAGAATCTGGCGATCTCTATATCTCCATTCTTATCAGGTTACATCAAATATCATTAGTTCTGCTTCCATTGCCTTACAGGATAATAATCTGTATATTCTATATCTTGACTTTTTTCTTCATCAGATTTTTGAGCAGAGAACTCTTTCCTATTTATTCATAGCTTCTTTGTCTTTTTTCCCCTCCGTTTTAACAGCTATTCTTGTCCGCCGTCTCAAGAGGGAGAAGCGCAGCCGAAGACGGCTCCAGGAGCAGGCAGAGTCAACGACCCAGCAGCAGCAGCAGCAGAGGGAACGCGAGAGGGAACAGCAGAAGATGAAGGGCTCCTTGTCAGACCAGGAGCCAAGCAGGAGCCCACCTATTCACACCATCCAACCCATCCAGGCAGTGGCCCAGGAGTCCATCAGGGCACTCAACGGAGGAGACAGGAGGCCCAGCTGTCCAGATGTCTATGAGAAAGGTGAGTGGCTCAGAGGTTCAAGCCTCGTAGTGTCCTAGGTTAGGTAGGAAGCACTTATCAGTCATTCTTGATGGATGTAATTTTGGGTGAGTGGTTCAGAGGTTCAAGCCTCGATCGTAGTGTCCTAGGTAGGAAGCACCTATCAGTCATTCTTGATGGATGTGATTTTGGGTGAGTGGCTCAGAGGTTCAAGCCTCGTAGTGAGTGTCCTAGGTAGGAAGCACCTATCAGTCATTCTTGATGGATGTGATTTTGGGTGAGTGGCTCAGAGGTTCAAGCCTCGATCGTAGTGTCCTAGGGAGGAAGCACCTATCGGTCATTTTTGATGGATGTGATTTTGGGATCTCTGGTGGATCCTGTGGTTGTGTGGTCAGTGGTAGATTGGGGAAGGGGGAGACACGTGCTCACAAATGATTCATAGAATGTAGCACATTTCTGTTGACAGGGGAGGAGAGGGAGGGGAGGGGGAAGCACATGTCCTCTGTTATTCCATAGATCTGCCACTGGTGACTGTGTGTGTGTGTGTGTGGTTGTGTTTGTCTTTTGGATGCGTTTTTCTTTTGGGTGCGTGAGTGAGAGACAAAGAATACCTTGCTTTGAACATTTGAAATTGCTTTTACAAATTCAGAATCATGAAAAAATTCCATATGAAATGCTACCAACCACTTTTGAAATGAGATAATAAAATGATTAACAGTTTTTACAGAAACTACACATCATGGAATATAAAAAGAAAGACAAGTAATGAAGTTATTTATATGGGATAATGAAAATGATCTATAAGAGATATATGTATCAATTCTATGCATTTGTGTTTCAGTAACTGTGATAGTGCTAAGGGGTGATAGATATGGCCTTACGTTCATTAGTCAGCCCGTGTGGATGTAGTGCGTTCACGATGGACGCTTGGCCAATTTTAGATTTGAACCCTCATCTATAATGCAAATAAGGCAATGAGCCAAAAGTGAAGAGAACAGTCTAGCCCCGGCAGGAAATGGGAATGAGAAATAAGAGTAATGGAATACCCGTCTCCCTGATGGCCGGCTTGATTGGACAATAATCAGCCAATCATGAAAGCTATACCTAACGACTGCCGACTTATTGCACGAAATCTACAAATAATATCCATCATCAATGAATTATTGAGCAAGCGCTGCTAATGATATTGTCCATTTGCCCATGCTGAGTGATGCGGAGTGGGGAGATCAGAGAGATGGAGAGCCGGATTGGCATATATAGGTATTTCAGCTAGGCCACGGGAGAAATTGAAATATGTCATTAAATATTTAAAATAGTGAAATTAAAAGATAGAGAGAGAGAGATGGGGAGACAGAAAGGGTTGGCATAATTACATGGAAAGAATGAGAATGAAGAGAGAAAACATGTTTACTCAACACGGGGGAATTTCAGTGGAGAAAATAAATGTAATGTCACCAAGATAGACACACAGAGACAAACATGAATAGAGAGACAGAGACAGAGACAGAGACAGAGATAGACAGACAGAGCTAGAGAGAGAGAGAGAGAGAGAGACAGAGAGAGAGACACACACACACACAGACAGAGAGAGAGAGAGAGAGAGAGAGAGAGACAGACAGAGAGAAAAACAAAACTATAAGGGAAATAATGTATATGGGATTGCTGTAAATAGCATAATAACAAAATCACTAGTACAATGTTTAAATGGAGAATGAGAGAGAGAGAGAGAGAGAGAGAGAGAGAGAGAGAGAGAGAGAGAGAGAGAAAGAGGGGGAAGAGAGAGAGAGAGAGAGAGAGAGAGATGAAACAATTCAGAAAGGAGACGAGAAAGAGAGATAGTAGAGTGTGGTATATGTGTGAAAATGATGAAAGGGTAAACTGGTGGGGAACGAGCAAAAGAAAGACAAATTGGAGGCATTATAATTGCGTGTTTGGAAATGTAATTATCCATTGGCGACCTTCGGATCACTTTAGTGATGAGAGGTGAACAAATTAACAGTGGTTGTGTCGACTGGCCTGGTGCCAACCCACCAACAGGGGGCGCTGCACTACTTAAACCTATACATCTCACAGTCGACTTGTTAGGGCCTACACAGATAAGGATTTGAATTTTTGTGACCATAGATCTTAATTTGCACTGTGTAACTGCTGGTCATTTGGAATTACAATTCAGGTCATTTGTTACAAAATGAATCTTGCAAAATGTATTCAGGTACTTAGCTGTCAATATATTTTAGGATATATCAAAAACCTGCCAAGAATTGTTAAGCCATCATTCATGTCCCTGTATTAGCATTTAATATTGTTCTATCCTTAACATTTAAAGCAATTAATCTGATTAATATATTTGTGCCATTTGTAGGACATCACTCTCATGCACAGATATGTTGATTAAAAAGGTCAGGAAAATAAAAACAGGCCCAAAAAACATTTTTTCCCGAAATTAGATTACACAGAGACTGCAAATACATGCAACACTTGTGTTCTATACCTTTTCAAATCATTGAGAAGTAAAATTAGATGACTGATAGTAACATTAAATTATTTTTTCTATTTTTTTATTTTTTCAGAGGAGATGTCGCCCGAGATGGAGATTGATCGAGAGAGGGCTAACTCAGTGGTGAGGAACGAGGCCGTCAGCCGACTCCAAGGTATTAACGGAAGCTCGCATCCTTAAGGCGACAGGTGTGGCCCCCTTAATCTCCCCGTCCCCCTCCGCACATTTGGTTTATAACCCCCCTTCCTTACTCCACCCTTCCTTACCCCACCCTATCACACCTTTCAATTCTCTGTGATACTCTCTCATTCCCTCCTCCCCCACTAAACTATCACACTTTATCATGCCCTATCCTACATTAACCTACACCACCCTACACCACCTGATACCACCCTACACCCTTACACCACCTGACAACACCCTTACACCACCCTTCCACCACCCTACACCACCTACACTAGTATACACCACCTACACCATTCTACACCCTACCGTCATACACCACCTGACATCACCCTACACCCTTACACCACCCTACACCATCCTACACCATCCTACCCCACCCTACACCAAACTTTAACACCCTACACCACATTCTTTATCATACCGCACCCTATCCCCCTACCATACCCAATCGTCGCCTATCCTGTCTTTCCCAACCCTACCCAACCTACTTTAACCCTAGCCAATTCTATTGATTTCCTACCCTAAAGTAAACTCCCCCTACTCTTATCCTTCTCTATCCAACCCATCCTACCAAATGTGAATGCTACCCTGCGCCACCCCGCCTGTAAATACACGAAACAAAAAACAACCCTTCCCCCTCGTAACATCTCATTCCATCACGAAAGTGTCACATGTTTTTATTTTTGTCTGCTGTCCTTGTCTGTGTGTTCCATTTCGTATTTCCACCTGTGTCAGCTTCTGCATATCCATTTCAATGTTTAATGTCCAATTTGTGTTTTGTGGATTTAAATCAGAATTTCCTGAATCATGTATATTCCTATGATCATCTGAGTCGTCCGTCACAACCATGTTCTCTCATCTGTAATAAAACCAAGCCAGATGTTAAAGACCATGAAAACAAATATCAATTGCTGGGATGACAGATTTTTGGCCGAGCATCATGTAGAATATTGTTTTGTGTGATATCTTTACTTTTTGGTTTGCATGCGAGCAGCAGTTGTCGTTTCCTTTATGGCTTTGCATTTGATGTTTCCGTAGTTCCATGTTTTTACAGAGCTGTAAGTTATTCAAAGGCCAAGATTGAAAATAACTCTTGCTGTGCAAATAACAAGTTAGGAAAATTGTGACAGTTCACATATTCTTTGCTGAATTTGAGGACTCGGATAGAACCTGACAAGTTTTGTATTTCAACTGTTATCATAGATCAGCCTTTTAAAGACTAAATGTTTCAAAGTATATCAACCTGACGCATGTACTTTCTTGTCATTTCATTTCACCCGTCATCATTTTCATTACCCAAATCCTTCTTTCCCTCCCATGGAGAAACACCCAACTGGCTAATACGATGTAAAAAAAAATACAGAATCAAAAAGCTGTTCAAAAAACATATTAAAAAAGATGAGAGATATCTGACATTTTCATTATCACTATGGATATTTTTATTTAAAGAAAAATTAATAAGGAAAGGATGTATGAGCGTGTGGTGTTTGGTTTTGTGATTGTTTATGCCTCATTTGGGACCCGTTTGATGTTATGCGCGTAATGTTTATGAGAAACAGTAAAATGAGCGAGAATTTAAAGAATGATTTGTCTGCAGGGAGTCTAGAAACAGTCAAATTAATCTGGTCTTTTGTACATTATGTATTTGTTCAGGCTGGTGATTTTTTTATGGTGATTGGAATTGGATCATCACTTATTCTTTCATGTAGCCGCAATGATTTAATGATATTCATTGCAATTTCAGAATAGGTGTCATAAACATCATTTCAAACAATGGCTGTTCCATCCAAGCCTCGTTTAGTAGCATTCAATATTTTATCTTAGTAATTAGTCAACCACTAATTGGTTAACATTAATATATTCTTGTGTGACCATGACAGTAACCTCATAGTATTTGATCTTTCCGAATGCATGTAAAACAGGATGATGAAGTTGAAACAATAGATTTGATAGTGTTACCCATATGCTCCTGCAATACAGTGCAATAGTTACATTCACAGTCATAATGATGATGATCACCATGATCATCATAATGAGATTTTGTTCAGTTACTGCCGAAAGTAAATTGAGCTGAAAATGAATTTGGTTAACAGAAGAGTGCAATGAACCATAACTAACGATGCCTCTGTTGACTCTAATTGGACTTTTTCTTAATTAAGCACATTTGAGCAATAGATTTAACGTAGTGCCCATTAAATGAATGTAATTACATGGTACCAATTAAAGGCCGGCTATCAAATTACAGATGTGAGGTGACAATCCAAATTAGTTCCTACTGTGTTAAGTATTAAAGGGATGACAGTTTAAATCATTAATACCTTTTGGTTCCTACGCCCGGCACTATGACTACATGACTCGAGTTCTAATTGAGTGATTGGGTTTAATTACACTCAAATTGCATGGCAATCTTGTTCAATTGAATGCTAATAGAAAATTGAGCTATTGTTTTTTGTTGCTTCGTCATACGATGAGCTTTTGATAGCTGCAGAGCACTCTCTCTGATTAAAATTCTCATTCTTGCTTATCATAGTGGAATACATTTATTGTCTGGAAAAAGGAAAAGGTTGACGCTAGGGTCATTCGTGCAAGTTATATTAATAATAAATATATTATGAAGTAATTCTATGGTTTTGCCTATAGAAAAGGTTTTGTGACTCTTTGGTATGGTTTGAGAGACATATTTAAGAATTTGATTATTTTGTTCAAGTCACTTGTGTTGTAATGAATTTCTGGATGGATTTGAGAGACTGAGTCAGTATTGCATACCACCTAGTATAGTATCTGAAGTGTTTTTGGAAAAGTGGTATGAATTCTATTCATGTGTGGATTGCTTGAATAGATCATGTTCTTTTACAAGAAACAGTAAAAATGAAGTAATGGGGAGAGAACAATTATTTTTTTCTCCAGATTAGCGTCTTTACAAATGTGTTTTGAAGTGTCTTGTAGAAGTATTTTGTGTGTAGAAGTGTTGTGGTGTAGTGGGGTGTAGGATAAGGACTGGTAAATAATGATTATGATAAGGTATACGGTAATATATTGCAGCTGTATGTCTGTCCCACCATCTTTTAATTATTCACTCAGAGCGATGCTGCTAGTCTTGCAAGCAGTCTCCACATTAATATGTTTCATGTATGATACAGACAGTGTCCTTTCATGCATAAATGCATACTTGATTTCATTTTATAATTGTATCAATTCTAGGTTGAGTTCAACTTTATGTATATAAACAGGATACTGGTGTCATAATTTACTTTAACCTTACACTTTCATTCAAACAAAGCGATCTGTTCCGTTATGCATTGTTTTTTACCATATGCCTTTTCTCTTTTCTTCATCTCCGTACAGATGCCAGAATGTACTTCAAGAACTCCCTCCTCTTCAACCCCGGCTTGGCCACGTAAACCGCGCCCAACCTGGTCTCCATGGCAACACTGCATCCAGGCCCATTGGAGTGACATGCATGTAAAAAGTACAGGTACTGCTTGACCTTAATTGACCTCTGGCTGGGAAGAAGGAGCCTGAATCCTTACACAAAGGCATTAGAAAATGGATCGCTGAAACAGAATACGAAGATGATTTACTACTTGTATGTGAAGATGTACAGAGGACGGATCCTGTATAAAGATGACCTCAGTTGACCTTTAATGGCCTGGCAAGGAGAAATGCAGCAGTGTGGACTTTTAGTTGGATGTACAAATGAAAGACATTGTAATTATTGTAGCTGTCTTCGACAAGGTGGTGTCCACAGGTAGTGTATCAGAGAAAACAAAAATGCCATTTGTGACGCAAAGACTTTGGGCAAGATAGAGAACCTTTTAGAGGATGTATATAGTATTTTGTGAGCAAGGCTATTGCGGATTACGACGAATGTGTGCTGTGTTGGTATTCTCATACCTTCTCATTCTACAAGTGGTATATTAGAGACAGAATAGACCTTTCTCCTCCTGTGTTGGTATTCCGTAGGTACCACTTGAGTCGTCGTCGATGTAAATTGATGTAAATATGACCTTGCAATTCTGACCTTAACAACCGTTGTTACGACCAGGACTTTGTGGTAGTTCAGTTTGGTCTCTTCTGTGTCACCCTCTTTGAACTATTTATGTAAAATATTAAATCTTTATGACAAACATGGTAGGTTAGATTTTAAAACTGTGGTTTCATTGCATTTTACAATCCTGTAACTTGCCATGGAAATTTATTTCCTCAACCACCATCATTTCATCACTATGCCAAAATAAATGATAAAGAACCAAAGCTACCAAGTGCAAGATGGGAAATCGGTAAAAATGACAAATATATAACCTCTATTTAATGGTAATCAGTTGTATAAAGTTTAGCTGTGAAATCTCAGACATGGACATTACTTTATGTACATTACTTCCCTGACTTTGTATATTTATTATTTATTAATCAATTAAAATTGCCTCGGCTAGATATAGCGCTGGCAAGAACAATTGGTACTGTTGTAAAGTTTTTTAAAATTTAATTTCCATTTGTTTTTGCTTCAAACTGCATTCATTAATCAGAAAAGAGACAATCAGCAACAAGCAGCTGGTACTGCGAAGATGATTTCATCAGTTGTGTCAGAGGTCATGAACCTTGACCCCTGTTAACTTGTACAATGATAGATGTCAAATATTGACCTCACTATGTTGAACAGCACTTTTCATTTGCCTTTACAAATTGATTTTAAATGGCAAGAATTTCTCCAAACCATTGTATAATTTTTCTTAAGTATAGTTCTCATAAACTTTGCATCATAAAAAATGTGTTAATTTTAGTAATTTGATTTTGTAGATATCTATATATGTACGATGCTCCGTATATTCCCTATAATAAACGCAAGATGATGTAATTTCCAACATGACTAAATTGCAACTCTGACCCTGGTATATTTAAATTGTAATTATCTCCTTTTTTAGCTCTAAATAGCAAAACTAAAAATGTGACATACTTGCCATAACGCTATGCAGATTCTGTACATCTCGCAATTGCCATTATATCATTTGAAATAGCATACAAGATGACAAATATATATATATATATATATATATTCATAGTTTTTGTGCTGCGACTGAACTCTTTAACAACTAACATTTTGTTTTATGTTTTCGAATTCGAATACAACGCATAGGCAGGGATCATGAAAGTCTTGATCGGCCAATCTATGCTATGATCGGTGTTTGAATTCTATCTCGACAATTAAGATATATTTAACTCTTTAACTACTTATACACATCCTCCTTGCTACCCCATTTGTAAACTTATTCCATATTAGGTAAACAAAAAAAGATGTTTTCTTAGGCAAAAGCAAAGCAAAGCATGCGTGTCACTGTTAGCATCCATTGTGCTTTCTCCCGCCCTCTAAACTCTTGCTGAAGCTTCCTTCTTGTTTAGAATCATTTGTACTATGTTGCATTATTTGACTTTGACTTTGGCCAGTATGTGTATTTCAATTGTATAGTTTATATGCTGTACACAATTGCAGCAGGTGTATTATAATGACCCTGAAATTGATATATTATTATGTAATAGGTGTTTGTCACATAAAGACTAGAGGGTGCAAAGAAGAAGCAAACAGGGTTTAAGTGCAGAAATTGTTACCGTAAATGATGTTAGTTATGTGTAAACATTTTTTTAAATAATAACTATTCATTTGAAATACCTAGATGTAGTACTAAACGACAAAAGAAGAAAACAAATGTTTATATATTTTCTTCATCTAACTAAAAAAATGTATTGAAAGAAAAGGCATTTCATCTGTATCAAATCCATGTTAGGTATTTAAATGTTAAACCTGATATATTCATAAGATTTTTAAACATTGTTATGGTTTATGTTTTTCAGTGTCTAAACTCTAAAGATAGGAACTGTTCTGAATATTGGATCTTTTCTTTTGTAGATCTCTGTGTTTCCATTCTTTCTGTAACCTCTGACAATAGAGGGTGAGGAAGATTGGAAACCATTTTCAGCATTATGTTCTGATGTAGGAGGGAATGGAATAAGATTGAGATTTGAATACCAGTCTCTATTGCGGTAGTCCTTTACTCTCCCATGTAACTTCAGAGTGTTAGCTTTCATACCTTTTCTAATAATCTTTTTAGGGCTTGATCTACCAAGTCACCCCATGCCGACTTTAACGATTTATGTGCATTGATGTAATAACACATGATACTTGAATGACCTAGAGAACTGTATAATTATAGACATTCCTGTTTTGTGTCCATTTGTATATTAACCATTGTAATTAACCAAAAAATAAAATTTTGATGATCATCCTATTCATTACCTGTAGTTATTCTGCACCTTATTTTTTCCATCATATAATTATTGTTTTTGATATTTGAAAGGTTTTTTTTCCTTCCTGTTCCAATAAAAAAAAAATCTCTTTTTGTATTTGATTTTGTGTTGTAGAAGTAAGAACATTATATTTTCATCTCAGGTTGGCAAAGTTTCAGATAGATGCACTGACTTAGCCATGATTTCTTGTTTACCCCACCTCCAATGTTAGCATCGAATTAGGTTTGTGGAGAGTTTATGTTTTTCTATTTAAAAGAAAAAGAAAGTTGAAGTATGTTTATGTATGATATCAATCATGTCTTAACATCAGTGATTTAAGAATACTCGAAAATAACCGCTCAAAGTATGTGTTCATGAGGAAAAGTGAAATTGGGGCAAACAAATTCGCTGGCTTCATGTCAAAAATGTTGAGGCAGGTTCTACGAGGGCATGCAGGTGATATTTTTTTACCTGATTGTTTTTGTGAAATTATGCAGATATGTTTCCTCTTTCTTGCTTCATATCGCAAGCTATAGCATAGCACGCCATTGATTAAACCAGAATATCTGATTAAATAGAAAACCCTCTTCTAAAAATATGACATAAATTATTACATAGTCATGCTGGACAAAAGAGGTCAAAGGTCAATTCATACTGGAATATGTACAGAACAAAAATGTCTTAAAACAACTTTTAATGTTATAAAGTGTTTCCCCCATATCTTTGTATATCTACGGTGCTCACTTTATGAAATATTCTGCTACAATTAAAACCACCTTTTATTGGAGCTCTCTGTATGAGAAAGGTTATAAATGTGTGACTATTGACTTTGCTGTATACATCTTATTCTTGTAACAAAATTGTGTACAAACTACAGATTTTGAAAACTAGAGGAACAAACGAAAAAAAAATGCATTAAACTATTGTAGATAAATGTGTCTTGTTATTGTAGAGTGTAGATGTCAATTGGTTTCATTTATAGGTAGCGCAAATTCTTTCATTTATTATTTTGTCATTACTATTTTGTTGTCTCATCATCATCATCTTTAACGTTGTTATCATTTGTTGATTTGTTTGCTCTTTCCAAAGTAAATAATTTCTTTTAATTTATTAGGGAAGCGATATTGCAATAAAGTTTGGGCCCTTGAGCCCACATCGAGTTCAGTGTAAACAAAGTTGTGGATGTTTTTTTCTTCTTTCTGGATTGTAGAATTTTCGTTTCCTAAGTTAAGTGAGATGTCGGTGTTTTGATTGGTCGAAGTGTTTTGAAAGTGTTGAGTGTGTGACTATCTAAAGCTAATATACTCGATAGTAGATCCAGAATTCGTAAATATAGGCCTACAGCGACATGAAAAACAATATACATGTACATAAATAACGAATGATGAAAATGCTTCGGCAATTTTGGCAGGGGGCACATGTTTGAGCGGGGGAAGGGGCAAAGCATGCTTAAAGTGCATAAAATAAAATAAATAAATAAATAAGGGTTTTATTCACATGACGTTCTGGCAGCCAAAGTTGAATTGCAGGTCATTGGCAAGGTATGGTGGTTAAAATGCAGCATTGTACATGTAAACATAAAATAAAATGAATGACATATAAAAGGATAAATATACTAGATACATTCATACGCATAAAATGCATCCATGGAACTGCCCCTATGACCCTCCCTACCCCATTGACCAGGCATTGATACCTGTATCAGGAGCAATATAGTTTAGACTGAAAGATTTCTTAATTCTCAGAATCGGATGAAGCTTTCCCCTAGAAATGAGGTCAAAAGAGATTGACCTGTCACCATAAATAAATAAATAGACAGATTTGATAACATATTCAAATGTAAGAACGTTTCTTTCCTGGGGACCTAGTGACGAGTTATTCATTAACCTATTATTAGGGACTATTAGTTTTACACGACGAGAACGTGGACTGCTCGTGTGACACCCTTTTAAGGCAATGTGACGTCACTGCCAGTGCCTTAAAAGGACGTCACACATTGCCTTAAAAGGATGTCACACGTCACAGTCCACGTCCTCGTCGTGCAAATCTAAAAATCCCTATTAATGAATGAACTAAAATACTGGGAATCCTGTCTGCATAGATTACTTGTTACTATGTCGGGTAAGCATCTGGCAAACTTTCAGGTTGTTAATAACGACCGTTGTTAAAAAAAAGCATACGTAACATTTGAATGTTAGTAAACCGGTCTTTGAGATACGTTTGTTTAAGAAATGTAATGATTTGAGTGTTCATGAGTGTTTGCAATTGAATGATTGTATATTGTATGCGAGGATATGTAGTAAGTTAGTGATGATAACATTTTTGAAAGAGGTGGATAAACATTCTCAGGGATACAAATCTCGACAATCAGAAAAAAAGACAACCTCTATCTCAAAAAATGACTTATAAAGTAAAACAGTGGCAAATATTTGTCAAAACAATGATATGATATTAATGCAGGGCCCTCGGGGAGAACAGTATGAATACTGATGAGGCTATTCTCGGTAAACAAGACATATTTTTTGCTATTATTATTCAAACAATTCATCATGTTAAGTTGCCTTTCTTGTCACGAGGGGATACATTAAGGTAAAAGCAATCATATTTTAAACATCAAAATACAATAGGAAGATTGTAATCTACACAATGATCTAGACTTACTGTTTCGTGACAATGAAGCGTAATATTCACTGGCAGTTAGCCAAAATGCAGGTTCAAAAAGTCGAATCTCTTCGAGTTTTTAAATGTACAGAAATAATTATAAAGGAGTGAAGTGAGGAAAATGAAAGGAGGCAAATCATTGATAATGTTCCAATTTAAACAGAAGTAGGAATGGGAGGGGGAAGATAAGGGTGAGGATTGAGAGAGGAAAGGGAAAGAATGCGGAATATAGTAGAAGAGATAAAAGAAACTGGGAGAGAGGAATAGAAAAAGGAGAGTGGCATAAGTCTTTTGCAACACCATTTAAGTATGTGTTTTTGTATAATCATTGTAAACCGTCTAAGATTCACAGCAAGGGCGTCACCGAACAACCCCGCTGAGTTCAAGAAAAGTGCAAGATGGCTCCTCATTCCAAAATATAGAATTAAAGATAAAGCACACATGCCTTGATTCCGTGCTTACTTCACAAACAATCAACAAACGTGTTCTCTTTTTCCTTTTCATTTCCGTGAAACATGGCAGCAACAAACAGTCCGTAAATCACACCTCTTTTTCTTAATTGTTCTGGTCAACAACGATCATGTGCTCACATCACAGTCAGCAAACCTCAAAAAAAGTCATAAATCCCAAACCGAGTGGAGATTTGATTAGTGTTTCCTGCCGTTGTGAAAATACAATGAACGTTGTCAAGCAACTGTCATAGACGGAATCCACATCATTGTTTTATTTCTGTTTACCGATATACGTCTGCTCTCGCTTTGCTCTCGAAAATGTACACCGTTTATAATCTGATCTGATTTGACTGGATCACGTGACAGAGTGGAATAGAGTTATGAGATTCACCGCTTTGATTCGCCCTGACATATGAAGGCCTTCATTAATCGCACACAGGAAACAGAATGTTAGAAACTATTTAGAAAGAAGAGATTTTTTTTTGGAATAGAGCTGTGACTGTGTCTCGGGATGACGATTAGTTAGTTGCACGTTCGATTGAGGCGTCAACATTATTTGGCGCGCACACCTTTTCACTTCATCATCGATCGGTATCCACGGCAGACGATGTCATTCACTATCGCCTCAAAGTCCCCTTGATAACTCCAGGCTGTTGCTGCCGAACTTCTTTTTAATAACTGGACGAAAGGGGAATCAAGTAGATATTATTGTATAGCCTACAAAAAGATATTATGAAGAGTACGCTAAACTAATTGATTACCAATTAGTTCCAGAATTATTAATTAACACACGTTGCTTTTGGTTATTGGACTATTTTTCATGTGATGCATTTATCTAACTCTAACCATTTAACCCATCTACCAACATGTGCCCATACCAAGCAATATTATAGGGCAGCCCAATTTATAAGTCTGTCACCTATTTAATTATATGGTTTATTATTAAAAAAACCATTCAGAATCGCAGCCCAGTAAGGCCGAAACATATTGTATTTACAATTTAAGAGTAAAAAACGTCATTTAACATATGATTCAATGAAATGCAATCTACCAATAATCTATTAGTCATACTGTTTATCTAAGTACCCGCCTATATATACATGTTATCTGTCTGAGGCGGACGCAGAAGGGGCTGAAAATGACCCCTAAAATCCAATTTGAGAAATTAAAAAAACGGGGGGGGGGGTGCCAAAAGAGACAAAATCATGACGAGAATTCTGCTCACCCACCCCGGCTCCACCGTTTCGGTCTAGGAGGGCCGGCGGGATTCCCGAAATAATTCCCTCACAACAAATTTTTCACGTCGGGATTTTGTTTTGTTCCTACTGCAAAAGTTCATGGAAATCAAAGAATCAAATTGAACTTCAAATCATTAGTGAACCTTCAGCATGGCTGATAGCTCATTAAACAACAAAAAATGATTAACTATGAGCGCGTCCATCACATTGATGACTAAATCGCGTGATTATGACTATTTTTGTTTTTCTCATGACCCCACCTAAGCCCGATGTTTCACTGGAAACCGTTTGATAAATTTGCTTGAACATCATTTTTTGTTAATGGTACATTAACTTTATCAAAAATCTGTTTCGCAGCCGGAAGGCCTAATTGTACTATTTTTTTGTTTGTTATAGATAAAGAGAAAAATGCATGCTAGAACACATACAAATAGTATGGCAAAGTAATGTAAGATCTTTGTAAGATCTATAATTAATAGTTAAATCTTGTTATGGTTTCTTTTAGATGTCGTTTCAAATGTCTCTCACCCCCCCCCCCCACCAGCATAAGTACCTTTAAAACAATCCTCTGCATTCGATTTTTAAATTGGAATATGAGCTACATGTATGTGCCCTGTTTACTGAATTTACTTTGGCAAAAACTGTATTAATTTGTTCTCTGTAAATGATTCTGAATTATTTTCTTCCCTCGAGTTGATTTCATATTATCTTGTGTCGATTTACCAGAAAATGTTGAATGGGGAAAGAAGGTGTCGGAGCACATTTTGCTCAGAGGTTTGCCAGAAAGAAAAAAAATCATCAAGCAAAACAGACCACGATGAGTGGGAGTTAGTTTGAAACCCATCCCTTAGATATGAATTAATCTATGAATCAATTTGATTTTCTTTTTTATCCAATGGCAATACATTTGAAATACGTTTTCTAAACTATTAGTTAACGCAATTAGAAAGTCGGGAATAGTTTATAAATCAAATTCGATGATTGAGGAAAGAATCTGGCTTCGCTATCCCTCGCTTACTCCGCTTCCAATCACCATGAGACATTCTCAAATCAATACGGAGCCATAGATATCTTTATCTCATTTATTTGTCATGTGGTATGTATGATTCAGGCGCGTAGCCAGGGGGAGGGGCGGTGGGGGCGGCCGCCCACCAAACAAAAAACGAGAGAGAGAGAAGAGAGAAAAAAGTAAGAGGACGTAGGAAGAAAAAGGAGCAGGCAAAGAATTATGACAAAGACTGTGTTAAAAAGATTATAAAAGAAATAACAGATACGCATCATATATTATCTTTATTTAAAAATGTAATTGTGAAATGAGCTTTGAACTCTATTGCCACCAGCCCTGCCTAGTTCGCCTTTCGTCCAGATCGACATAATTGTCAGACTTTCAGAAAGGAAACACCTTCGAGCGATGAAGTTCTAGATCCGTTCTGTTCCTCCCAGAGGTCCAGACGGATTCTATACTACTTTGAGCAGTTGAGGAGAGTGTAGGAATTGCTAGCCAGTATGTAGATACAACCCCGCTCTCATACCAGAAATAAACAAGACATAAGTCATAATAATGTGGCAAATAATGACTAACATATTTCCCGCAAGCAATTATGGAAATCTTATGATGAGATGCTGATTGTTTGGTGATATATTTCTCACGTGCATGATGCTTATTTCTGAAGATATCCTTTAAAAAAAAATGGAAATCTTGTATAACAATGAATAAAAATTCAGACAATGAAGAGAACGGTACAACAAATCGTCTTTCTTTTCTCTAATAATTTAATTAAACGTCAAAGCTTCCCCTCACTGCACCCACCCCTAGGAAGCGCGCTCTGTAAGTGATTCCCCCCCCCCCCCACCCTAAAAATCAAATCCTAGCTATGCGGTTGGTATGATCAACTTAAATTATTTTAGAATTACACCAGTTTTGTGCTCTTTTCATCGTGGCGATTGATGGAGCAATGCGTCCAACGAAAGCACGCCCTCTCAGGGTAGAACCTTCATCATGAAGCATCGCCGGGTTTTCTATGAAAGACACTCTTCTGCAAAGACGTGTTTGAAGACAAACATTGATAAAAGATTACATACATTCTGTATTTTTCATCAATATTCAACTTCGAACACATCTGTATTGAAAATCCTTGCAGAAATGTGTCTTAAATGACATCCATCTTCTTTCACATTTTGCCATTCAATATTTTGGGCTCCCAACACTTCAGAGGGGCTTTAATGTTATTTTCTACCACTGGCCAGGAAATCACCGATAGGCTTCGGCGATCCTATGTAGGATGTTTATATGTTCAAACTAAGTAACTCTAGGTGATGCATAATTCTTTATCTAAATGTATAGTTTCGTAAATGGACATACAAAAGAATAACAACTCGCCTAATTCATAACTATTTGGTATGAGATTTATTCATAATCAGTACAGTTCAACAATCCATTTTTTCACAGTAAAAACTTGAATTCCATTGCCAAGGTCCAACTCAGACTCTTAGACCAAACAAAAATGAAAGAAAAAAAGAACACAATAGCAAGAAACACAATATTTCACAAATCTATGAAAACAATAAATAACGATGGTTGAATATCACAGAAAATGTAACAATAAATGATCATACATCAATAAAGAGTCTATGCTATCATTACAGGAAAGAGTTGAAAGGCTAGTTCCAGACAGTTTGTTTCTACATTTCTTTTTGCATATTGTTTTGTTACAGAGATGTTCTCAATCTACAATTCCTCCTCGGTTTCTAGTTTTTTTCCCATTATTATTCATTTTATTTTGCTTATGTGAATTTCACTCGTCTGATTTTGTTAAAAAATTATTAAAGAGTGACTCAAAAAATGAGAATTTCTTCTCCATTAATAGACACTTGTGATTGTGGTGTGATTTCCAGGAAAGAAACCTTCGATAAGTACATGGTAATACCTTTTATTTTACATTAGAAACTAACAACATACTTTTATATTCATCAATAAACAAAAAATTAAGACTAGGTAATGTTGTGTAAATCCAAACAGTTACCATCTTTACTGTATGTGCATAGTAATGTATGTTTATATACGTGAATATATTATGGTTTACATACCACCATATAATGCTGACTAAATGACGGTTACCACACTTTAGTAGAACACTTTACTATTTTGTTTTAAATATTGCAAAATATTCACTCATTGTATACTATTGTGATATACTATTTCAATAATTGATTACTGGTAAAGGCTTTTACAGATATGGTGCAGTAGACCGCCCCATAGAAGCCACTATGTTTAAAAAAAATGTATAAACAAATGGCAACTGCACCCAACAACGGACTTGAGCGTATTAACTGAGCTGTGTATTATAAGATACAGAAATATGAAGCGTGTTAGACTTTAAGTCATCATTTTTAAAAAATGCTGCAGTTTTACATATCTGTACGAGCCCGTACAATGATGAAAATTCTTTTACTATTCTTTAACCCAGTAACCCCTTAACTAAAGTGAACTATTGTCAACAAATATATACGAATTAAAACAAATAAACAACACAATGGCACCAAAAACAAAGTTATCCATAATTTTGACAATTACATTAGATCATTTGAAATATATTGTATTGCAAATGACATTTAATATTCAAATACATAATATTTTCAAATTATAAATGCCTCAAAGGGCTTTTCAAATATTTTTTGAAACCTATAGGCCTTGTGCTGACGACAAACATAAAAATACAGATGTTTTCAGCATTCCTAACAGCTTTTTAATATGAAATACAATGCTTGTGAGCAAATATGTGCTTAATATCTTCTGAAATTACACCAAGAAAAAAACAAAAAAACACTTTAATCCAATGAATGACATTAACTGTCCCCCATTAAAGTCTCTGAACATTTTTATTGAACATAAAATGACAGCACAGACATGCATTTTGCAGATAGGCTTAACGGACCTTTCTGCTTTAAATCACCACTACCATCGAAAGTGAAAACAAAAAATACCCATATGTGTGCAGTGCATTTCCCTGTTGTTGTTTTTTTCCCCTCAAGATTGATTAAGTTCACTATCTATAATATGATAGCTCCAATTTTCAAAAACATAATAAATACACTATTATTTCTTTCAAAATTAACTTTTGACAGTTTTATTAATAATTCAGTCACTTAAATTGCACTCAACCTCCTCTTTATACAGTCAAACCTGCTTTAGTGACCACCTGTCTACAAAGACCACCTGTCTACAAGGACCACATTTTTTGTTTCCCTTGAAAATGGTTTCTCATTGAAACATGTACTAAAGGAACCTGTCTACAAAGACCACTTTTTGTGTTTCCCTTGGGCGGTCGCTGTAGACAGGTTTGACTGTAAATGTAAAGATGTCTTAAAGGTAAAGACCAGTATTGGAAATGCCCCAATTTCAAAAAATGAAATGGAAGCTCTCATTACCAATCATGTGAAAGAATATGTTTTGACTAATACATGATGATAAAAAATTTGCCGGGAAACCGCCTACTAATTCATATATTTGGTAAATTTGTTTCTCTCATGGTCTGTGAGAGATATAGGGTAGTCCCATATACATCTTTCTGTGTATAGTGCTTGTAACTTTACAAAGAATGGGCCAAATTTCTTATCATTTTGATGATTCCAGAACCTTGCAGATGCTAGATGCTAGATGATCAACCTTTTCTGATCGATTACACAACGTTTCTTTCACAATGCAATCGCATGACCATAACTGGTCTTTACCTTTAAAGAGTTATGGACTTTTCACCTTTTTTAATTATTTTTTTTCCCTCTCATAAACTACGTTAACACAATCATCAGGACTTTTTATACAAACATCAAACATAAATTCTAATGCTACATCCATGAAATCAACGATACCTTTATAAAAATGATAGCACATTTCACAAAGATTCTGATCGTCCTGTACTTCTTATTCATGACCGAAAACAAAATAACAGGGCAGTTGAGTTGAAAGGGCAATGGGCCATTGTATTTGGGAATGCCTTATCCTAAATAAGAAGTATCTGTAACTCTATGCCACAAAAGCAGTTCAAATATTTTCAGAGTGTTTTCAGCAGCATCATATGGGTGTAGTAAAAACATAGTGATTCAGCTAATAGATCCAACTCTTTGGTACAGTCTGTTAGAAGAAAGTACCCATGGACAAAATTCTTGAGAGGAAATATAATTGAATGTGAAACTAGAAAATATTTAGTTCTTACTCACATACCATATCATCATTTTGAACTTGTAAAATTTGCTGGAAAAAAAATGATGGGAGACAAAAATTAATTAAAAGTTATAAACAAACCTCTCAATAATTGGTAAAGCTTATTCTTAAAAAAGGAAATCAATTTTCATGGGACAGCATATTTTATTCAACCTAAGATAGAGCTTTCACACAAAAAAAAATCTTAATAAAACACAATTACCTTTTTGGTAGAAATATTTCAAGCCATATTTGTTTGTTTGTTTTTGTATGAACATGGAGGAGGTCTACACTGTACCCTATAAACAGTTTTGGGTTAATTTTGGTGTTAGCCATTCAATTGTTAAAAGTCACATTGAATTGAATGACTACATAACTTTCAAACACACACTTCGAGACATGTAGAAACAATTATATAACAACTGCTATATTTGTAAAGCACGTAATACGATGTTTCAAGAGCTGTATATAATTTTGCTCCTCTTTCACATGAAAACTGCACTTCAAACCTTTCAAGCTAAATTTTCCTAAATGAAAGCATACCATAAGTGTCATCAATATTTTCCTTGTCACAATATTTTTGTATCATTTTATTCGGTCTTGGTGACTTTTTAGCAACGAGGGATTAAATCTCTATCTGGTTCTATGAAACAGCAATACAGTTTGCCTCTCCTTCAACCCTAGAAATAGTTCCACTCCCACTAAACCAATATGCAATTCTTTTTTGCTGAAAACCAAAGTCTTTGACTCTACCTAATAGTACCAATAGAACTCTTTCTAATGTTTAATGTCTGTAATTGTTTTTTACAGTCATATGCTGAACAAATTATACCAAACCTAATAATGGGCAGCAATGCGGACATTTTTTCCTTGTATCTTGGGTACAATATGGTGTGATTACTTTACCATCTCAAACTTTGGATGATAAAAGTAATGATGACTTACAAAATTCTTCTTCAAATTCTAGTTTGTTAAAGCCCATCTGTACTAGTTAAGAGGAGGGATTAGACCACCCTGCAAGGTCACTGGACAGGTGGTTATCTCATCAAATGGTCACCAATGACGCATTGTTTGTTATATAGAGGGCGCAAGCAGCTATAAGTAGTGCAGTAGGGCTTTAAGATGTGTCATTGATAACTTTAAATCAGGAAAAGTATCAAAGGATGAGTTACAAATTGCTGTTAAATGACTGGTCTTTTCAGAGTCTCATAAGTCAAATACAATACCTGTATTAAAGTAAGAATGAGTTATTCACGGTTCTTAGAGGAGGTTTGGCGGGCTATTGCTGCTGTTGCTGCTGCTGCTGCTGGTAGGGGTCCTGGGGAGCGAAACGGCTCAGCATGCCGATACACTTTGTGAGGAAATTAGCGAGGAATGCTGGCGTGTTGGGCTGACTGCAGTACTGCTCTGTGCGTAACCTCATCTCGTGGAATATTTGTCTGTAATCGAAAGAGAATATACAGATAAATAATGCTAAATGACCCTGCAAATGATCCGACTGGCCAGAATGCTCCCCAGGGAGTGGAGAATGTGCATGCATTGTGTGCGGGTAAGCCTGAATCCGATGACCGGGGTAAAAATATGTACTGCGCCTAGAAACAAAGTATTAGGCGTATTATAAAAGTGAGCTAATATTGTATTATTACAGAAGGAGTACGGAGAAGTTGTTTAAGTCTGTTCATCAAATGTTTGAGAGTTTTATCCAGGACCAAGGCTTAGTACATATAAATAGTAATATTAATAATAATAAACAGAGAAGGTTCTTGTACAGCGCTCATGACCGTCAAACTTGACATTCCTGGGGGAGGGGGGGGGGGTGTTTCATAAAGACTAAGATCAACTTTAAGTTGGACTTAACTATGGCAGCCCTTTCATGCCATTGGTTGCTCTCTCCATTGGTCTTTCAATTATAATCTTTAGATAATATTTTTTCCTTCAATAACGAACTATCATTCTTCAGATTTGTGACCACAATTTGTAAGTCCCTTGAGAAACCAATGCCAGGAAATGGTGAGAGAATACAGTGGCATGAACGGCCTGTCATAGTTAAGTCCAACTTAAAGTCGATCTTAGTCTTTGTGAAACACTCCCCTGGCACTCAAGTAATGATACCCCGGCTTAAGCATGGGTGCCCTCGCATTATTTAAAGATGTGAATTCCTGCCAAGTATCCATTTACCTCACCTGGGTTGAGGGTGGCAAATGTATCTCAATGTCTGGCTAAAGGACGTTGGTGATGTGGAAGGGACTTAAACACTGTACTTTTATATTCATCCAGTCATGCTTGAATGAGCATGCTTTAAAGACAAGTTGGCCACATTTAAAAATTCACAAGATTGTAATTTCTTTAGTGAAATGAGAGAGAGAGAGAGAGAGAGAGAGAGAGAGAGAGTCAATTTCATTACTGTCTGCCTACTTGTCATGTTGTGTAGTTGTAAATACAGTGAAACCTGTCTATAAATACCACCTGAGGGAGACAAGAAAAGTGGTCTTTATAGACAGGTGGTCTTTGTGTACAGATGCTTATAGTACATGTTTCAATGAGAAACCATTTTCAAGGGAAACAAAAAAAAGTGGTCTTTGTAGAGAGGTGGTCACTAAAGCAGGTTTAAGTGTATCAGTAAGGTTGATATTCTTGTTACTCACTTGCAGTATGGATTCCTTCTTGAGGCATAGCGGAATGTCAGGAATCTAAAGTACATGAAGGGGGCTATCAGATTCATGCGACCACTGTGATTGGAAAAGAAAATACGGACATTCACAGATAGAAAAAGTTCTTGGTTAGCTAGCTCATATTCAATTGACTTGAGGATACAGTATGCAAATAGTGACTGCTTTGTGGGGCATGGTTAAACAAAATAATGCTGAAGTTGATCTTGAAACTATACTGTGTCACAAAACAAAGTGGAGGGGCATAGTGTAGTCTCGAGATCACCAGGAGCTAACGTTTTAACCATGAACTGGAATATAATGTATATCTCGTGTGTGAATTCTCAAAAAGGGATGTTTCAATAAACATCCTGTTCAAAATGTATTCATTCAATTTAATAGGGAAATTCACAAATCTAAAAGAAATCTGCGTGTCCACTGCACAAATCCATTGTTCACCTCATGCGCATTTATGGCGTCCTTGCATGTATGAACAAGTAGAGCTATTGCCAATCAATCTTTTGTTACTATACTGCCAAACAGTCAGTAGTGAATTTCATGCCTGCAGATTTGTGTATATAACAGGATATGGCACACCAGTAATAAGAGAGTGATGACATTTCATTATTTGAAATCTGCCATTATTTCCTTGATTTTTCATTTATCTTCATATAGCATTGGAATCAGATTCACACAAATTACTGGAAAATAGTCAATGGTTTCCTACTTATCAGAAGGTTTTGCCACACCCATACCTTTAGTAAAACACAATCCATTGTCTGAGCATTGGCATATTCAAATAGATACTGAATAGGGTTATTATGAGGTATAAAACCCTTGAGTTTCATTATTTCAATGCACAATAATTTGACTAGCCTTTGCTATATATATATATATATAAGATGAATAACGTATTTGCCGGCGATAAGGCCGCAGCACCGTATAGGCCGCACCCTCGATTTTGACATTTAAAAAAAAAAAAAAAAAAAAAAATTGTCGGGATTTGATCTCTTGCGTTGAAATGTTGATGAGACTAAAATCAGCGCCTTAGACCGCTCGGCCATGCCGCACTGATGCTAGCATATGGAGTTTTCTGTGATGTATACATTGCGCCTCTCTCTTGCGTATTACTTTGCGTGCTAGATGCTTCGCGGCGGCTCCGTTAAACGGGCCCTTCTTTTACTTTTGCAATGCATTGGCACAAACTTAGATCAAGATCTATCGGCAGATGTTGTATTTGGAAGTTTATTTTCGTCTTCATGTCAACAATGCAAGATAAAATTGTCGGTAAGATGTGTGGAAATGTATAGTTATTGTACCGCTCGTAGATCTAGTCCCATATGTGCAAATTCGTGTTGGTTTTGACTTGCTTTTTAATTTTTTTTACTCTTTCGCCGCATAGGCCGCACCCCGACTTTTTGATATTTTCTCTTCCAAAAATACTGCGGCCTTAACGCCGGCAAATACGGTATGTATTTTCCAGTAGGCTATAACAGTTATTAATGCAAATATCAGTAAGAAAAAACAAATATTTTACCTATCATAAACAAGTAAATCTGTTTGCTATGTCTTTAGACAAAGGTGCCATGAATGTGTATTAGGAAGGGTGATAATGCACTTTAAATAATATATTTCAACCGTTCCGAGTACTTACGTGGCCATCATAAAGATAAGAACTGGCATAATGAGTATCTCATCAAGAGCTATGAAACGTAGGATGTCTACTTGGTATGAGATGACTTTATCAACAAGTCGACGCAACAACATCATGCTGTTTGGTCCGGCGATCTAAAAAAAGAGAGAATTGACAAGTTAATTTATTAACGAATGCGCAAAACACAGTACAGTCATGCAATCTATATGAGAGAACTATTATTAATTACTGGTATATCAGATTAAATCTGCACAATAACGGTACTAGCATGCTGATTGGCATGGTATCTGTTCTATAAGAGACAAACAATTTTTCTTTTAAATGACACCAAACTCCTAAATACAAGTACCTTGAAATATTTTGTAAAATGATTTAGGTATCCATCCGATACACACAGGTAGTATTTCATTTGATTGCATTAACCTTTTACGAAACATTAGGTATTTGTCCACAAATGTAATACAAATATTTCCCATGAACATTTATAAAAAAAAGTGGGCACTTCAAAGTTTGAATGAAAGCAATGAAAGTAGCAAATAACAATGTACATTAAACAGTAATTTATCAATCAAAAGAATAATGCAAGCCCTTCATTGTGACACCTGGGCCCTGTTTCACAAAACTTGTTATTAATAACAAGTTGCAATAATTGTTATAAGCTACTGAAATCCTGGCATTTGATTGGTTGAGAGCAAATTTGTCATAGAAATTTAGCACTTGTAATTGACAAGTTTTATGAAACAGGGTCCAGGTGTTAGTAAAAGAAAATGATACTTACATTGGCAAGTTTCTTGGTGAAGCTAGATGAATGTAAGACTGCAAACAAGAAAACTGGTGTCAGCACAACTGAATTCAATTGGTCAAGGAAAGATAAGAAGATGTAAATACTCACTAAGACATTGTCTGTTTCATTGTATTGGTATACAGACTTTTATGCGGTAAGCATAATAAGTTTAATTCAATTAAATTCAACAATTCAAAATTTCATTAGTTAACTATCTAGACTTATTAGCTAGCGCTTGAGACTATTTTAGGCTAGACTGGTTTTTAGCCGCCAAGCAACTGTCTTGGACGCAAATAATCTAAAGTGCAAATAGGATTATTAAACTAAATAATTGCTGGATAATTATAAATGGTATGTACCAGAAAACTTAGCCTTATCAAAGGGTTGTCGTCTTTCATTGAAAGTTGGCCTGAAAAGAAGTATACTTATCTAAGAATGGATACACTGAACAAAGAATAGGAAATCATGAAATTTGATGGCAACTATATTACAGGGAATCTTTGTCAATAGAAGTAAAGAACCAGTATGTGTGATTTGAAACAGGAAAAATTAGCATAGACATTTACTCAAAAGATCCCTTTTAACTTTCTTATGAAGGAACAGACAAATGGAGAGTTCTCCCTGTATGACAGCACATGTATAGAACGGAACTGCCAACAAGAATTTTCCTGTTCGTCATTCCCCCCATATGATTAATAATCTTGTACTTTTATCTGCTCCAAACAATTTTTTCATTAATCACTCAAATGATAAATAGGCTGGCAAATGTTATAATGTTCTTTCTTCTTATACAAGATCGGTCCTTTTCAAATACTTCACATGATGCCATTCATAATCAAAATATTAATTTTAAAAAATTAATTTTTTTTTTTTTCTTTTTTTTTCTTTGAAAATCGTATTTTATTAAGGAAAATCGTACTGTCGTATTTGCTTCTAAAAATCGTACTAAATACGACTAAATCGTACTGGTTGGCAGGTCTGCTCTAAGTTGGACATAAAAATTATGGAGAGCCATTTGTATCAGGATTTAAATAAAGTATATTCAAAAGCAAAAATTCAAGTATTTTAGACTTTTTATAGATTCCACATCAAGAACATGAAATCTCCTTGATAACAGAAAACATGAAGAATTTGAATCAACATTTTATGCATTTTAAAATAACTTTTACAAAATATTTTCATAGATGCAATGGCTTTCCATAATTTTTAAGCCCAACTTAGGATCTTTGTAAAACACCCCCTGGTCCTACTTCCTCTTAGAGAGTCTCAAGCCAACTTGAAGAATAAAAGGATACATGTGAGTGGGTAGCTGTTGATGAAGATGAGCGAGTAGAGGAGATTGTGACAGCTGTCCTCCAGCAGAAGCTGTCCAAGGTACATCCTGTTGAACTGAACACGCGGCATGCGCTGATGAAGTCTTAGGGCACTGGTCAAACCGTTGAGGATCAGGGCTCGTTGGTAGGAGCTGTGACCGGCTGCTTGTCTGGGGGAAATAATAATAATAATGATGATAATAATAATAATCTGGATTTATATAGCGCTTAATACGAAATAAAGTCTCTAAGCCCTTTACAGATATTATTACCCGGTCATCAGATTTATTCATGCAATTTGTGTACCACCTTCACTCCCTGGGGATTATTCCTACCATATGGTAACCCTGGGGCATATAGGAATTACTAACACAAAGGACTTTGTCATCCTACCATGTCCCCATTTCTCTCCTGGGTATAAGGTGGCAAATGTAGATTAATGACTTGCGGAAGGACATAAGTGCTGTGTCGGGGATCAAACCCACAACCTTTGCACTCCAAGCCAAAGGCTTAAACCACTCGACTATGACACCTCTACACATGCATTGGAGGTAAGACCAGGGACGTGATAGAGAAGGACTGGAATCAAGCCACTCTCCATTGACCCCATGCTCCAAGCCGCCAAAAAGTTATGCGCTAATCTGCTACTGTTGACCAGGTGGTGAGATAAAAGGGCGCATGAAATTTCATGATTTAGAATTCCTACATCAGAAAATGGTATCACAGCAACTGTTCGCTGTCCCTTTCAATGATTTCTCATCCACTGTTGAATGTGAAAAGAGTAGAACAAGCGAACACAAACTTGTGTAATTTCATGCTTTTTTAAACTTCAAAAATACAAAAAACACGCGAAAACACGCATTAGCAAACTGAATGTTATTAAAGATTGTAAATCATGGATTAAATAACGGGACATTAAAGCATGCACAAATTAGCGCATCATCCTAAAATATTGAATTTTTGTCAGGATGTAATTTTTTTTACCAACTCTGGCACACAAATTATAGGTGGAAGGAGTACTAAATTTGAAAATTTTATGCACTATTCCCAAAACAATCCCCAAATAAAGTTTTTGATTTACACTGAAATTTTGCCGGTAATTCAATATTTTGTAATAAATGCAAATCTGGTGCCTGGCTTCCGAAAGTCCCGCAGTGGAAGCGCGGTTCGGAGCATGGAACTTCAAAGCCAAGTGGAATGTTACACATCTCATTGTTACGCTTTAGAACTCACGAATGCGTTTGAATAAATTACAAGAGTTTCGCCTCCTTTCTTTCACCTCCCTGGTAAGACTTACACTCTAACAAATGACTAAAATTTATTAAGTCCTCATCTACTCATCTGCTCAATGGTACTGTTACTGTTGAGGTATACCCACATCCAGCTTTGGGGAATATATCTCCTTCTATGTGCATGTTAATAACATTTCTATGTATGCTTGGATTTATGAAGGAGACAACAATTCTTCTACAACTATTCTCAGGCATCTCATCACTTGGACGAATATCCCCTGATCAATTTGATAATTACCTATTTAGGAATTACCACTTTGACACAACTAAAACTTGAAAAAGTAACAATTTGAATCTGAAGTAATATGAACTGAAATGTAGAAAGATATGTATGTGCAAATATAAATACAGAGAGGGGAAGGGGGTCTTTATCCGTTAACTGAATCTCTGGTAATCTTACCCAAGAATAGGGAATACATATAGGATACTGCACACAACTGTAGCAAGACGAGACGCCCACAGGGCCGCATCTACTTTGAACTCGGTTAGGTGAGCCTGGCAGAACAAGAAATATAAATGACATGTTTATAGTATATAAAGCTTTCCTAAAACTTTCCAAACGGGATGTCAATAAGAATACGATGCAAATGATAATGACATTGATGAGTAATGATATTGAAAGAAATTCAAAATCATCTCCTCAAAAATATCACTTGCTTGTCAGTTTTTAAATTAATATATAAATATATAATTATATATATAAAGAGAAAGAAAGAGAGAAAGGAAGAGAGAGTAGAGATACATAAATGTAGAAGTTGCAAACGTGAACAATAGCATCACGAAATATTGTACGAGTAGAAAGAGTAGACACTCACTGAGAGCTTTGATGGGCCAATCAAGTTGTTCACTGCATCTCATAATGCTCAAATGATTACAAACAGGCAATACAGAGGAACCAGCACGAACATTTGTAGTAAAAAATTTAACTTAATTCTGCAATAATTATAACCTAGCTGATTAAATTGTTCTCTTAAAGGTACTATGTCCCTTTTGCAGCCAACCTCAAATTCTGTAGAACTTTGCAGGAATTATGACTATGTCATGTATGTCCTATCTGTGCAGTGTCCTTATATTCAAATTATGCAAGGAAACCCGTTTACTTGCTAGACTTCACTGTCAGACACTTTTGAGTGACTGACTGGCTTTTTTTCTTCTTTGGTAATAACATACATGAAAAGAGTTGTAAAGGGTACATGAGCATTTGTCTACATCATAACCCACTTCTTGTGATGGACAAGATTAAACTGATTGAATCTTTGCGCAGCATAAAACGTATGACCATTCGGTACAATTGTCTGAAAATCAAGACTATTACTTTTGGGCTCTATAGCCCTTAAGTCGATTTGACAACTAATAGTCGTTATTTTCCCACTTGAAGACATTTTCAAGCCCCACCTTTTTTAGGGAAGTTCTAAATTAGTGTTATCTTTCAAATGCATTTGGAATTTAACTTTTTCATTTTTTGGGCCTGCAAATGGGACATAGTACCTTTAAATCTATTTTTGGTCATAAACCCAACCCTGACTTGTTGATTTATGCTTGATCTACATGTTCATGTCTCAATTTGATTGTACTTACCACCACCTTCCCAATTCCAAACTGCCCACCTGTAGCCCCATCGGTGGCACTGTTGCTTCCTGATGTGGTACTGCTCGAGGAGGAACTGGGCGGAGTGTTCCCTGGGGCATCATCGTTCATTTCTTCTATGGTTGGCATGACGATATTAAATGATCAAACTAAGCACTCTGAAAATATGAAAAAACAGAGAAGATTACAGGGAGAAGTGAGCATTTTGTCTCTTCAAGTCTGAAGCTTTGTTTCAGCACAAAAATATTTTGCACGAATTCTTCGAATTAAAAAAAAACTTACATTATCCAACATTTATGAGCCAACATCCTTTGTCATTATTTTCTCAGATCCTCATTAAATTCTTGTAAATAATTCACATTATGACGTGATGATCATTATTCAGTCCTTCACTTCACGCAAGCGGGTCTGCCCACACCCCTTTGTCGGTACGGTATGCAATTGTATTGTATAAATTGTGCAGTGCCAGTGGTTTGCCGTGAAACCTGTGAGAAAGTGTAATTCGCCGTCGGCAGTTTTCGGCCGGTCCGTTGGATGCATGGTAAAATCCCTTTAAAATACATTGCATAATAGCATATCCCACACAAACCATAACATGCCAGAGTCACTGAAGAACTACATTTGCAATGGAAAATATATCCTTAAATATCACATTTTAGCGATGTAATCGACGGTCCTAAATCTAAAAAATACTTTAAATACAGCTCATTTTATGGTACCCATATTCCTTACAGACACGCGTAAGATACTCGATTTTTCAGATTCGGGTAGCGGGACCGCCGATTACATAGCTAAAATGTGATATTTAAGGATATATTTTCCATTGCAAATGTGGTTCTTCAGTGACTCTGGCATGGTATGGTATGTGTGGGATATGTAATATGATATTATGCAATGTATTTTAAAGGGATTTTACCATGCATCCAATGGATTGGCCGAAAACTGCCAACAGCCAATTACCCAGAATCTCAGAATTGGTGTCCAAACATCGCTTAGAAGCACTAATGTCTAGAGGGGGTGTCATTTGCATTTTAAATTGATGCACGGTTCATTTGGAGGCATAGTTTAAAGGTTTGTGTAGAGTTCAGGTTTTTGACGCCTGGCGGGAGGCTGTTCTAGTCTCTTATTGTATTTGGTATGAAGCTGTTCAGGTACGCGTTTGTTTCGGCATTGTAGTGGGACTAGACGATCTCACAGATCTTGGTGCTTCATGAACATAATCAGGGATATCCATAGCAGCTTCCTGGTGGAATGCCTTGTAGAATAGCGTTAATCTGCTGTCTTTCCTTCATTGTTGGAGAGGAGACCATTCCACTTGTAGTACGATGATAGTCATTGTAGACAATCGTGCTGCCCTTCTTTGCCCTCCTTTGTACCCCCTCCTTTACTCTAGTTACACAGTCACAGAGTTACGGGTCAAAATGGATACGAAAGTACACTAGCACCAAAACGGTCTTTGAAATATGTCTGTACACAAACATATTAATAAGGATGAAAAGCCTCATTCAATTCAAACTTCAAATTATTCCCCATCATTCGCATTCAACACCTTAACACAAGAAGGAATACACACACTGCTATGAGTATGTGGGACTTAGTTGAGAGATTATCATGACAATATATAAATTCTGCAGGCGATTGAAAAATTTGCAGGCAGAATAGTCCACGCATCGATACATAAAATAAAACTTAACTAGCATGTAATGTAAATACAATCGGTATTCAAGATGTAAGGCACTATAAATGTAACTTACCTTCTAAATATATGATTGTTTTGTGGCATTAATAGAAGATTTTCCTTCGAGAACAGTCGGCGCTTCTGGTCAAAATTCTATACTCTCTCGATCGCGATGGTGGCGGCAAGTGAGCAAATCAATCACTAACAAATGAAAAACTACTTTTATTCTTCCTGAAGATAATCATAAATTAAATGGTAGAAAATTCGAACTTGTACGTCATGACTATAGTCAGAATTTCCTTTCTACCCCTCTTTATCTTCTTCCTGATGGGCGACTGCATTCAACTAGCTGGTTATTCTGCCTTTTATACCCCCAACAAAAACAGAAAGCTGTCTATCAAACCAAAAACATTTCTTCACCAATTAAGACCCCCCCCCCCAAAAAAAATAATCAGACTTAGACCTAGCCCCCCTCCCCCTCCCCCAGTGCATCCTATTGGTTGAAATATTAAGTTATTGAACAAACCAGGGAGTTTGGATTGAAACTCTCTGCACAAACTTTACTTTGGGTCACAGAAAATTTGTCTTATCCATGTTTGTTTTGTTTTTCACCTCTTTTTCTGTTGTGTTTAATAAAGGGCCCTTATTTGCTGAATTACACTCAACATATTTATATCTCTATCATTAAAATCAATTTGAAAAAAGTGTTATGGTTTTGAATTGTACGTTTGACTAGACAAAAGTCTAGTCAAAATAATGCGTAAATGGCTAAAAGTTTTTTTAGGGTCATACATGTATTTATTAATAAGAAAAAAAACATGATTATATGCTGGTAAAAAAAACAAGGATAAAAATCGACGGAATAAAGAATTACAGCTGCTGTATCTTCCTCAATGTTTTTGTTTTTCCTTAATTCTTTCAATCTAACCAGGGAGATATTTGGTTTCACCCTTTCTCTCTATTCTTCCGATCTCGACAGTGTGCTACACAATTGTACAACATACATGTACATCATAAACTTACAACATCTTTCTTTTGCTCTCCCCCTATCCTTACTCTCAATTCTCTATCCCTCTCTCTCTCTCTTTCTCTTTTTTCCCTCTTTCTCTCACTCTCTTGTGCTCTCACTCTATTGACCTTTCCCATACACTCTCCTAACTCTCATATTCCCCATCATTCATCTGCAGGGGGATTTGAGAACTATTTTTTTACTTTTCTGATACCTTTCCCCTTTTCCACATACCGGTAGTAATCCAGTAAAGGGGAAAACTCAGTATCTCTGCTTATAACACTCCTCATATAATTATTTTACATCATTAATAGCTCATAACAGAGAAGTATGTCAGATGTCGACGCAGGATATCATTTTCCTGTCAAATTCTATGTTTCTCAGGTAAATAAATTAGAAAATAACTTTTTTCCTCAAGGGAATATCTAACCAAATGCTAAACATAAATTACATAAAGACATCAGAGCCAGAAAATGTACAGTAATTATATTTTAATTTTGTATAAAGACCATATTTACCTTAATCATATCTACTCAATTTATAACTTCTATAATTCATATCCCAGCATATTCACTTTTGAAGGTCAGGAAAATTTTTGTGAGGCACAAATGGTCATGGTTTAGACTAAACATAATATTTTGTATATATATTTTGAATAAAGCTGTTTTAGTACTTTTATGAAGAGATAATTTGGTTATCATAAATAGTTTTAGAAAAAAGAAAAAAGATATCTTTGACAGTTTATCTATCATATGGTAAAATACTTTTCAATTTTCCCCAACATTCAAGACAGCACATTTTAGCAAGAGCACCAAGTGATCTATACGAATAAACTGAACATTTTACATATAAATTTTGGAGAGGATACCAATTCATAAAATCTTAATACCATATCATGCACAATAGAAGCACAAATAACTGACAGAGTTGATATTATATGATGGTGACATAACCTAGAACAGAATAAAGCAAAATGTCTGTAGTTACGTTCTTAATCCTGCCATTATCAGAGATTTCAGATCAATATTTAGGGATTGTTTTAATAGATTAAAAAGGAATGTTCTTATGCTTTTATTGAAACAAAAAGTAAGTTCTTATAATGATGAAAATTACACAGTAACGTCTGTTTGGAGCCAAAGGGCATTAACTCATATACTCTAACACAGAGTTAACATACTTGTGGCACCAAATAGATGGTAAGTTGGTTGTTTACAGTACAAAGTTAACCAAATATATTTGGGTGTAAGGCTGTAAGTAGAAATTTCTCTTAAATATCTATGGCTCTTTATTGCTTTTTAATGTCATTGTTTATCATCCAAATTGCAGGCATAATTTACTATGATTGCATAAGGTTCTTCTCGCACCTCTCAACAGAAAAAACTCATTGGTAAACATTAATCTGGTACATGGAATGGGCTAGGCAACGATGACTGACAAGATTCAACCAACAGAGGGAGCCTTCACCACTTTCCCTGCAGCATTGACCATGATGCGGACACGGTCTTCACGGAAATCCATGGTCATCATTGAGTCTTCTGGAAGAATATCAACCTGTTATAAAGATATGGACAGAGGATACTCATAACTTGAGTGGCAGAATAATTAAGAATGAATCTCTTAGATGTCGGTATGTTTATATTTAAACAACATATCTATGGCATGATAAACAATCAGATTTACTTTGCCCCTGTTACTTTGAAGTGTATTTCCATTTACAGACCTCATGATTATCAACCACTTAATATTCATGCATATTTTAAAGAAGTTTTCATTCCTGACTTTGTTCAAAAATCATAAACTAAAATTAATAGGATTCTAGAGATAAACATGGTATTAATGCAGGTTCGTGTTTGCCCTTGGAAATAGAAGCAAAAATGAATAATTGCTCATCCAACCAGAGGCATACAGAATGACAGAATTAAACAAAATGTCCAACAAAAAAGAGATGGGGAGGGGGTAAAAAGAGATGGGGAGGGGGTAAATATGACAGAGGGGGATGGAGGGTGGGTTATCAAAGAGAACATCCCTTCTCAAAAACTCCTTTGGTTGGTTTCTGTACCCCATTGCATTTCAACTATCTCATAATTAGATCTATCTCCCCCCCCCCCTTAACCAAACAGCAAGTGGCCCCTCTACTGGGCCCACACAATGCCCTTGTTCCCAGATACAGTTGTAAGTCTTCCTATACTGTTTTCACACTGGCAAAATTTTGCTTAATCCGTACTATAGGTGGGGTTAAGGGGGGTCTTAGCCCCACCTATAGTCGGGGGTTAAGCCTATTCCACTTTCTGTTCAGACTCGTATTTACCAAAGTGGGCTAGCCCCACCTATAGTACGGGGTTAACTAACCCCGCAAAATAGCAGGGCTAACCCCGCAATCGTGGTGCTAACCCCGCAATTGCGGTGCCAACACTGCCAAGCGAATGAATGAGAACAGAAACGAAAAATAGTCCGGTACTACGCAATGGAGCGTATCGCAGCTGGCCAGATGCGAAGTAAGGAGCCCACTGTCAAATCATGACATTCACGATATCCGAGGCTAACGAATTGCAGTGAGAACAGCGCGAATTTTTTTCTAATTCCGGAATAGGCGCTAGTATGGGGATAAAAACAGCATGTGTGAAAAGCCAAAAAAAAAAATAGTCTGGTTATGGATAGTACGGGGCTAAGCAAAGGTCGGGGTTGAGCAAAACCAGTGTGAAAAGAGTACTAGTAAAATGGTATGAAAGCTTTGGTAACAAAGACCAAAGAAGTTTTTTTTTTTTTTTAAGTACTGGTGATGCACAATGAGATCCATGGTCAAATGGGATTACCTCAGATTATTCTGCAGGGATTTTCAGCTTTACACAGGATTAAGTTCTTTAATCATAATCTAGAAATGGGTAAGCTGCTTATGTGCAATTTATACCACTTATTATTGACTATAGAAAGAGATTTTAATAGTACTGTATATAGATTATTAAGAATCTTTTCATGAGAATAAAGCAATAGTTCTCCTTTGAAAAACCTCATAAGAAAGCAATATAGTAGTCCTAAAAGAGTTTCTATCATAACGATTAAAGCTAAATTGATGTAACACAGATATTGACAATTTAAACAAAAGTAGCTACAAAATCTGACGTGGGTAGTTATCATCTATCCAATATTTTTTTTCCTTTCAAAATTTCATTAAAAAAATGGGCATACCTGACAATGTTGTTAAAGGTATAGACCAGTTTTGGAAACGCCCCCCTCTCAAAAAATGAAATGGAAGCTTTATTACCAATCATGTGAAAGAATATGTTTTGAATAATACGTGATGATACAAATTTTGCCGGGAAACTGCCTACTAATTGATATATTTGGTAGATTATCATATCGATCTGGCCTGGATAGATATTGCGAATGCACTTTAACGTTAAACATTTGGGCATACTTATATTTCTGCTTTTTTGTGAATTTAGGTTGAAGTATTGACATCTATACCTTTAAATAAGGATTCATAAGTCCAAATTGCAACCTACCTGCAATCCTGGTCTATCCTGCAAGATGGCAGCCTTGGCTTCCTCTCCAGTCTATGAATACAATGGGTATTGATAAATAGAAAGTTCTCAAAGACATCTCTACCAGTACATGTACATATACACATCAATCAAACAGGCCCTAATATCCATTAGGCTTAAGGTTAGAAAGTGTTCATAAGACAAAATAGAACATTCTAAATTTTGGATCCTACTGGTACATTATCTAATGTACATATACATGTTCATGTATGAATGAACACTCCAAAACCAAGGAAATCATGAGTTGTCATTTTTTTCCAATAACAAGGCCGTTACTGACAATGAACATTCAAATCTCTTATGCCTTTCTTGCATGCAGCCAATGGAGTAAAACAATCCTATACTATGAGCATGATGTGTTCATAAGACAAAACAGAAGATTATAAATTTTGGATCCTACCGGTACATTATCCAATGTATTGTGACAATAAAAACAAACTACTGGCCAAGGAAATTGTGACAATAAAAACAAACTACAGGCCAAATAAATACAGTCTAAGTCGTCTTAATGGCCACCTCTCCATAAAATAAAGGCCACCTGTGTACAGTGGCAATTTTTGTTGTCTCCCCCCAGAAAGAAATATGTGTTGTAGAACTGTATAAGGAGGCCACTCAACTTTTTCTGTGTCTATTGGGTGACCTGAATGTAAAGCTGTAACTCACTGTATATTCAAACTGTGCAGGCACAGGCGATTAAACAATCAGAACAGCCCTTACCTTTCCTACCAAATCGGCCCACTTTGTCTTCGGAGACGCCATGTTATTGGACTTCGATGAACAAGCTGGAACCACGAGAAATGAAGCCACAAAGAGAAAGGACAGCAGCGTGAACGGAGTTACTCCTCTCATCTGGTTTTATGATGCCTTATCACAAGCGCTACTGGAATAAAGCAATAAAGACATATAAATGGTTGAGTAGGCTACACATGCATCTGAGGCCTCCTACTATCGTTGGGCAGTGAGGTGTGGGGATTTGGGGGAGGTATTATAGGAGGTTTAAAGTGTATTTTTAAAAGTTTGCTAATCATAAAAGTTCATGTATAGCATTGGTGATAACTGCAAATTCAATTTTTACAACGTATTTGATTAATGGATAAATAGTAAGATATGAATTCTTCTAACCTGCATGTCCATAAGAATATTTTATTAGCTTTAATCACCAATTGCTTTTGTTAACTCTCTTACACTTTTGCTTTTGTTTCTTTCGACTTTGATTCAAAAGGCAATTGCTATTGTAGGGTTGCAGTTCTAACAAATTCCTAGCACTCTTAAGTACACAGAGGCAGCCCAGCAAGACATGTTGTTTGAATGATAACTACTGGCTAACTGACCAGGTTTTAATGTCTAAAAGCATTACAACATTCTATGTTGCATTCCACATACATTCCATGGAAAGTAAAAGAAACAAATTAATATTCATTTCGCCACATACAAGTATAAATCAACATCACAAAGTATTCTTGAATATTCAAACATAATCAAAAGGTATATTCATACATGTAGTATATGTAAAGTACACTTTAAGCTTGACTGCATCAGGTGAACATTGAAACCAATCAGAGAGAGAGAGAGAGATAGATGAAAGGATGGTGGATGACAAGGGTGAATGTGAATGAGGGATGACCTATTAGTATGAAAGGGATGAATCATAGATATGAAGGGGGGTTTAAAAAGTTCAAAATAAATCCCTACACTAGTTTCAGATATTCAGCCTACTGTTTAGTAACTAAAATTAATTTTCGCAAATTCAAGATATCATTTTATAAGCATCATATTATAAATTCATAATAACAAACTCATGAATTATGAAAATAATTAAAGGGCCACTCTAACCCAACTAATATAGCCTTTCAAAACATGAATACACCTCTACTTATTAATATTCCAGCCTCTGATTTTTCAGAAAATCTCTAAATTGACAAAAAATGATAATAACCATCCATTTTTCAAAGTTCTCACGCTTGCTACGCCCCTCGAAAAAAGGTAATACGGTCACGTGGCCTTGATGACGCATTTGACGTCATTGCGGGCATGTCCGATTTGTCCTATAACTAATGACGAAATTGCCAGAAACGTACTGGGATTATCAAGTGTATATTATTATTCCAATAAACAACTTTTTTCCCCCAATTAATATCATAGTTTGCATTTTTAAAGACATTTTAATGCCTAAATCACCCTTCTTTTCACGGGAGAGGTGCCTGTAATGACGTCATAAACAGTTGCGCAATGAGGGTTCCGAGTCATCCTTTTTAAAGCTAGATTCCAGAATTATTGTTGATTTCTAAGAAAAATCATTGTCACATTCAGAATCTCCGTCAAAAATTATTCTGCATGTCTTTTTTTCAATTTTTAGCCCCGTTTTGGTTAGAGTGGCCCTTAAATATCTTATAACTTCATCATGACCTTTATCGTAATACAGGCATTGGTAATTAACTGTCATCCACTATTAATGAATGAGACAATACTGTGCATTTATAACTAAGTTAACTATTTCCTCCTTTTTTTTTTTAGGTGAATACTAATAGATATGTAAATCTAATCAAATTAGTCTTATTTTAGCCCTTTATTAAAACAGATGTGAATTTTTCAATATTTGTTTTTAACTAGAGCTGTAGAGCATAATAAGCAGATAATCCTACATGTAAATCATTTACCAATCTTTTCCTGGTTGATTGTCCTTCTTCTAAAGCATTTGTTGCTTTTGAACTTGATATTAATTTGTATAATTTGTCAATTGTTAATTTATTAACTACATAATAGCCTAATTTATTTGTAGGAAGTGGGTAGATATAGAAAGAGAGAGAGAGAGAGAGAGAGAGAGAGAGGAAGAGAAAGAGAGAAATGAGAGAGATACAAAAAAGAGGGAGAAAAAGAGAAAGAGGAAAAAATTAAGGGGAGGGAGAGTGACAGAGAGAGAGAGAGAGATAAAGGGAGGTACATGTAGATTGGTATAGAGAGAAAGAAAGAAAGAGAAGAGGGAGAAATAGAGAAAGAGAGAGAGAGAGAGCGAGATTGGTATAAAGAGAGAAAGAGAAGAAGGAGAAATAGAGAAAGAGAGAGAGAGAGATTTCATGAGTTCTTGAATTATCTTTAAAACACACGTTGATGCAATATGGGAAGATACAAGCTTTAGTCACTCATTGATACAAAGGGTCCACGAGACTGTTTAATGATTAACTTGATACAAGTGTACAGGTGCACATGTAAAGTCACTCTAATTGTACAGACTTCAGGCAGCATACTGTCAATACATGTAGTTTAATTGTTTATAAATACATGCATGTATACAGTACATGTGTATCTTTTGGTTCAAGAGAATCTTGAATTTAACACACTATCTACAAATAATATGTTTCTGAAGTCATTGTGACAACGTGTCAGAAGCAGATCTAGGATTTTGTAGATGGGGGGGGGGGGGGGGGGGGGTCTACAATTTAAAAAAAAATTGTTACTAACCTCAAGATGAATTAGTATTTACAGTTTTTTTTAAAAATAAATACAAATAAACAAAACAAATAATAAATGAATGAAGATCATCAGAATATTTGGGTGCCCTTTTTCAGGTATATTTCTCTGACAACAAAAAATTTTAAAAGAGGAGGGGCACATTTTGTTGTTGGATGATCTGACAGTCACAAACACCCATGAGCATGGGTTTCAAGAGTGGGATAGAGGGTGGGCGGGGGCACAGGCCAGTTGCGCCAGTAGTGCCCCCTTGTATCTCGGCACTTGTAAGTGACAAGCCCCGACGGCCAACTCAACTCAAAATAACTAACAAAAGAAAAAAATTATCATTAAAAATGATTAAGTTGTACGTTGTGCATTACAAACATTGATTGGACTGTTGGAAGTTATTAAACCCCTATTATAACACAAGTCTTAATTACCTAAATTCTGTGCAATAAGTTTTCAAACAATTAAACTATTGGTAGAAATTAACTTTCAGCTTCAGATGTTAATTAAAGACTGTCAATACTACTGGGCCAGAAGGGATTTAAGTCCCAGAGCGAGGTCACTGACAGGTGCATGTGGCTATCTCATTAACTCAGCTCTCAATTAACAGAAGAAAAAGAGGATCATGGGGGACCAACAGGCACCGATTGGGGAAGTTTTCTATATAGAGGGAGCAAGTAGCGCAACTGCAAGTAGGACAGTGGGGCTTTAAATTTAGCGACTATGCAATTAATCGAAATTTTGGGCATATTACATTATACATAACAACATCAACACACAGAAACCCAGTCTAGTTAAATCTTTAATGTAACTCAAAAGACAGAGTCACACCACCGGTAATAGCTAAAGCATAGTGGTCAATGCTAATGAGTCAAAGCTACAAGTAGGGCCAGCTACCATGATCGAGGGCCGGGACCAGGCCGGGCTGGAGGTACTAGGTGTGGCGGTATGTCACCAAGGCCAGTCATTGCGTGCCGTCAGAAATTATTTAAAAAAAAATCAAAATGAAAATTTAAAATCAATGAAGACAATAAAACTTAGAAGTACAGGGCTATCACGAATCCATCCTAACTCAAGCATTAAATATCCAAAAGCATTACAAAATAAAAAGGTTTAAATTCGAACAGATATACTCACACGTTATGGCGAATATGGGAGTATCCTTGCAATCCTTGGATCCTAGGATTTGAAATGTGGTCACACTATCTATTGCAATACACTCGCAATGCATGCATTGTATCAGCTGTACGTGCAGGACCTTTGTGTACAAACAAACACACTTCCGCATTTATTACGCAATCCATGAAGCGCCTGTTTGTTTGGGTCGTGTATGCGCTTGCGAATAAAATTTGAAGAACATGTGTGGAAAAGGAGGTAAGGTAAGGACTATAAAGGTAAGAGGAAATAAGTCAAAATGTGATTTTCGTATTCTTATTGTAATGTTAATTAAGATCAATTTAATATCCACACATGTGTGAGTGTATAAGGCCTTGAAACCATTCAATAACATTACCATCTATACCCCAATATAACAGGTCCATGGTCACACCAACAAATTTGTTGGTGTACAAACTGAACCCAGGCCAGACCAATCAATTTTTGGCCTTGGGAGCCGGGAGTAAGATACAATTTTGTTTGGATCTGCATGTAGCCGGTCTGTTAATTGTTGGTCTTGTTGGTCTGACTGTAGTGAGAGTATCACAAAAAGCATGGAACCAGGTTGAATATTTACCATCTTTCAATTTCATCAAGTATCATCTTGAATTATATGAAAATTACTTCTTCCTGTTTGCAGATTTTAACCTCAGTCTGAAGCTGCAGATTTTAACCTCAGTCTGAAGCTGAAGATTTAAAGATGGACAAGCCCTGAAGCCTAGCACATTACAGATAAACGTTAACGTTGCTATTGATTGGTGTTTCATTCATGAAAATGGCCATCTTGAAGAATAGACAGTTGTATATGATACAATAATTTGTCCATGTGATGTCTAAATAATGTGCCAAAATGATAACATCAACGAACACAGCGATGAAGTTTGGGTGCCTGCCATCTCGACGCCATATCCTTGTAGCAATCCTTCTGGTCCTGGTACTTCAGTTGGTCCTATGGGTGTTTGTGGCCTTCAAACCATCCAACAATATTACAATATACCTTAGTCGATCCATGGACGGTAGATCACAGCTAGCGCAGAACCAGATTGATTTCAAGGATGCAATCTCAATCGGTGCTGAGCAAGGACATCATGTCAGGAGTCGAGGCAATAAGACATTTGGTAAGAGGGAGAAGAAGAAACGTGTGAAAGGTGGCTTTCTAGCCAAGTTGGATGCCTTGAAACACGGTCAACTACGAGAAGGAGATGATGCATCTAAACATGATCCGGAGAAGAATGGTAAGCAATAAGCATACATGTAGCAACACTTCTAGGACAACATACAGTGTTGTCATACTTTACTTGTTATCACTGATAAACCTCAAAACTCTCAGAAAAGCCAGAAAATCTGTGTTGACTATATCAATGCGAGCAATACTATAATATACCTCACAGTGTTACAAAACAAATGTTGTTTTGTAATGTCATAGACTTGGCAAATTACTGCAGTTTTATCTAAGTAGTGGATGAAATTTTGATGTGCAGTATAATTTTTTACATATTTATCAATGAGTGAAAATCATGAAATAGAGGATAATTTAATGTTTCTTTTGATGGTTATGAATTTTCTTTTTTTATTTTGCAATACTATGCAATTTTCAAACTTGTACAGTCATTAATTAAAGTACATATATTTTTTCTTAGACTGTATGGTCAAACATACCATACATGTACATGTCATATTATAATATTACCTCCTTCAATACAAATTGTTATTCTTATATAGCATGTCTCTGAATGTTTTTGTTGCATCAAACTCTAGTGGCTTATTGGAGAGAGTTGCTGAACCGTTACCTATACAAATATCTTAGTGACAATATCTTATTTAATGAACATGCATTTTTCATCTCATTGCTCCTTACCTCTCAGTTACACATCCTGTGCTTCTTGAAAGGGCAAAACTCATTAAATCACAATGGTCTGAAGAAACAAGACAGAGGTTACTAAAGAATCTTGAACCAAGTCTCATAACACAGGACCTCTCTCCTCTTAGCGATAGCTGCTGTTCTATAGCTGACGTAGAAGCACCCCCATCTCTGTGTGGTCACTTTGACTGGGACTGCAGCCATAGTCCCACTTATACTCAACACCATAGACGCAACAGGTGATGCAATATATATTTGTCTGTATATTATTATTTAAAGATTACAAGATTTTCAAAGATACACTGAATAATAATATCATCATCAAATCCTACTTCATTCATGATTCCATTGCCTAAAAATATAATCCAATACCTAGTTACATTTTTCGTGAGATTACTAGGTAGTTTAATTTATTAATTTGGAAATGGTTCGAATAAGTATTATCTGTACACAGAATTGAATTGGCATGTTCTTTAGTTTACTCTTTTTTCAAATTAAAAAGCCTGTCAAAAAGTGAATATCTTCAACCAAAAGATTGCGAGTATGATTCTTTGCCTAATGTGCATGGTCTTTGATAACTAAGGCATTTTATCTCCAGTTTTCTGCTGCTCAAATCTGGTTGCCTGTAAAAATTAGTCCTGATAATAATAACAATAATAATAGATCACATTTATAACGCACCTTATCCTTTGTTTCTAGGCGCAGTGGTGTCCTTAGTGTCCTTACACAAAATAAAACCCAGGACGACAGCACCAGTATTATATGTCAATGATGGGGATATTAGGGGGAAATGTATTATAATTGTACAAAGAGACAGATTAATCAAGTATTTTTGATGGTATATCCATGCATGTGAACGGGAAACATTAAAGAATTTATTTGTTTTCTACTTGAAGAACCCTGACGATCAGCTGCCCCGGAGACTTCCGAATATATTGGTACTTTGAACGAAATGGGGGCCTAACCAGTGATGTCATGAAGAATTACACCAATCAGTACTCGACCTGGAGTCATGTGACTAAACCTATCAACATACCATTCCCAACCCAGTATGCTGATATATTGTGCAGGATACATTCAGAGGATGGGTAAGAATCTTAAAAGGGAATTTATTAAAATTTGTAAAAAAAAGGATTTATAAAAAAGGATAAAGTACATATAATTACCCCAAATATCAGACAGGCAGAGGTACTGAAAATTCCATTATTCCACAGTGTCCTTGTTAGACCCAGTGAAGTAATTTATCTTTGGATAAAGTTGAAAGCACTACCATCAGAATTAGATTAGGAAGAAAAACTAAACAAACCCACTCTCACATCTCAATCTAATTATGGAATATATTGAAATGCTTAGTTTTTCATTGATATAATGAGGCCTTTAAATGGTTGTGACAGAAATATCTTGCCATGGACATAACGCTATAAATCGTCAAAACAAATTATGTACCTTGATATGTGATATTTTAAAGAAAGTCTTTGAAAATACAATCATGATTATTACATCATTCTTGTTTTCTCTTTTGACTCCTACTCTCTTTTCTATTTCTCATTATTCAAAACAGCCCCAAGGTTCACCATAACTACCGTACACAGTTCATTCCTAACAGGGAATCTGTTGTGAAGCAACATAAAATCTTCCACAAAAAGGTAAGCTTGAAACGGTCATTGCACAGCTCCTGGCCTCATTAAGAAAATACACTAAATGAATATGTTAGCTTTTATCATATTGAGTTCAAATTATTGCTCAATTCATGTGACGAATTGCTATAGTGTCACTTAACAAGAAATATAAATACTGGTCAATGCTCATGCAACAATTTTAAGCATCATTCACTTTGATGGGGATGATTTATATCCCCCTGCTGCCACCAGCCATTGATGAAACAAAAATTATAATTTTTTTTGCTCATTTCTGATTATTGAAAGTGGAATAATTGTCGGTGATTGAATGAATTATTACTTTAAATTCTTCTGAGAGAGAGATAAGCACAAAGATTGACAGCCCTACTCTATACTGTCCATCCATGTAGATTGTCTGTCCATGGCTCAGTTCCATCATTCACTTTCATAGAATAGATTTATATCCCACCGGTGCCACCAGCCATTGATGAAACAAAAATTATAATTGTTGTTGTCATTTCTGATTATTGAAAGTAGAATAATTGTCTGTGAATACATTAATTATTACTCTAAATTCTACTGAGAGAGAAGCAGAAAGATTGAAAGCCCTACTCTGTGCTGTCCATCCATGTATATTCTCTGTCCATGGCTCAGTTCCATCATTCACTTTCATAGAATAGATTTATATCCCACCGGTGCCACCAGTTATTGATGAAACAAAAATTATAATTGTTGTTGTCATTTCTGATTATTGAAAATGGAATAATTGTCTGTGAATAAATGAATTATTACTCTAAATTCTACTGAGAGAGAAGCAGAAAGATTGACAGACCTACTCCATATATCCCACCACTGCCACCAGCCTTCAACAAGATTGAAAAATTATAGCAAGTTTATTGTCATTTCGGATTAATGAATATGAAATAATTGTCTCAATAATTTTTTGGGGGGCTTGTTTTGTTTATTACCATGCTTCATATATTTGTATATACATATTTGTTATATTCTTATAATTGTTTTGATTCTATTAATTCTATAGAAGGAAGAACAGACAGATTGGCAGCCCTTGTCCATATTATCCATCAATGTGGATTCTTTGTCAAGGGCTCAGTTCCACCGCTCCTGTGGGTTACCGAGGACAAAACAACTCTTACAAGGAATCTTTAATGCCAGTATGTGAATAGAGTATTTTCCTGGAGAATATCATCTTCTGGTAGTGCAGTTTCATAGTTTATTAACATTCAAGCAGTATGACCTGGGATATGCTTATTGACACAAAGCACGGGGTTCCATGCATTGAATGTTGTGAATATGATTTTCAGTTAGATTCTTTAATCACTTCAGTTTATGGAAACATTGGGCAAGATCCAACAATATACAATACATTTTTTATTATTTTATATCAAATTGTAAATCAGATACTGGAAGTATAGTTCAACTTATTTATCCACGATTTATCGCCAGTTCCTTGTACTGGCTTCTTCAGGCGGTCTGATTCGTGTTTGAGGGACGTCTTATATTTGTTCAGGTCGGCTAGTTGATCCATTAAAAGAGCATGTGAACTTCTCGGCAGGTAAATTAGTCATGGGAGAGACCACTGATGACTTCTTAAAAGGCTCAGTTCCAGTAACTGATTTATATTGATATTAATTTCTGCGGTACAGGATGAATCATAATCTTCATGAAACCATTTTTATTATTATTATTGGTTGGTTTATTGTAAAAAACACATCCATATGCAGCTCAGAAGCTGCAACTGTTCAATTAAATACAACAAAAATCATAAATGTAAAATATATTGTCTACTTGTTTGTAAATTTCATGAATCTTTAGTACTTATCTATTTTCATTTTGTTTTTTTCTCTTTGTAAATGTCTGAATTTTCTTGCTTTTGTGTCTTAAAGATGTTCATGCGTGGGTATATAGTCGTTCGTGAAGTAGGCAACTTTTATCATCACTTCATAACACTGAGCCAACAGAATTTAAACTCCTGCGCGTACGTTCATGTGCTACCCTCTATATACCATGCATGAGCAACTTTAAGATATCAAACTGATGGAAATTGTACTTCATATGTATTATTTTACACCATTTTCTCCCATGGACAGGTAACGATTCAAGTCATCAAGCTTTCCTTTTCAATCGCATGAATTCAATCGGTGGTGTTACAGCAATGAATTTAACTCCCTTGTATGCAGGTTAGTCATGCATTCCTTCTCCTCAATGTTATTATGCATTAAAGCAAATATCTAGACACTCCTTTTAATTTTTATACTTTTTAGTTTGCAGCTGTATTTCAATTACATCAGCCGAAAAGAATCATATTTTGAAGTACATGTATCACAAGTCTATCTTTAGAAAAGGTAAAGCAATATATCTGCAAAACGTTGCCCAATGGAGAAAATGTATTTTCAGTTTGGTCTAGGTTTGTCTGTTGCTTTGTTGTGATATTAATTGTGTTTGATATGCGCTTACTGCACCTGTACAAGTAAAATAATTTATGTCATTGATTCATGGATGAAGACATAAAAAAAGTAACATGACTAACTTATTTGACAGTGCTGTGATGAGCATTGCTTAGCCTAAGACTACTTATGTGTACTGTATGTCCGAATATCATTATCTAGACAAATATTGACACTGATTGCAATTCTATGATGTATGTCCTTTCACAACTTTAGATAGACTATCATACTAGAACAGTTGTATCATTCCCACCACTAGATATGCTACTTTGATAATATGCAATTATTTACAAAATAAGATGACATATAATTTTTGTTGATTCTGTCTTTCTACAGGAATCTATTTTAAACAGGCAGATGAAGAGAAAAGAGTCCGCATTCACAGGTAACCCTGGCAACAAATACTGTTGGAATCTGTGGAGTTTGCACAAAAATAATTTTATATAAATGTATTTTACCCATTTAAAATAGTTGTTCCTCTATTCTTAAAGTTCGTAATGGGAATATTTGTGCCATTTGCCACAAGTCATTTTTCAATGGTTTAAAACCAATTTTGAATAAACCTTTACTTTTCTTTAATAAGCATTCAGGCGACACAGAAGTAGAAAAAGTACAATTATTTTATGAAAATATGGCCATTTCACTGTGATGTTACATTGGGAATTCACATCTTCTCATTTGATTTCTTCAGAACTAGTGTTTTCACGATACAATGTAATCTTAATTAAAGGCCACCTGTCAACAGTGGTCAAGTATAATATTTCCCCGTAAGGAGTAAAAGAGATGTAAAACCTGTCTAGAAAGACCACATCTGTTGTTTCCATTTGATGGTCTTGATAGCCCTTAATTCATAGATCATTTTGACTATATTATAGTATATAAAAACATAGAAATATAAAATGTCATAGCTATGAAACACATAAAAGAAGGATAACGTTTCATTCATCTCAAAAAAATGTCAAGACAAGAACACAGGGAATCAAACGGCAGTATTTTTTAATACCTAAGATTCTAAAAGGCTTCATCATCATCGTCAACATCATCATGACCTTTTTATATGTTCCTTTACTTTTTTTAATAGATACACCAAGCCTATCAAGGAATGGATGTGGGACTATGCAAATCAACATGGCTACCTGACCAGCTATGCTATGGATACAGGCAACGGGATCATGGGTACAAGAACAATTTGCCCTGTAAGTAAGAAATATTTTCCATGTCCTTCGAGCTTGAGCTCTCTTTTTCTTTCTGCTCCTTTACTGATTGTGATTGTGATGCTGCTTCTATTCCACTTTGATATCACATTTATATTCATACCTGAATTTATTCATGATGTGATTCAGAATTCTATTCAAAATTCTTGCTATGTATAAGTCATATAATAAATACATTGTGTGCTGAGAGCCGGAGGACAGTACCTGCTCATAAATCTTTTCTTTATAGAGTCTTGACGCCCTTCTGGCTTTCAACACACGACACCATGTTTTTGTCTCATGTTTCACATATTACATGTTATATTACATCAATGGAAAAAAATGTCTGTATTATATATCTACAGTAAAGTCTTGAATCTTACGTGCAGCTATTGTTTTTTCATGTCCACTTGCCATTCATGTAGTACACAAGAAAGAATTACTGTGACATATATGTCAGCTAGGGCTCGTCACTATCAGCTAGGCACCTGGGAAACACGGGTGCCCAAAATCAAAGGGCCCTTTCATACTGATTATAAAAAGCTCAATCCTAACCCCCTTCCAAAAAAGTTAGTATGGAGCCCTGCAAATGTGAACAAACTGTTACTTTTCTATCTTTCTGTGTCTCATTCCATGACCCACTTTTTGTGTATTGTTTACTAGATGTTGAGATTCTTTTTAGTTTTGACACAAGTAAAGGTAGATTCATTGAGAAGTATAGGCAGAAAATCATGTTTAAATCATTTGTCATTTGTGTTTCATTTTTAGTAACTTGTTGGTAACAAATACACAATTTTTGTCTTCTTCAAATTTGTGTTGTTCGGAAAGGTTTAAATCAATTAATTCAAATCGAAATCAAATATATGATTCCAATTGCGATGAAGTAGTTAGCTGCATTCTCTTTTCAATTCATTACTGATAGCATTCCAGCTGTTTGCTCTTACATATTTGTTTCACTTGTCACATAAATTCTTTCATCTATCACAACCCAGCTCAATTCCATGCTAGCTATCTCTGTTACTCTCAAATCACCTCATCTTTGATCAATGTTCATCTACACAGAGCCGATAGGTAAGTTTGTTTCCTCACCTTGTATGTGCTTCTATAGCTTCATTTTTCAACAAAAAAAGTAAAACAAAATAAAAACAAATGTAATCATGAGCTGTGTTTTTAGTGTATTGGTAGAGAGAAAGTGCTTGCAGCTCAGATTAGCTTATTGCTTTTGCAAAAATAATGATATTAATCAGATATTTGTAAACAGAAAGATTATCTTCTAAATGATGTCTTGTGATTCTTCTTTATCCCCATCTCTTGTCACTGTGTATCATTTCTTCCTTATGTAGTAAGAGAAAATTCTTTTTAGTTTAGATCGGTTCATCACACTTTTATAAATAGAAAGAATTTTTTGACACAGTGTTTCAGAAATGATAATGAGGGTTAAGAATTCTACTTTAACCCGTTCTATGAGCTTGCTCTTAAATCTTTGATGAGAGGTAAACAAATTTTTTCATGCAGTTTATGAAATCCTACCAACCTTTCCTTTCAATAAAATGGTGTCGCAAATGGTTAGAAATTGATTCTTCTGAATTTGAGCCTCATGGTTTTACCTCTTTTTCCCTTGCAGGAAGGAACAGATTAATCTCAGCAATATTTATTACTTTTTGAGAAATACTGTCCTGATGCATTTCTTATGCAAGTAATATTAATAGTCACATTTGTTTACACTTAACACTATGTTTCTATGCATTTTACATGATAGTTATCATTACCCCGGTAATTGGATTCAATTGCTAATCCGCATATTAAATTGGTTATGCTCCGCTCCCTGGGGGAGTATTCCGGCCAGGTGTCATTTCACTAGCACACTCATGCCCATCCAACCACATAAACGTTTGCATCCTACCGGGTACACATTTAACACCTGGGTAGAGAGTGGCAAATGTAGATTAGTGTCTTGCCTAAGTGCTGCGGCGGGACTCGAACAGCAAACCATGTTAAATCCAGTCCGGTGACGTATCCACTACTCTTGCTAAGCGTGCCTGTTTGTTGATTTTCGTATTCAATTATTGATATTTTACTTAGGAATGCAACCATCTTCCTGTAGAGCTCCCTCACTGGGAGCATGACTGGGTCAAGATGGAAAATAAAGAGGTAAGAATAAAAATTCAGTCATACTTGGTACTTTCACTTCAAGTTAATGTAACATTTCATTATTTCTTCTTCCAGAAACAAAAGGTAATGATAGATTATCCTCATTCTTTCGAAAGTAAATGGAATGAACATGTTATATTAAATTCAACTATATTTGTTTGATATCTTTTGGAAGCATTGCAATTTGTTGTTTTAGTTTGTGTGCTTGTTTTACAATTGTCATGTTACTTGATGTTTTCTTTTCTCCCAAATAATGAAAATCAAGGAACTGTATCCTCCTTCTTTGAAAATAGGGTGATTAACAAATCAAATGAAAATTCGACTGTCCTTGTTTAATACTATATATATGAGATTTGTAAAACATTGAATCCACTTGAAATCAAATGCTCAAGGTGCACTTGAAAAACAAAACAAAAAGCAAAATCACATTAAAGCATCTGCATTATGAAGAAAGGAACAGAAGATTGAACTAACAAAATTGACAGAACATCAATTATATGCTAAATTAAACAGAAGATCGTCTTTAAATCCTTCAACTGATCTGCTATTATGAATCTCTTGAGGGAGAGCATTCCACAGTGAAGGCCCTTCATGAACAAAAGTTTTTTCCCCCTACTTAGTATTGAAATTTTCTTTGAAGTATTAAAAGCTACCGTATCAAAAAGGAATCATTTCTTCATCTATTGATGAATGTAGATGAAGCCAGGCGTCCTGAGCGGTCTGTGTGATGGGGATACCATGATACATGAACACATCATGAACTTCACCAGAGATCTCATCAACTATGACTACCCAGCCAAGTGGGCTGCCTTTGATCTCAATGCCAAACATAGGTGAGCAGCTTGTGCGTCTATTTACCTCTTCTTCTCCACTCCTTTCTCTCTCTCTCTCTCTCTTTTTCTCTCTCTTTCTCTCTTTCTCTCTCTCTCTCCTTCTCTCTTACTCAAGCTTTCTCTTTTGTTCTCAAAGATCTTAATTCTATCTCGTTCCTTTCTCTGGGTATCTTTATCTCCTTCCCCTGTTTATCTTCCTGGGTGTGCTTTTTCTAACTTTTTATTTCTACTTATCGGAATTCCTACTTGATTATATTTATGCAAATGTGGCATCATTTTCTGATTATTCAGACATGCACAAGGTTCCTTGATTATTCCATAGCAGTCATTTTCTCATCGATGATGATGATGACGATGATGAAGATGACGACGATGATGATGATGACTATGATGATGATGATGATGATGATGGCGATGACAGAGATGATGATGATGATGATGATGGCATTGTACACCATAGAATGAGCATGAGGATACACATCAAAACAATGATGATGTCCTGAGCTGTAGATGGCTTTCAAATTCATATCTCACATTCTCTTCTTTCTAGACCAGAGCAGGAATCAGCTAACCAGGTAGATGCTCTTCTGGCGGACACACTGCAGTCCTTGATGGCTACCCAACCAAATCTTGCAATTGTAAGCTTTGTTTCTAATTATACTCTTATAAATATGTTAATGTGAGACCAAATATGAAATAGCAGTTGTAATATTGAATATTGAATACTAATAATGCTCAAATCTGCATAAGATTTATGAGTCCTTGAAGCTTTACTTGTCTGATTTTAGCCCATTCTTTGAGCTGAGATACTGTGGACACATCCAAATGTGTATCAAAACAATTATATATTTTTAATAATCAAGTCCTGCTCTTACAGCTGATTAAAACTTCAGTTCCATAGTTCACTGCTTTATGTGTTTAAGTGCTGTCCACAACTCATTGGTTCAAATAGAAATCTTTTATGGTCCAAATACTAGCGGGTGTACATTCGATTCACAGTTATGGTCATTGCAGTGAGTTAAAAAATCCTCAAACAGATAGCAAAAGTATGTTCGAAAGCATAATAGCAAAATGCCAAATAAAATAATTTTCCATGAAATATGTTTAGTTCACCAACTGTTTGAACCCACCATAAACATCTACATTAAAAAATACATTTTTTTTCAAAACAGCACTTGCATCATGACTTTAACCATATAAAACAAAAAAACTATAGAAGAGGTAGGGTTTGTTTCTGCTTCTATAAGTATCCATAATTAGTTCTTTTTTTGCAGTTTCTATTTGGTGACCATGGTGATCGTTACCACGGTGATGATGCCAATCACCCAGGCAGCTACATGGAGATCCTCCTTCCTTTCCTGGCCATCATCCTCCCTAAGCACCTGATCAACTCTCACCCTGAGTGGGAGAGGAACCTGCTTATCAACAGCCAGAGATATGTGGTGAGTTTGAAATGATGATATATATGTTCACATGGCACTGTACTAAATTTGAACTTGTATTAAGCAAAACCTTGAAGTTTAGAACTATGATTGTCCGATTATACCTGCCCCCAAAAATAATGACTGCTCAAAGCTTTAAACTCAAATTCAAACAAGCAGTCGTTATTGATGAAACCTCCAAATTAATTGTGTCTGCATCACACATACGTTCAAAAGAAAGAAGCCCCGAATGGATAATATTTATTGTGCTAATGATAATAAAACGTTACCTATGAATTAAGTAAAATTCGAGTTTTTCAGAAACCCCGAAAGCATCCACACCGTCCTTAACTCCAAGATAACCTTGAAATTTAAAATCATGAGCTAAACTTAAGGTTACGGCTTGTTTTGTGAACCTCACTAATGCAGGCTGTCTTAGATAGGAGGTAAGTTTGGAAATGATGCAGGCTAGATGCTAAAGGTTGGATTACAGGTGGTCATATTTCCTTGAATCATATTTCTATTGCTTTGGGGTGTAATTAGACATATTCTGTACAAATATTGAAACACGTAGGCAAGGAATAAATTGGCAAAGGCTCTCATTCTCAAACCAGTATTTGCATTCAGATGTCATGTAAGCAATAGTATAAAATGTGTGTTTATGAATAAACATGCGATATAATTTTGTTTTACAAATGTTTCATTATGTGACACTTGCTTATACATGTATATTCTCTTGTCATCCCCCCTTCTCTTTATCTTCCTCTCTCCCTCTCTCTTTATATCTCTACTTAAATTTCTCTCATACTCTTTTTCTTTCCTTCTCTTCATGTATTTCATTCTATCTTTCTTTGCTCTATTTCACTCTGTTATTGTTTTTCTCTTTTCTCCCTGCAGGTCCACTATGACTTGCACCAGACAATGAAGTCTCTTATGGACTATCCACACCTCGATAACGTCAAAGGTCATATCGTGGAGGATTCTTACAATCTCATCACTCAGATAATTCCAAGGTGAGTATGCCACATTGGAAGTGAGTGCACGAAAAGAAATAAATAGCTTGGAATAACCTGGTCCAGAACTAGTTTCAGTAATAAGCAACCAATATGAAGTCATATTACTACTATGTTGTACCGTAGCCTCTTAGGTCCATCGGCTTCTCTCTTGCGCGTTCACTCTTGCTACTCTCAATCCAACTTCCCAATTCTTGATGTTGTCTATCCATCCCACAGGTCGTCTCCCAACTCTACATTTCCCCGCAATTTCGCCTTCGATATAAGTCATATTAACAAGAATCCAGTGTTCCATAATGTTTCTATTGTGATCTTTTCTCATAAATACTCAAATTTAAATATGCAAAACTTGAGCCACAAGTGTGGTCTAGCTGTGTATGATGGGGGTTTTAATCTATCGTAATCATTGTGTTTACAGAAAGTGAATTTTAACAAAAGAAATGATCATATCATATGCATTTGAGAGTCTTGCAATATAATTGACCCAACTTTGAATCACAGTATGCATTTGAGGTAATTTCCTTTCATGTTTAAATTCAATATCCCTTTAATACATCAGTGACCGTGGATGTGCTGAGGCTATGATTCCCAGCTGGAGTTGTGCTTGTGGAGGTCCAACGGTATGTACTCTTATCAATCTGTCCATATCATTTCATGTTAAATACAATTTCATAGCATAATTAAATTCAATTCAGTTTTATGTATGTATCATCCAACAATGTAAAAACACATATGAAACAGTCATAAATACACAAATTGGCAAAATAATAGATGGAAGTATACCAAGCCTTGTAAAACAGAAGGCACCAAAACATATCAAAATGATAATAAATACAAATCAACTATTCACATTAAATATCCTTTAATCCTTTACAGACACTGTTCACCCCCCCCTTCCACATGGGAAAATTATTAAAAATGTAATAGCATTGTGAAGATATAAGATGAAGGTCTCTTTTATGGCCTAAAAATCAATAAGATGTTTTTGAATAGTACATGCATATGACCTTATTTATATACAGTACATAGTTGTTATAGCCCTTATGCAGGCAGTCGATGGTATGCTAATAACAGTATTTGATTTGGAACACTGCATTACTCATTTTCTGATCATCTTGGTGATACTCTTTGATACCCTTACAGATCTTAACCAGAGGAGAATGGACTGAAAATCACATTTCATATGCCCAACAGGCCTTAGACGTCATCAACACCAAGCATTCTAAGGTACGGTGTGATATGGATGTAGGAAAAGATGAATTACACTACCTTCACAAGTCTTGCTATGATAGGTCATCCTAGTGGTGTCTTCACAATAACAAATCAATAATAATTCAAACTGCCATAAAGCACATTTTCGTTTTTAAATTTACATTAGGGTATGTGTAGGTCTATATATTAAGGCTGCACAATATGTATTTTCAGTTCTCATTTGTCTTGAAACAGATACTAAAATAGACAACTTTACTACACTTTTGTCTCATGTAAAGTCTGTACCAGCTACATGATATATCTGTAAAGCGCTTAGGCACATCGTTGGATCGATGTATTGGGCGCTATATAAAAGCGTAATATTATTATTACCGGTACATAATTGTAGCAGGGAGATTAAGTGTTATCGATCCAGATTGATCTCAAGTCCTCTAATCAATCACAAGCCTACAGACTACAATCTCTTTCATGCGTAATTATGATTGATTTTAATCAACTGCAACTGCTTTATGTAAAAGGGCCTTGGTGATAAGCATTAAACTTGAAAATGGTTCGTGCATGAAATATTTTGTGTGTGAACATAGATACTTAATTTATTCCATTCAATTCCCCTTAGGAGTCCTTGCTAGCCGCCTCTCCCAACGGCAACACATCCACCTCCTGCATGGACCTCCATTTTGATTCGCTCGTCACTGTTGCTAAGATACACCACGACTACGCCCGCCTCCAGATCACCATGTACATCATCTCCTTTGATGCGGTGGAGGGTCCATCCAGGTGGGACCTCCGCATCACTGAAGATGGCCATATAGACTCGGTGAGTGGTGTAGGGATCATTCATTTCTCGTTGTTAGCTGAATTTCAGTGGCTTGTGTTTTACATCCCACCCCTGCCACCCTGATATAACAGATGACGTTTCAAACACCATGACTTGTACTCATCGAGGCAAAATAAGTTTTAAAAAACTGCTGTAACGTAGTAGAATGACTCTTAAAACCTCTCAGAGTCACCTGAATTTCAGTGGCTTGGGTTTTACATCCAACCCCTGCCACCATGACATAACAGATGATGTTTCAAACACAACGACTTGTATTCATCAATACAAACTAAGTTTTAAAAAACTGCTGTAACGTAGTAGAATGACTCGTAAAACCTCTCAGAGTCACTTGAATTTCAGTGGATTGTGTTTAAAATCCCACCGCTGCCACCCTGATATAACGGATGACGTTTCAAACGCGATGACTTGTATTCATCAATGCAAACTAATGCTGTAACGTAGTAGAATGACTCGTAAAAACTTTCAGAGTCACCTAAATTTGAGTGGCTTGGGCTTTACATCCCACCACTGCCACCATGACATAACAGATGACGTTTAAAAAACGATGACTTGTACTCATCAATGCAAACTAAGTTTTAAAAAACTGCTGTAACGTAGTAGAATGACTCGTAAATCCTCTCAGAGTCACTTGAATTTCAGTGGATTGTGTTTAAAATCCCACCGCTGCCACCCTGATATACCAAATGACGTTTCAAACACGATGACTTGTATTCATCAATGCAAACTAATGTTGTAACGTAGTAGAATGACTCGTAAAAACTTTCAGAGTCACCTAAATTTTAGTGGCTTCAGCTTTACATCCCACCACTGCCACCATGAAATAACAGATGATGTTTAAAAAACGATGACTTGTATCCATCAATGCAAACTAAGTTAAAACTGCTATAACTTAAAAGGATTTGTAAAACCTCTCAGAGTCTCCTGAATTTCAGTGGCTTGGGCTTTACATCCCACCGCTGCCACCCTGATATAACAGATGACGTTTAAAAACGATGACTTGTATCCATCAATGCAAACTAGGTTAAAAAGCTGCTGTAACATAGTAGAATGACTTGTAAAACCTCTCAGAGTCAGCTGAATTTGAGTGGCTTGTATTTTATATCCCACCACTGCCACCATGACATAACAGATGACGTTTCAAACACGATGACTTGTACTCATCAATGCAAACTAAGTTTTAAAAAACTGCTGTAACGTAGTAGAATGACTCGTAAAACCTCTCAGAGTCACTTGAATTTCAGAGGATTGTGTTTAAAATCCCACCGCTGCCACCCTGACATAACAAATGACATTTCAAACACGATGACTTGTATTCATCAATGCAAACTAATGCTGTAACGTAGTAGAATGACTCTTAAAAACCTCTCAGAGTCAGCTGAATTTCAGTGGCTTGGGTTTTTCAACCCACCCCTGCCACCACGACATAACAGATGACGTTTCAAAAACGATGACTTGTACTCATTGAGGCAAATTAAATTAATATTGCTATAACATAAAAGGATTTGTAAAGCCTCTCAGAGTCAGCTGAATTTGAGTGGCTTGCATTTTACATCCACCTGCTGCCACAATGACATAACAGATGAGGTTTAAAACACGATGACTTGTATCCATCAAGGCAAACTAAGTTAAAACATAGTGTAACATAGTAGAATGATTAGTAAACGCCCCAGTGTTAGCTGGTTTTTATTCTTTACACATTTCTGTAATTCTACTACACAATGAATGAACAAAATGAGTCTAGTCATGAAAGGATAAGGATAAATATTGATCTTTATAGTGCACTATATTGTTTATTCATGTGGTAACATTCGGGATGATGAGGTTGACATCTTTCTGGTTTAATGTCTTCTCTTGATTCCAGTTTAATCTTACAAAACAACAGAACAAAAACATATTCCATAGAGGTCAAAATATAGGTTTAAAAACAGGTAAACGTCTATTGGTATTACAATAAATTGTGACCATTAGTTAATAAATCTCATGCAGCTCTTGTCATTAACTCCTGCATAGTGCTTGTGATTGTTGTTATCAAACAAAATCATAAAAGCAACCTCTATTTTCTAGAAGATTTATATTGCAGTGTGTTAGAATAATGTTATACAGTATTTGCAATTGCGTGTGTTTGCTTTTTTATTCAATTTCCCTGCATTTCTCTTTCTTTCTTTACATCCACAGCTAAAGCAGCTTTCAAGATACCAAAAATATGAAGAGTGCCTTGACCCCAGAGTCTCCATAGAATTCTGTGTCTGCAAGCAGTTTCCTCCAGGAACACCCTAATACACCACATTGTTATTCATATATTGTTATTTATATATTTCTGTATCAGACTCGATAGTTTCTTTGACCTTGTGTTCATTATTTCTTCCATTGTTATCTTTCTGTTTGTATTTTTATTTTTATTTGGAATCCAACCTCAATTTTTGGTTGCAATAAGGAAACAACAATAACCAAAATTGGAAATAGCACCAAGGAGAGAGAGAAAGGGAGAGAAGGAGAGAGAGAGAGAGAGAGAGAGAGAGAAAGATACAAAGTGAGGGAGAATGAAAAAAAAAAGAGATAGTGACATGCATGCGTAAATATATTGACAGAGAGATACTGAAATCTACAGGAATTAAATAGGTTAGAAATAGACAGACAGAGAGAGGATGAGTTAGAGAGAATGGAGATGGAGAGAAAATATGTGCTTCAATCATTGATTCAGTCAGGAAGAGATAAGAAGAAAAAGAGGTAAGAGGGGGAGAAAGATAGAGGTGAAAAATGAAGTGAGAGAAGTGAAAAGGAGAGAGGGAGAGATGTTTATGTATAAGATAAAAGAGACAGGGATGTCACAAGTTGCAGATTTGTTACAAGTTGCAGATCCTTATTAGACAGAGAGAGAGAGAGAGAGAGTGTGTGTTTGTATGTGTGTGAGAAAGAGAGAGGAGGGAGGAGTGTATAAATGTTGAAGGGATTCTGGTTATGGTCTTCATGTTATTTATTATTGTTGTTCATTTGTTAACCTTGATGTATTGTGAATGTGATGCAATAAATATAGAATCTTCCTGCTTTATCAATTAAGCTGTGTGAAATCTTTTCATTTTATAAGCTTTGTGTTGTAGCGGTTCATAATGTTCACTTCATTTATTTTCAGGCAAGGCCTTACCAAAAAGTTATGTTTGAAATGATAGTAAATCTGTAGGAAACGATAACTTAAAAGTTACTAAAATGTAGCAGGGAATACAAATTCCGATGTCATCAAGTTTGGAGCAAATTCCACTCCAAAAGTCCACTCCAAAGTCCACTCCAAAAATAATTTGCTTTTTATAGATGCGGAAAAACGAGAAAAAAAGAGCCCCAAAAAATTGAGTAAAATCGGATAACTTATATGGAAGTTAAGATTTTTTGTTAAAGTATGAAAAAGTATGAAACTTTGAAAATCACTACACAAATTGGTTATCAGTTTGTGACGTCATTGCCTCACTATTTATCAATTGCTCTTTATATTTTTTATCCCATTACCTTCCCTTTTTATCATTTCCCTATGCCCATGTTATATGATTTGTATCATATTGCGTGCATAACATTTTACAAAATATGTTATGAACTAAGAAGAATCGATCACATTTTTCATGAATATATTGTATGTAATTGATAATCATTGATTTTTGTATAAATAGTTTATAAACATTCATATTTTTTAATAATTTAATGGAAACAAATTACTCTATATTAGTGCATCCACACAAGAACACATTACTATTATTTATATTATTAATATAAAGAAAACATTGGTGGATAGGGTAGGTCAGACACCCATGAGTTAGTTGCCAATTTGTTTTTGTGATTTTCTAAAAATGTTCATGTCGTCAAACATTAATAACTTTCTTATTGCATGGTTGTCCGATTTTGCTCAAACTTTTTTTATTGGTTTGTCTGATTTTCCTGCTTCTATTAAACGTAATGGTTGTTTTTTAGTGGACAAAGCGCTCTAATCGCTCTGCGAGGCTTTCAGTGCTCATAGTTTGCAAGGAATTCTTTCCTACAAGCATTTCACACCTGGGTGGAGAGTGGCAAAGGTAGATTAATGTCTTGCCAAACGACATTAGTGCTTTAAGGGTCAGATAATGAATATGATCGACTAAATAAATGGTCTGCTATACAATATGCCTTTCTTGCATGGAGACGGTCGAGGGTGCCCATTAATAGTCTAGTTTATTTCCCAAAGTCGTGTTTTTTTTAAAGAGCAAAATGACGTAGAATAAAGTGATCATATTAATTAGAATATGAAGTGTTGAAGCAAAAGACTGTTGGGAAAAATAAAATGTGGATAATTTAAAGAAAGAAATGTATACATTTATCAATTAATCCTCTATTAATTTGGTTGAATATACTCATGCATTATGAAAAAAATATGCTTATATTTTCAATTCATTGATTTAATATATTGATATAATTGATTTTTGCAGGTTGGTTGGTTGATTTAAAGTACAATTTAGTTTACAGGTCGATGCAGGATAAAAGAGAAATAATAAAAAGAAATTCAAACAGAAATTTAAAAAAGTTTTTCCAAAAAGTAAACATTATATTAGGTAAAAAATCAAGAAAATACCCCCCCCCCCCAACAAAGAAAAGTCTTTTGATACTACTAGATGATAGCTTCATCTTTTTCTATGTTTTTCGAGGAGTAGATTCAGTTGCGTTTTCTTTTCATAACAATCTACTCAAAAGGAGACGTACCGGCGGGATAGATTGATTGACAATTCCAAGTAGCCCTAAAGTTAATTTTTTTAAATTTTTATATTAATTTTTGTAATAATTGTGGGGAGAGAGACAGAGATTATCGATAAAGGCAGGAAGGGAAGAGAGGCGGAGGGGGGGGGGGGGGGGGGGCCGGGGGGGGGGGGGGGGGGGGGGGGGAGGGCAGCAGAAAATAATAGAACCATTGCAATATTTGAAAGCACTACACTCGCCTCTCGGGCTCATCTCTTATTTAGCGCCATCTACGACAATTTCCTTACAATCTTTCTTTTCGAGACGAGCTCCCAAAATGGCTACTCAGATATCAAAGAAGAGGAAGGTGAAGAGCAGTATTTGACTATTTATGCTTACCGATGCTATAATTTTCGTTCAAAAACAACTTTTTGGGATAGATAAGATATGTGATAGTATGAAAATTTATTCAGGTTCTGCAGATTATAATCTGTTAAAAAGATATTGCACGATTGAAATGGGGTCTCCCGTGCGTTAAATGTGTAATGAAAACCGTAGTCCATACTCTTCACGTAATGAATACCGTCCTGTAGCGTGTCAAATATAGAGATGATCTTCTGATATTATTAGTAGACGTCACGGTCAATATGTCTGGAAATGAGTCTTGGCATTTTTTAAAAATCAATATCGTAGTTGTAGAACTCTATGACAAATTCGTTGACATGTTTGTGTACAACTGTGATCATTAAATGAGGTGAATGAGCCATATTGTATGCTGACGTTGCGTTGGCGAATGAATGAAATATCGAAATGTGACACCAACTACAAAAGGTGCAGTGCAATTGCAAACTGCACTCCAACTTCCAAGTCATATTGACAGTGGAATGAATTGAATGGAATGAAATGAAATGAAACTACACTGTACACGGTTTGCTTCTGGCATTAATTGTGACCATAGGACGTGGGTAAAGGAACCAGGCGCTAGTGTACTTTTTATCCATTGTTTACCCCAAAACCCTTTGTGTCAATTTTCTTCTTCTCTGTTTTTGGAGTATTTTTCCTCTAAATAAAGACAGTTAACTTGCAGGTTTTCATGGCAAACCGCTGCACAATTACAATACAATTGCATACAGTACTGTACCAATGAAGGGCCAGGGTGCGTGAAGTCGATTAATAGTACAGTCGATAACTTCATGGCGTCCGCACCCCTTTGTTGTATACGGTACGGTATGCAATTGTATGGTGAATATATTTTCCTTCTGCAAAGGAAAATGCTGCCTTCGACTAAGCTGCTTGATTAATACTAGTCTAGATCTAGGTGATGGTCTAGATTTAATAGACCCTAGTCTACCAAAACAAAAATCTAAAACTGAATAAAGTTTACCATATCTTTCAAAAATACTGTGAAATCAGAGTAAACTTCACAATATTAAAGTTTGGCAAGCCTTTGTGTCAATTTAGGTACATTAACGTATTTAAGTACACAAATGAGTTGGTCTTTGGTTATCGTGAGTTACAAGGTAGTTTTCACAAGGGTCTAGCCATGTATCTGACACATCATGTGACCTATTCCATGGTCATTTGAAATCCAAACAAATGGCTAAGAGTAATACCAATCCGGTCCTAGAAGCAAGAATACCCGTGCTGTCTGACAGCCATGTAGTCTTGTGCCGACAGACCAGATACATTGATGACAGTTTTGAAACTTGAAGAACAAATTACTCGTTCAGTTTCTACCAACTTTGAATTACCTTTAATCAGCCGGACATTTGATAAATTTACCATTGCAAGTATGTTATTCTTCCGTGCAGTTCGTCGCAGATGGCGTGTTCCGCGCTGAACTGAACGAGTTCTTGACCCGTGAACTGGCTGAGGATGGTTACAGCGGTGTGGAGGTCCGTGTGACCCCTACCAGGACCGAGATCATCATCCTGGCCACCCGCACCCAGAGTGTCCTTGGGGAGAAGGGCAGGCGCATCAGGGAGCTCACCGCTGTTGTGCAGAAGAGGTTCAACTTCGCAGAGAATACCGTTGAGGTATGATAGTCGATGACTGCTTATGGAGCTTTAAAAAATGAAGTTCACTCCACACTTTACTACTTGTATTTACTCCCAAACTTTCATTGTTATGGTTTTATTAATGCATGCCCTAATTGATTGCAGAAGTAGAATGTTTGCAGTTACAGAAAGAAAAAATTCTGTTGAGATTTTTAAATTTGTTTTCTATGTATAACATAACTTGTAGTGGTCCTCACTTTGAAATTTCATTAGAAATATATGTTACTTATAATTTGTTTGGAGTAATTGTATGTGTAAACTGCTTCAGGTTATATTGTTTGTTCAAAATTATGATCATAATTTCAGATCCTTCCCCAGAATAGTCCTGCCGAAGTCATGGCTATATTTCTTTCTTTCCTTCTTCTTTACCTGAACCTTAAATGTGAAGAAATTTTCATGAAATTCTCCCATCTTTGTATCTTCCGATATAGCTGTATGCTGAGAAGGTTGCCACCCGTGGTCTCTGTGCCATCGCCCAGTGCGAGTCCCTTCGCTACAAGCTGATCGGAGGTCTTGCCGTCAGGAGGGCCTGCTACGGAGTCCTGCGCTTCATCATGGAGAGCGGCGCCAAGGGCTGCGAGGTGGTGGTCTCTGGCAAGCTGCGTGGACAGAGGGCCAAGTCCATGAAGTTTGTGGATGGTCTCATGATCCACAGTGGTGCTCCAGTCAAGGACTACGTCGATGTGGCCATCCGTCACGTCATGTTGAGGCAGGGTAAGTTCAGAAGCCTGTTCGTTCATTGAAGCAGTGATCAGACATTTTCTATACGCTTTATTCCGTCGGAGATGTAGGTTTAGGGATATGATTATGTTTGAGGATAAGTTTAGGGTTAGGGATCGGTATAAGTATTGTAAGCTGCTGAGTTGAGATTATGAAATGGTCATTCGAAGTAATTTATCATAAGCAGTTTTCAGTAGCATGTATCCTTATCTCACCACAGTCTCTCTAATTAGTCCCTCCAAGGCTTTAGGCCTTCAAGCTTAATGTTGGATAGCATTATTCAACTCCTTAAAGAAGTAATAAAAATGAGAATTGTTAATGATGTATACTGTTCACTTCTTTAAGGGATCCGGTAACTTTGTCTTAGATTCTAAAACAAAATCCTGGATTTAGCTCATGCTGCAATGATAATTATAAACCTTTAGGTAAGTCAGGAACCCCATGAATTGTGCAAGCTGATCGCCTGTCTTATGATTAGAATTACAAATTTTAAAAACCGTTTGCCAAACGGTTTTCATTACACTACAGTCTATTGGGGAAAACGAGTATGGTAAAACCGGTCACTCAAAGATTTTTACTTTTTTGAGGCACTTCTTGATCATTTTGAAGCGCAGTTTTTTTCTAGGGCTTCATTATTACACCATATCACAGATACCGATAACACTTATGGCTTTGCATCTCAGATTTAACATTGTTAAACGATGCCTTTAAAAACTGTTTGATTTAGATGCCACCATAAAGTATATAACTATACATTATCATGAAATTTAATGCAGTTTTTCTTACAGCAACTACTAACCACCGTAGAGAAGGCAAAGAAATTGCAAATTGCAACAACAACAAGATAGCAGTTTTGGCTGCATAGAAGTTTATCAATATTTTAATAGGTAGGGGAAAAGACGGTTCTACAGGGCCCAAACCATGGCTTACAGCAGTGAAGTATCGGTTGTCCCTTGGACTTTGAAGTAAATGTTATAATTGGCTTTGATGCTGTAACAAATTATTATAGACAAACCTGACGTGAAATAATACCTTTTAAAGCCTATCTGCACTAGTTTGGCCAGGAGAGATTAGACCTCCCTGCGTAGTCACTGGCAGGTGGTTATCTCATCAAATCAGCTCTCAATTAACATAAGAAAAAGGGGACCATGGGGGAATCAACGGGTACCGCTTAGGCATTGTTAGCTATATAGAGGGCGCAAGTAAAGCAGTCCCGCTAAAAAGAAAAATCTTGTATATTTGTAGGTGTGCTTGGGATCAAGGTGAAGATCATGCGTCCCTTCGATGTGACCGGTAAGACTGGACCCAAGAAACCACTCCCTGATGTCATCAGCATCTCAGAACCCAAGGAGGAGGAAATACCCTCTCAGCCATGGTCCGAACAGAAGGTAAGTTTGCTTTGTTGGTCGGTTGGTTTATTTTCGTTATTACAACAACAACAACAAAATCGAATATACAAACATACCGAACAGAAGATAAGTTTGGTTTGTTGGTCGATCGGTTTTATTGTCGGTATTACAAAAAAATAAATATTGTATTTACAAACATACCTATGAATATGAACAAATGTATGAATTGATTTAAAAAAAAGAATACAGCTGGAATCGTTCTATTCAGATCCGTTCTACCTACGGGTCCAAATCACCCAGAATTTATGTATTCATTAAAGGTAAATCCAACCCAAATAGACAACTACTCTGAACGAAAGCAGAACAATCAGAGGAGCAAACTGATGAAAGAAAGTTTCAATTAACTCTGACTAAACATAAGAAATTTATGAATTTTTGAAAGTTGTAATCCCTTTACATATGGGCACTTCAAATTTGCTGAAGCGGTAATGTCAGTCTGATGTAGTGCTGGACTACTTTCCCCATCTGTTCCAACATATAAAATGACTAAAATTTAAATTTTCCAAACGTCATGGCTCAGGAGGGTCTTTTGTTTTTAGAGGACCTATAATAATATGCTATCTGTAATATATTTTGAGAAGGAAGTTACGAGAAAAACAGAAATTAGTGATGTATTTGTATACTGCAAATGGGAGAGTTATCCACGTCCTACGTCACAATCCACTAACGAAACTACCAATTTGAGATCCGCATAGACTTGGATTTCCTTACTAGTGGTCCGATTCATTAAAACTTTTCCCAATCTGTTTCTGTTCTTTTTCTGCTTTCATACAAATCAACTTATTACAAGGGTTGGATAGCCCTTTAAGAAAACTTTTTATGAATATCACAATTTAACCTAGTAAATTTTTTTCTTTTCTTCAGGGAGCCGCCAAGCCAATGGATCAGCCCGGCCAGCAGCAGCAACAGCAGCAGCCCCAGCCCGGCCAACAGCCTCCTGCCCCACAACAGCAACCCATGCCAGGTGCAGCCCCAGTTGCCCAGCAGCCAGGCCCTCCTCCCCAGCAACAGCCAATGATGTGAACAGCTACAACTTCTCTCTCGTAAACATGGTAAGTGGCGCTACACACTTCCACCCAAGTGTTTAAATGGGCACTTGCCCCATGATAGTTATTACAACAACAAATTTCCTTAGAATAGGATGTTTGATGCAGGCCATGTTTACAGAAAATTATTTTCCCATATTTTCTTTACAGAAGTGAAGACTGGGAATTTGAGAAAAATCACTCAAATAAGGGATAAATCAGGAAATTTAACTCATCCCTGCATTTTGTCTCTTGGTGTTTCCACTGGATGTTTGGCTACATTAGCTTCTCACGTGTGGATTGCCTCTTTAAATAATAATCCTAGAATTTTGTGACCCCAGATTGATTCATGATCATGCTGGACGATTGCAATCACATAGAGCGTTAATGTATTTGCTAAAACCGCCAAGAAATTATCTTTCTATTAAATTTCTATACCCAAATGCATTGCTTTAGAAAGTGAGGTTTGAGGCTACAGAATTGTCCTTTAGCTTATGTGTTTAATGTCTTCGTGTCATCTTTGGACCATAAAGTATTCAAGATTTTAAGTTCACAAAAGAGTTGTTCTTTGGGTATCATGAGTTACAAGGTAGATTTCACAAGGGTCTAGCCATGTTTCTGCCACATCAGGTGACCTGTTCTATGGTCATTTGGAGTCCAAACAAATGGCTAAGAGTAATACCAATCCGGTCCTAGAAGCAAGACTACCCATGCTGTCTGACAGCCATGTAGTCTTGTGCCGACAGACCAGATACATTGATGATTCCACCTTTTATGTAATTTATAGCTACAAGCCCATATTTTGTAATCATCTTCACTTCATTTGAAGAAACTAAGTGGTTATGCAAAACAAAACATTTATGAATAACTTCCATTTCTCTAATTGACTTTCTAGTTGTTGTGAAGAACATTGGATAATCAATTCCTGTTTTCTCTCCTTGTTTTCTTGTCTTTTTTACAGATTTTGAGATATCAGCATCAGAAGAACACGGATGCACCAGGCATTGTAATGTAAATAAAATGATATTACATGCCAAAAAAAACTTTATATGTTTCTTTTGAATTCTTTGTCAAGATTTCTGTGAAGAATGGGATCTGATTTGTATAATGTACTTCTTTCAATGTGTCGGTGGAAGAAGGGGAAGATAATTTGTTTTGTTTTTAAGAGAAATGGGTGTGATATGGAGGAAACGGTGTTCTGACGGAGAATGAAGAGTGTGGTATAAAAAAGAAGACCAGTATTATGATGTGAAGGGAGGAACAGTGCTGTGATGTAAAGAGAAGGGTGTGGTATGAAAGAGAGGACCAGTGTGATGGAGAGGGAAGGGTATGGTATGAAAGGGAGAGCCAGTGCTGTGATGGAGAGATAAGGTTTAGATGAAAGAGTGGACTAGTGCTGTGGTGGAGAGAAAAGGGTGTGGTATGAAAGAGAGGACCGGTGTGATGGAGAGGGAAGGGTATGGTATGAAAGGGAGAGCCAGTGCTGTGATGGAGAGATAAGGTTTAGATGAAAGAGTGGACTAGTGCTGTGATGTAAAGAGAAGGGTGTGGTATGAAAGAGAGGACCAGTGTTGTGGTGGAGAGAGAAGGGTGTGGTATGAAAGAGAGGACCGGTGTTATGATGGAGAGAAAAGGGTCTGGTAGGAAAGAGATGACCAGTTTTATGATGGAGAGAGAGAGAAGAATCTGGTAGGAAAGAGAGGACCAGTGTTATGATGGAGAGAGAGAAGGGTCTGGTAGGAAAGAGAGGACCAGTGTTATGATGGAGAGAGAAGGTTCTGGTAGGAAAGAAATGAACAGTGTTGTGATGGAGAGAAGGGTGTGGTATAAAGAGAGGACCAGTAGTGTTATGATGGAGAGATAAGGTTGGGATGAGAGAGTGGACCAGTGCTGCGATGGAGAGAAGGGTGTGATATGAAAGAGAAGACCAGGATTATGGTGGAGAGAGAAGGGTGTGGTATGATAGTATTATTATTGTTATTTATTCGGCCTTAAAAATCAGAAATTCACAGTATATACAAAGAACATGATAAATACAATTATCTTATAAGTGTTAGAGAAAGAGAAGGAAATGAGAAGCTAGGAGAAGAGGAAAGAAATGGTTACCCAAAGGCCAGGGTTCGCAAAAGTGAAAGGCTTCAATGTTGCCAGGAGGCATGCAAGCGAGAGGACCAGTGTTGTGGTATGAAAGAAAGGACCACTATTGTGGTGGAGAGAGAAGGGTGTGGTATAAAAAGAGAAGACCAGGATTATGATGTGAAGGGTGTGGCATGAAAGAGAGGACCAGTGCAGTGATGGAGAAAAAAAAGCGTGTTGCATAGCAAAGATAGGACGGAGGTGGTATGAAGGACTAGACCAGTTTATTGATAGGGCATGAAAGGTGGTGGGGGGGGGGGGGGGGGGGAACCAGTGTAAGGCCTAAACAAAAAAAAATGTATTGCCCTCGATCTCTCAATCATATAACCAGGGGCGGCGATTTCTTTTCATGACCGGGGGGGGGGGGGGGGACGACGAAATGCAAGGGACGAGGGAGCAGTGGCGTCATTTTTTTTTTTTTGGGGGGGGGCAGAAAAAATCTGCATCACCACCGCTCTTACATGTTTACGAAGGCCGTGGGAACGTTTTTCAAAGGGGGGGGGGGGGCAAAAGCATTTACGATCAGGTAGAGCAAGGCAAAGCAAAGTGGAGCGTAAATTGGCGTGGGGTCAAGGGGCGGAGCCTCATGAAGCTCAGGGTTTTAGGCATTTATTAAAGTCAGATGAGCATCCTGGGGGCGGAGCCCCCGAAAGCTTAGGGGCTTTAGGCATTTGATTACGGTCAGATGAGCATATTTTGATGCCTTATTTGTGCACTGGCATGCATTTCACTTATTGGAGTGGGGTCCAGGGGGCGGAGCCCCCAAGAGCTCAGGGGTTTTAGGCATTAAATTACGGTTAGATGAGCAACCAGGGGACTGCCTTAGGGCCCTTGGTGGGGTCCAAGGGGGCAGAGCCTCCGGAAACTCAGGGAAAACCATGCCATTTCAACAACACTTGTAAACCACTGGTCTCGAATTAGAATTAAACCACGTTTGAATTTCATTTGGGATGAACTGCCCCCAAAGCCCCCCCCCCCCATCAGTACGCAAGTGCGAGGGAGCAAAGTGAAGGAGAGGGGCGAAGGTGACGGAAGTGACTACCCCCTCACAGGTTTTTGAAGTTTTGTTGTAATAACAAAATTACATTCCTTACCAAAAGTATAGTATAAAAACAAGCAATATACTTTTTTCAAACTTCAATTTTCTCGGTATATACTTGTACAATTTGAAGGATATTATTCGAGGGAGCGTACCTACCGAGTGTGAAGATTTCCTCTTGGGCCCTCCAGAGCCTAAAAGTGTATTGCAGTCTTTAGTCAGTATTTGCTATACATTTTGGGGGGCACTTTTTCAAATTTTGAGGGTGGGGGGGGGGGACGATCCTCCCTAAAAGAAAATTGAGGGGGACGACGTGTCCCCCCTCCCCGTCCCTCCGGGATCGCCGCCACTGCATATAACACTGATCCCCTCTTTCATATCACACCCTTCTCTCTCCGTCACAACACTTGTCTTCTCTTTCATATCACACCCATAATTATTGTAAGGTACAAGGATACGTGATATAAAATTATAGCTATAGGTGCATGTCTCTTTCTCTCTCTCTCTCTCTCTCTCTCTCTCTCTCTCTCTTTCTCTCTTGTCATACACACACATACACACAATAAAAAACACCCCTCTCTCTCTCTCTCTCTCTCTTTCTCTTCATAATATTGGAAATAAAACGACCGAATCAATATTGCATTGTCTTGATTATTTATAGATTTATTGACAACTCGACTCTCATTTATTTTGACAAACTGGTATGATATTAGCTTAACATACTCTCCACCGCTGTGGTCATTTTATTCTTCGAGGATACCTACTCCTCCTGTGTAACCAACTGTGCCATATCATCATCCTGAAAAACAGATGCATACAGAGCTGCTTTCGGTGACATGTCTTCTTTTTGAAAGGAAGTTGTATCATTTCTCAAAGCTTCACGATCAATCGGATCATTGTGATGTGCCTGTTTAAGCTTGGACATTTCTATTTTAAGTTGAACATTTTCACTCTTCAGTACAGAACATTCTCTCTTGATTTCATAATTTTCTTTCCTTACATTATAACTGTCGATCTTGAGTGACACAACTTCTGTTTGAAGTTTACTTATATCCATTTTGATAGCTTCAAACACTTCATAGTATTCCCTCCGGTCGTTATTCACCCTTATAAACTGTTTGACATTCGTCTTTTTGATTTGATGGATCTTTAAGGCGTTTGAAATGGACCTCTTTCTGACCTGAGATAACTCGTCAGGTGCACCCTGATTGGAAGAGAGGCTCTTTGGACGAGATAATATCCCCTCCCCCTCTTCATATTTCATTTTCTCCCATTCCATAACCATAGCATAGAACTCCTGGGTACCGCTATCACCTCCTGCATTATTTGCAGGAGGTCGATACTTAACCTTATCATTTAGGGAAGAGAGGCTAAGGGGCAGAGAAATCTTCCCTTTCTCTTCAATGCTATCATCACGAAGAGCTGCATCGAACGAACGAACTTCATCCTCCTTGGAAGAGAGGCTCTTTGGACGAGATAATATCTCCTCCCCCTCTCCATCTTGTATTTTCTCCCATTCCATACCAATGGCAGAAAATTCCTGGGTGCTGCTATCGGCTCCGGCATCCCCTGCAGGATGTAAATATGTAACACCATCAATTCGGGAAGAGAGGCTAAGGGGCGGAGAAGGGTCCTCTTCCTCTACATAGCTAACATCCTGAAGAGATGGATCGCCAGTGATATCTTCTATGGTCTTAGGAGCCATTTGGTCCAGGGCTTGAACTCCAGGACCTGTTCCTTCTGGAGTAGCCCCAGCAGTCTCTTCAGCATTCATGTCTGGGCGCGAAGGAGGTGGATCACCAAGGTTCTTGTTGTCCAGTGGAGCCTGGTCTTGGGTAGGAAGTTCTCCTTCCAATGGATGGTCATCGAGTACCATGTCAGGTTCCCTGGATGAATGAAATTTATAAAAAATAGTTTATTAATACGAAAGAAGAGTTTCATTTTAAAATTGACTCTAGGAATGCTTACTTTATCATGTTTATATCTATACGGAATTTAAGGAATGAAGTAGTGAAAATTATTTCCTACTTAAAAAACAATATGTTTCCACATTTAATTTGTTTTCTTTATACCTTTGTTGCATTATAATGAAGTACATATTCAAATTAATAAACATCAAATCAAATCTTAATCAAAACAAGAATTAAGAGAACCCCTTTCCTTCTTGACATGAGAACAGGTAACAAGGTAATTAAAAATAAGTTCCTGTTTTCATATCTGTTTTACTTGTCATTATCTTGAAGACGGCAATCAAGGGTTACATGTTGGAATAGAGTTTAAATGTAGACATCCTAAATAAAAACCGGCTACTTCTATACAGTGTGTCCCGAAAAAAACTATACACTTTTGAAATGGCTGCCGAATAACAAATATATGATTCTAGGGGAAAGGTTATATATGTATGGAAAGCTCATATACTCAACTTTCATATGACACCAAAAGTTGCGAAAATAATTCATGCTCGGGTGAGCACTGCTCACTTTTGTAAAGGGTATGAAAATTAGGTTGCTCAGGAATTAGCCTTCCAATTTGTGAGAGGTAAATCCTTTGGAGCTTACGGAATTTAGGATGATATGACCAATTCATTGTGATGAGTTTGGGTTTGCTGAGTGAAATGTTTGGTTTATGGGATTAACATTTTATGCATGAGTGAACAGGAATTGCATTTTTTTATTGTAGCACTGTAACTTCCCTAGTAGACTCAGTGTTGTGTTCATGGGAATTAGGATGGGGTGATGGTTCATGTTGTAATTTCCCTGTTACAAACTGTTATTCTCTTACATCTGTAACTTTGAATAAAAACCTTCACCCCACATTTCAATTATTGTAAGATTAGTTGAACATCTCATTGATTTACTCAATACCCAGGTAGGGATAATGTAATTTGAATATTCAAATACGGTTTGTTGAAAAAAGGAATGTCCAAGATGTCGGCTACTTATTCTTCAGGTAAATGGTAACTGAAATGTGGGGTGAAGGTTTTTATTCAAAGTCTCAAATGTAAAAAAATAACAGTTTGTAACATGGAAATTACAACATGTACCATCACCCCATCCTGACTCTCATGAACACACCACTGAGTCTACCAGGAAAGTTACAATGCTACAATAAAAAAAAATGAAATTCCTGTTCCGTGCATAAAAGTTTGGTTTAATAAACCATGAAATTCACTCAGCAAATCATGAATGTATCATATCACCGTCAATGTTCTAAGCTCCAAAGGATTTACCTCTCACAAATTGAAAGGCTAATTCCTGCGCAACCTAATTTTCATACCCTTTACAAAAGCGAGCAGTGCTCACCCAAGCATGAATTATTTTCAAACTTTTTGGTGTCATATGAAAGTTGAGTTTATGAGCTTTCTATACATATAAAACTTCTCCCCCCTAGAATCATATATTTGTTATTCGGCAGCCATTTCAAAAGTGTATAGTTTTTTTTCGGGACACACTGTTTCGAGTCTTTTGGTGACCATACAAAAGCAAAATTGATCAATTTTTTTGCATGCAACAATTATTTCTTCGTCCTTTTCTTTCCAACAACCCCTCCCATTTGGTAAAAAGTAATGTTGGTGGATATTCACAACACATGCGTGTGTCCATCTTTAAGTGTAAGTGTGGGTTTCAAATTTTAAAAACCTAACATTGTTTACGACTCTGTACAAAAAAACGACTGAATGTTTATCCTATATGACGACACTAAAATATCCAAGTCTTTGCCAAATGTATAAAACAATGGATACTTAAGCAATTGTTTAAGGCCCAATTAAGAAATATACCTTGAATTCTCTGCAACACAACTGTTTGAGTGTTCGTCCATTTTCTTCATCCAATGATTCATGGTAGTGCCACGTTTTGATTTGTATTTCTCTATAGAGAAATATGAACAAAGAAATAAATAATATGAACATATAAACATTATATATCATGAAATCTAAAATATTCTTTGCAAACATAATTTTAGAGTCCATTGTGGCATGCTAAAGTTTGTTGTGCAGAATCTCAGTAACCAGGGGCGGCGGAGCATAAAAGGGCAGAAAATGAACTTTCAGGAAATGTGATATTCTCTTTGAAATTCAGATACCGTTCACCAAATGAATTTTTGGCACCCTTTCTTCAAATTGTTTTTAATCACTCATGCGTGAAATATGCATCATATGAGTTGCATCAAATGAAAGAGGAGGATATAATGAATCTTATGATTGTCATTAAGTTATGATAAAACATCGATGATTCTCGGGTTTTTTTCTGGGACGCACTGTATATGATCTGGTTCTCTTAGAACCCAACTTGGAAGTTGTTTTCAAAGTTTATCCATATTGCAGAAAGTTAAATACCATTATGCCTATACTTTGTTCGATTAAAACCATTAACAATGTTTTCACCTCTGAAGACTATTCCTATTGGCATGAGAAGTCATCTTTATTACATGCTTTTAAAAATATATAGATTCAAAGTTACCTTTCCGTTTTAAACTTTAAACACAGAAATAATCAAATAACTGGAGATATGTATACATACAGCCAACAGACATGATAAATCAGCCAACTATTTTTTATTTTTTTTGGGGGGGGGGGGGGGGGGGGTGTCAATGACAGTCAAAAACAAAAAAACAATATTTTTACATTTCAATCAAATAAAAGGAAATAATATTCAGCTTTGAGGATCTTTACTACACGTTTGCCTTGGATTATGTGTGCATTATTCAGTTTTGAAACATCCAACTTTGTATGTGAACTTGTGCAGTATTCAACAGGTAGATGTGAAATATTTATAGTCAGGTAGTAGCATTATAAACTAAACAAATGAATAAATCATGACGTCTTAGCCGAGGCGATCATTATGAATTATGGAATAGAAAATATGAATTCACAACTTGAATATTCTTTAGCACATTTGCTTGTAGTCGTTACCATCGAATCGTTGTTATGTTAGCAGAGACTAGTGTGTAGTGATAATACCAACTGTATTTAAAACAAGAAAAGGACAATTTGTCGAATTGAAAAGATTTTAAATGACGTGTTTTTACTCCGATCACTTTTAACTTCAAGTTTGATTAGCAGAATCTGAATGATAGCTGTGTTTAACCGGTTTTTGTATGGTCAATCTGATCTGCGCACTCGATAAAAATGGCGCCGGATGAGGAAAAAAACAAACATTCTAATAGTCGAACAAACGTACCCGGTACGTTGATAAACAATAATTATGACGCATCAAGTTCAATGAGATATTGTCATCTAAATTCATTGTAAAACCTAATCAAATTATAGGCTTTTGTGTACGAGTCATCTTCGCAGTGAAGCTGATTAATAACTCATTTAATTCTTACCTTTAATCTGAAGTTGTGAAGGCTGAAAATATCGTTTTAAGGCTGTTCTCTCGCAGATTTGTCCTCAGGCAACTCAATCGTTGCTGTTTATAATGGTTATGAATGGTGGTCATGAATATCTGGGTTTCCCCGTCGCCCTTTCAGACGTTAAGTCTTTGGGTGCAGACCTTTTTAAAATTATGCCAAGGCCTATAATGTACTGGTTAGTATGTAAATGCGCATTTTTAATACGATGGAAGCATCTTCAGACTAATATGAGTTTATGATCTGACCTTGTAATCACATAACCCTTCTTTAAAAACTTGTAACTAAGCCCAACCTCAAAATCATAAATTGATGCCATAATAATGTGAGCAAGCTTCGATACCATCCTGTCGGACTATACCACAGGCATATCTTAATATGACGATTTGATTTAAAAAGGAAGGATGAATGTAATCCTAGCCACTGTCTGAATTAATTTTTTTTTAAAGAAGCACCGAATGTATATTCTTTATCTGGGCTTACTGTTTCCATAATAGAAAGAATATCTAGGCCTATTATTGAAGTAAACATGTAGTCTAGGTGGAAGACTATAATATTGTTTCCAGAAAATTCCAAACATTTTTTTTTTACTGACGATCAATGTCACAATAGATATTGTGATAATACAAAGAAAAATATTGATTTGCAGGAAAATCATTTTGCTGCTTAATTGAGGTTATGGTGATCCCTTAAAAGAGAGCCACGTGACACATTAATTTGTTTGATATTAGTTCATACTACTCTTCAGAGGCGGTGCTATAGGGTAGCCTATAACAAAGAAAACGAAAGTGAAAGGCACACAACATTTGGGACAAAACATATGTGATAATATATCCCTCTTGTACTCCCTCTCCCTCCTAATCCCGATTCACCGAAGCAAAATCATTTTTCTTTTCACTTGATCATTTGCGTTATGACGCCGAGTAAATACACTCCTTAATGTTGGGATACAACAACCTTCTCTTTTTCCAAAAAGGTAAATTGAATGAAAACAGAAGACAAACAGATTAGTGAAATTTTGAATGAAATCAGGAAAACAAATAAGAAAGTTATGAATATTTAAAAGTTGCAGTCATGGGAATCCCAAATTGGCAAATACGGACACTGAAATGGAATTAAACAATGATTTCTCCTAAATCTCTTTTTTGTTGATAGAGTCAGGCTGGAAATAGGATCGATACCATATTCTTATAGGTCCTCAAAACAAAATATGATCCTACTTAGTCATATTTTGAAAATTAATTTAGTCATTTGTCTTTGACTGCTAATTGTTCCACATAGCAAACAACAAGGTTGTCTCATAACACAAGATTTAACAAGAGAATGCATAATGAAAACACCGATAGACATGTTACATGAAAGAAAAATAGTGTGAAATATAGGAAACATAATTAAGAAGCGAAGCTTGTATATTAAACTAGGTTCCCGAATAAAATACAAAAATATTGTAATTGAATTCGATAGCAGTAAAGAAAGACTTAATAAAAGTTTGAGCCACTAACACATTTAAAATTTCAGTATTATGAATAACATGTGAACCAAGAAGTAATATATATAAATATATATATATATATATATATATATATATATATATATAAAAGTTCATGGACTGAATTAGGTTAGAACACCAACCTCTTTCTCCATGCATTCCCTGTGCTAAAAGATCTCATTCAGAATGAATACCTATCATTGTACCCTTGCGCTAAAACCAACGGTTTTTTATTCTCTTTTTGAGGGCACCAATGACAACTCTGTGGTTTCTGTCTGCCTTGAAATTTGAATATTATGCAAATTACCCGATATTTCCCCAATACTCATACGTTATTGGTTAAATGAAAGCTAACTCATGAATTATTTTAGCATAAAATCAAGTTATTTGTTTCCCCCCACAGTGATTCCGAGGTCCCTATATAACATAGATAAGCATTATCTGATATCAGACCACCCTATATCATTATCTGGTATTCCCCAATCTATTTATATCTGTAATCCCGAGTTGTGGGATTCGTGCCAACTCAAAAACATTCATGATTCATGAGCTGGCTGTTTAGACCAATTACATTAGAGCTTGGGTGTATCTCTGCTAATTTGCATATGGGCGGGAAACCTGAAATCGAAATTTGGATCCTCTGAAAGCGTATAAATACCGCAGTTTGGCGGGAAAATATTCATTACTCGGGAGCGGAACAGACTGTCGTCACATAGCTTCGTCAGCAGAGGTAAGTCGTATACGCTTGCTCCATTTCGACTAGACAATCATGCAGACTTTCAATTCCTTGCAATTTTGTGATTTCAAAATCGCTTATGTTGGACAAGGGAAAACCGTGACATCGTTGTGTAGCTTGGTGAAAACAAAACATTTGGAACCTCTTGCCATAATGTCATTCTTCGTTTCCTGATAAGTGTAAGGATATACTTCTGAGAACGCCAATGTTGCAGAATAATGTCTCATCGCCAGTATGCGTAATTTATGTTCCTGAACTTAAACACCGAATATGTGACTACATTTTGTCAAAATACTTCGGAGCCGCCACGTATATGATCTTATGGACTGCAAGAACATCTAGGAGAATGAAGAATGAACATCAGTAAAACTGATGATTGAAGGAGTACCAACAGTTTAGACTAAAAGACAAGTCGTAGCGAGTTTCTCTGGATAATATTCAAGATGGTCCGACATAATTACGTTCCGTGTCGTATAGTTCAACCGAATACACACCATCTGGCGATTCCTCCTCCTCCTACAGCAGTTAGACTTTTGGTATGGAAGCTCTAGATGTAAAGAAAAGCAGAACACTCAAAAGTGGTTAATTAAATTTAGTTCAAATTTACATGGTTCAATCTTGAGTATTATAGTTTTCTTGAAGTGCAATAGGCCTATGGTTTCATGAACATTTCATTTCATTTCATTCTATTATTATTATTATTATCATTATTATTATTGTTATTATTGTTATTTTTCAAGTTGTCTAGTTTGTTTGTTTCATATTTCACAAAACAGAACAAAATTCACATAAATGACAAAATAAGAACATATATGAAATATACTCAAGTATGACATTACATAATCAAGTCTTTGTAAAGATGTCGAAATTAAGTGTACAGTATTAAATGGTAGGTTATACAGGGTGAAATGTGAGGAACCTATTAAAAAGCTTAGCTTGTAGAATATAGGTTCCCCTAAATAAAAACTAATATTTGATTGAAGTGGTTGCAATGGTAAGGACGTAACAATAATAATAGGTGGGCAAGATATACAAAGTTAAACAAGCAAAAACAGCAAACATGTTAATTTATTTAGTGAATGTCGTGTTTGTCACTGTAAAATAGTCTGGTCACCCGAGCGAGGCAGTAGACATGAACAATCATGATAATGTACAATGATAAGTTATTATTATTATTATAATAATAATTATTATTAATATCATTGTTATTAACACGATCGCTATTGCGAAAATCATGCTATAGAAGGCAATTTCAAGAACCTTGTACGCCTTTTGAAATGAAACATTTGAAATAGCAATCCGAATATGTATTCTATTGGATGTACAATGGGTTATTGAAATTGCTCCTGAGTTGATTTTTTTCGAAAGTAGTTGCAATCGTGCTTATTATTGTTGTTTTTGTTATTTTGGCTATTATTGTCTTTAAAATTACTAATAATAATGTTATGGTAATCCGTGTTATTATCGTTGTTATTTCCTTTGTGTAAGTTCTAGTTGAAGCATAAAACACGTATGAATTAGTTGTAAAATGACTGTTGCATAGTAATGGAGAGGTAGGATGAGAGAGAGAGAGGGGGAAGAATGTTACTGAGAAGGTAGAGACATTGGAGAGAAGAGAAATAGAGGTGTATGTAGAGGTTGGATGGAAGAAGGTGACGGGATAGGTAGATACTTAGGAGAAAGGTGAGAGAGAGAGAGAGAGAGAGAGACAGATTTATGTGCTGTTCCTGAAAGAGTGGAAAGGAAGGGAGAAATGCTGAAGGATGAAACGAGGGTAGATGAGCAATGAATATTATACAGTGCGTCCCAGAAAAAACGAAACCGCGAATTATCGATTTTTATCTTAACTTAATCACAATTATAATTGATAAATGACACATATTTGTAAAGCTTAGATCCTCTTCTTTTATTTGATGCAACTCGTATATTTCACGCATGAGTGATAAAATGAATTTGAAGAGAGGAAAACAAAAAGACATTTGGCGGACGGTATCTGAATTTCAAAGAGAAAATCTGATTTCTAGAAAGTTGAGTTTCTGCCCTTTCATATGACACCTCAGTCAGGAAAAATGAGCTAGGAAAAAGAAAGTTCTGTTTGTTTATAGTAGTGCTTGCATTTCCATAATTTTATTAAACGAATTCGTTTTCACTGGCTGTCTGCTGTAGCACCAAACGGAATTAACAAAAGACTTAACTCCGTTTCGTTGACAATCAGCCGTAGACGAAAGACTTCATGCATGGCTGATTGTCAACGAAACGGAGTTAAGTCTTTTGTCAATTCTGCTTGTTGCTACGGCAGGGAGCCAGTGAAAACGAATTCGTTTGATAAAATTATGGAAATGCAAGCACTACTTTAAACAAACAGAACTTTGTCATTCCTTGCTCATTTTTCATGATTGAGGTGTCATATGAAAGGGCAGAAACTCAACTTTTTAGAAATGTGATTTTTTTCTTTAAAATTCAAATACCGCCCGCCAAATGACTTTTTGGTTCCCTCTCTTCATATTCATTTTAATCACTCATGCATGAAATATGCATCATATGAGTTGCATCAAATAAAAGAGGAGAATCTAAGCTTTCCAAATGTGTGTCAGTTATTAATTATAAATGTGACTAAGTTATGATAAAACATCGATAGTTCTCGGTTTCGTTTTTTCTGGGACGCACTGTATTTATAGATGTTGGGCGAAGATTTGAAAAACTTAGAGAAACAATTATGTGGGTGTGCGTGTGTGTGTGAGAAATAGAGATAGAGAAAGACAGAAAAGAAATATTTATTTACAGTACTGGAAAGAGTGGAAAGGAAGGGAAAAACACTGAAAGATGAAATGAGGGGAGATGAGCGATGAGGGCCAAGATTGG